GTCTGTGTCCGTTACGAGGTAGTGGAAGCAATACGTTGTTCATACCCCTATGGGATCTGGAGACCTCGAAGTCAACGGAGTACTCTATTTAAAAGGTCACCATCATCATCTCCTACCAGCGCCTTTATGGCAAACAATAGCTTGAGCTTCCAAAGGTATTTGCGCTCTTGATTTTACATTTTTCTTCAAAGATTGCGAATTTGTCCTAAACTTGTGTCTCAGATGTGTGACACCAAGTTCTCTCAGGCAGGTCAACAGAAACTGAAGCAGAAGCCATAGGAGCAACCAGAGCTTAAATACTTTTATCCACAGCAAGAGAACAGAGGTGAGGTCCGCAACATTAGTGTGTGTGTGTGTGTGTGTGCACATGTTGAATTGGCTGTGGTGTGTCTGTGTTAGACTTTCTGCAGTGTGTGTTTTTGTGTGTGTCTCGGGCGAGTGTACTGACCAAGCCTCTCCTCCCTCATCAGTTTACAGAGTGGCAGTTCCCTTCCACAACCAGCAGAGGTCAGCAATGCTGCACTTGAACGGCACAGAGCTGCAGACTCTCCTGCTATCCTTCCTACAGCACTGTCTGAATGGCACAGGTTTACTGGGCCCAGTACTCCCTCAGAACTACACTACCCAGCAGGCCGTTCTCCCAGTGGGCGGAGCTATACCTAAGGCTCAAGCTCAGGGATTTGTGTATATTCTACTTATGGTAGGTATGTTTAGTTTCTTCACGTTTGGTATCATGCTGAGCTACATCCGCTCCAAGAAGCTGGAGAGCTCCCATGATCCGTATCACCAGTACATTGCTCACGACTGGACCAAAGGACTCACCCTCCCACGGGCTGTCACACAGGCACTGCATGGGGCAGACACACGTATTGGAGACAACGGGAAGAACCCCATGGTCATCTGCAACCCTGCTGCATTGGAGCTCCCAGGATAGGTTGGGATGGATAGTGAGGAGTTAATAGTCTTGATGTTCTCAATCATAATATAACATATTATAGTCACGATGACAAGTGAGAAAGAGATTGAGTTAGAGTACCTATTTTATTATAATGCAATCATAGGCAGAATGTACCGCACACCCATAATCGATTAGTGAAGGTGCTGGAGGCAAAATGCAAAACTGGAAAAAGTCACGCACACTTCCACTCATAGTAGCTAAGCATTCGGTCAGTCGACTCTGATGAAGGTCGACTGACCGAAAGCTTACTTGCCATTTAAAGAGATTTTCATCTGACTGGAAGTGTGTGAAAAAAGGTTTCTGTTTCCCTGTATTTGAGTTCAGAGCAGTTTCAGTCAACTGCTCATTCATAATGAACATTGAGTAGGCTATGCTTTCATTCCTTCATTCAGCAAAGAAACAAATACATGTAATTAGAATCACTTAGCTTATAAACGTAGATAAACAGTATTTCATTAAATTGATTATTGTAGTCTGATACCATTACCATTGTGTCCTAAGGTCCAGACACTGACACTGTGTAGCATTATTGTAAAGCACAGTTGAGTTCCAGTAAGGTGCTATAGTAGTGGCTTGTACTTGTTTTCTGTGTGTTATAACACGCTACTGTAATCAACCTAATGTAGCATAAACACTGCAAATGATATAACAGACAAAGGATTCAACACCTCTGTCTTATCCTCTTCGAAGTGTGTTGACACCTGTGTAAATGGATTATAAATAAAAGTTTGATTTGAAATATCCTTTATCTCATTTTGCCCTCATGGTCCATTGTTTATTTGAGTAAATTCTGCATCCATGCCAGCAGGCCGCCTTGCCTAGAGTGTTGAGGTGTTTTAATCTTACAGTGGGGAAAAAAAGTATTTAGTCAGCCACCAATTGTGCAAGTTCTCCCACTTAAAAAGATGAGAGAGGCCTGTAATTTTCATCATAGGTACACGTCAACTATGACAGACAAAATGAGGAAAAGAAATCCAGAAAATCACATTGTAGGATTTTTAATGAATTTATTTGCAGATTATGGTGGAAAATAAGTATTTGGTCAATAACAAAAGTTTCTCAATACTTTGTTATATACCCTTTGTTGGCAATGACACAGGTCAAACATTTTCTGTAAGTCTTCACAAGGTTTTCACACACTGTTGCTGGTATTTTGGCCCATTCCTCCATGCAGATCTCCTCTAGAGCAGTGATGTTTTGGGGTTGTCGCTGGGCAACACAGACTTTCAACTCCCTCCAAAGATTTTCTATGGGGTTGAGATCTGGAGACTGGCTAGGCCACTCCAGGACCTTGAAATGCTTCTTATGAAGCCACTCCTTCATTGCCCGGGCGGTGCGTTTGGGATCATTGTCATGCTGAAAGACCCAGCCACGTTTCATCTTCAATGCCCTTGCTGATGGAAGGAGGTTTTCACTCAAAATCTCACGATACATGGCCCCATTCATTCTTTCCTTTACACGGATCAGTCGTCCTGGTCCCTTTGCAGAAAAAACAGCCCCAAAGCATGATGTTTCCACCCCCATGCTTCACAGTAGGTATGGTGTTCTTTGGATGCAACTCAGCATTATTTGTCCTCCAAACACAACAAGTTGAGTTTTTACCAAAAAGTTCTATTTTGGTTTCATCTGACCATATGACATTCTCCCAATCCTCTTCTGGATCATCCAAATGCACTCTAGCAAACAGGAGCAGGGGGACACAGCAGGGGGACACGTCTGGCACTGCAGGATTTGAGTCCCTGGCGGCGTAGTGTGTTACTGATGGTAGGCTTTGTTACTTTGGTCCCAGCTCTCTGCAGGTCATTCACTAGGTCCCCCCGTGTGGTTCTGGGATTTTTGCTCACCGTTCTTGTGATCATTTTGACCCCACGGGGTGAGATCTTGCGTGGAGCCCCAGATCGAGGGAGATTATCAGTGGTCTTGTATGTCTTCCATTTCCTAATAATTGCTCCCACAGTTGATTTCTTCAAACCAAGCTGCTTACCTATTGCAGATTCAGTCTTCCCAGCCTGGTGCAGGTCTACAATTTTGTTTCTGGTGTCCTTTGACAGCTCTTTGGTCTTGGCCATAGTGGAGTTTGGAGTGTGACGGTTTGAGGTTGTGGACAGGTGTCTTTTATACTGATAACAAGTTCAAACAGGTGCCATTAATACAGGTAACGAGTGGAGGACAGAGGAGCCTCTTAAAGAAGAAGTTACAGGTCTGTGAGAGCCAGAAATCTTGCTTGTTTGTAGGTGACCAAATACTTATTTTCCACCATAATTTGCAAATAAATTTATAAAAAATCCTACAATGTGATTTTCTGGAGAAAAAAAATCTCAATTTGTCTGTCATAGTTGACGTGTACCTATGATGAAAATTACAGGCCTCTCTCATCTTTTTAAGTGGGAGAACTTGCACAATTGGTGGCTGACTAAATACTTTTTTCCCCCACTGTATCTCTCTTCTCCCTTTCTCTTTCTCTTCTCTGCTCCTCCCACTCCCTCACTCTTTCCATCTTCCTCTCCTGTCTGCCTTGAAGGGCTGCTTTCTCTGCGCGGTCGATCTCGCGCTCCAAACTGAAGTGGACCATTTGCATGGTGAGCATGGGCGCAATCAGGTTTAAGTTATCCACCGTCTTATTGAGCTTCTTAAGGTCCTCCGCCACCGCCCCACACAGCTGCTGCCACTGAGCATGCTCCCTGGGGGTCATGGGGTCGGCGAGCCGCGCCCGGCCCTGCAGCAGTCTCTCTCGGATCTGCGCGATGTCCTCTCTGATGTCGCGCTGCGTGACAATCCAGGGTGGCTGGTAGCCGTTGTCTATGAGGATGCGGTTGAGGTTGTGGGTCATGGGGTCGGCGTACGGGTTGTGCTCAAACTTGTTGATGGGCTTCCCGGCGCCACTCAGGTTGCAGAGGTCTCCCCGGGACATGGATTCCTGAATGAGGTCTTCCACCAGCCTCTCCACCGCCTGCGTGACCTTGATCTGCCGGCTTCGCTGGCGGACGCCCTCTCCACTAGCGCCCCCTCGGCTGCAGCCGCCGTCTCATGCTCCTTCTGGCGGTAGTCAAGGACCTGCTCCACCGCCCAATCCACTCTGAACTGCCGGTATTGGCGCTCACGCTGGCTGGGCGTCCCCGAGCCCACGCCCTCGTAGCTCAGGTAGTGGCGGTGCTGAGGAGCCACGCCTTTCACCTTCTCCTCGTCCTCCTCGTCTTCCATCGAACCCCCACGGCTCTGAAGCCGGGACTGGTGTGCCAGCACGGCGCGGTATGCCTCCTCTACCAGTGCAAACAGCGCCTTGTCTGCCGTAGCAGCGCCCGAGTCTGGATGGTACAGCTTGGCCATGCGTAGGTAGGCTTCTTTCACCTGCGCAGGGCTACTCTCGCCCTCATCCGGAAGCTCAAGCTGTAGCAGCTGGTAGCTCTCCCGAAGGCTGCGGCTCACACGGGGACCTGAACTCAGCGTGCGGAGAAGGAACATGCGGGCCAGGGGGAGCAGTGCGCAGCCATGACAGAAATCCCCACGGTGAATCAACAGCTGCATGGCGTAACTCATCATCTCTGCTGGTGGCACACAGAGGCACACCCCTGCCCAACAGTGACAAGAAACATGATGTTGCTTGTTGTATTTGTTCCCACACTTAATTGTTAGCATAGGGATGCAAATCATGCATTTGAAAAGGTCATGGGATGCTTTTGATCCATTTTGTTGGTAGTGGTCTAGCCTGAAATCCAGAACCCGTTTTGCTAACATGCCCCTCCTTGTACTCCGTGAAATTGCCAAGGATTGGTAAGGAGTGGAATGATAGCAGAAAACGATTGGTGGTACCCAGGCTGGTAGTGGTCCATTATTTGATGGAATTATGCACTTCTTAATTTGACACCTACTGTCACATGCATTAAAGCTACAGCACCTTACCTCACAGACATGTAATCGGTGACTACAGTAACTATGCCAGTGTTATGAAAGAACACCAGTGGCTAGCTGTCATCTTTATTACCCGGACAGCTAGAAGCTAGCTAGCTAAGCTAATTCATGCTAGCTGAGCTCCATGGCTTACTGCATCGTTCTTGGCGCGTTTTAGGTAAACACAGTATCTACCTAACAAGATACTAATTGCACTAACCTTACTCAAATTTATTCGTCCTTCACATTAGTTTCAGACAGTGTTATTTCACACTAGTTTCAGCGTCGGTGTCACGATCGTCAGGGAGAGACCAAGGCGCAGCGTGATGAACAAACATACTTTAATTAGTTAAAGTTTAAACATGATACAAAACAAGAAACGACTCGTGAAGTCCACGGTATCAAAGACCGAACACGGAACAAAAACCCACAAACACAAAGGGAAAACATACAGTTTAAATATGGCTCCCAATCAGAGACAACCAGCCAACAGCTGACACTCGTTGCCTCTGATTGGGAGTCACTCAGGCAAAACATAGAAATCAACAAACTAGAACCCCCAACATAGAAATAAACCACATAGAATGAACACACCCTGGCTCAACATATGGAGTCCCAGAACCAGGGTGTGACAGTACCCCCCCCTAAAGGCGCGGACTGCGACCGCGCCTCAAAAATAGCAAAACAGGGGAGGGCTGGGTGGGCATACCTCCTCGGCGGCGGTTCTGGCTCCGGCCTTGCCCACCACCCTCCAACAAACCCCCCATAGCGCCCCTGGTCCGGTCTGGCCCCGCTGGCTGGAGCTGGACCGGACGTAGCAGGAGCGGTTAGCTTCAGCTCCGTAGTGGAGCCGTTGACCGGTACCTGGTTAGGCACCGGTGACCCAGGCACGGGTTGTGCCGGACAGACGACGCGCACCCCTGGCTTGGTGCGTGGAGCAGCAACGGGCCGGACCGGGCTGACGATGCGCACCCCTGGCTTGGTGCGTGGAGCCGGAACGGGCCTCACCGGACTAACGACTCGCACCCCTGGCTTGGTGCGTGGAGCAGCGACGGGCCTTGCCAGGCTGACGACTCGTACCCCTGGCTTGGTGCGAGTAGCAGGAACGGGCTGGACCAGGCTGATGACTCGCACCCCTGGCTTGGTGCGAGTGGCAGGAACGGGCTGGACCAGGCTGACGACTCGCACCCCTGGCTTGGTGCGAGTGGCAGGAACAGGCCGGGCCGGGCTGGCGACGCGCACCGTATACTTGGTGCGAGTGGCAGGAACAGGCCGGGCCGGGCTGGCGACGCGCACCGTAGACTTGGTGCGAGTGGCAGGAACAGGCCGGGCCGGGCTGGCGACGCGCACCGTAGACTTGGTGCGAGTGGCAGGAACAGGCCGGGCCGGGCTGGCGACGCGCACCGTAGGCTTGGTGCGTGGAGCAGGGACAGGCCGGACTGGGCTGGCGACGCACACCGTAGGCTTGGTGCGTGGAGCAGGGACAGGCCGGACTGGGCTGGCGACGCACACCGTAGGCTTGGTGCGTGGAGCAGGGACAGGCCGAACCGGGCTGTGGAGACGGATAGGAGACCTGCAGTGAAGAGCGGCCACAACCCGTCCTGGCTGAATGCCTACCCTCACACACTCTGTGTGAGGCATCCGCACAGGACGTACAGGGCGGTGTATCCGTAACCTGGTGGCCTCCAGAATCCGCCCCTTTTTTGCCTCCGTCAGCCCCGTCGTCCATGCCGTGTGCCCCCCCCTAAAAAAAAATGTCTGGGGTTGCCTCTCGACCGTCCGACGACGTCCCTGATCACGCAGTTGCTCCTCTCTACGGCGCGCCTCCACCGTCTCTTCTCCCGGCGCTTCCTCCCATGTCCAGCCCAAGAGCTGCCCCTGGACACGCTGCTTGGTCGTTGCATGGTGGGTTTTTCTGTCACGATCGTCAGGGAGAGACCAAGGCGCAGCGTGATGAACAAACATACTTTAATTAGTTAAAGTTTAAACATGATACAAAACAAGAAACGACTCGTGAAGTCCACGGTATCAAAGACCGAACACGGAACAAAAACCCACAAACACAAAGGGAAAACATACAGTTTAAATATGGCTCCCAATCAGAGACAACCAGCCAACAGCTGACACTCGTTGCCTCTGATTGGGAGTCACTCAGGCAAAACATAGAAATCAACAAACTAGAACCCCCAACATAGAAATAAACCACATAGAATGAACACACCCTGGCTCAACATATGGAGTCCCAGAACCAGGGTGTGACAGTCGGACGACAATCAGGTCGGATCACTTAGGTATAATAAGGACGGGTCAGACATGCTTGTTTGTTTCTGTTAGCTATCTCTCCCAATGAATGTAGGGAGTTGTAGTTTTTGCCTAATCCTGTTTGTTTTTTTAGCTACATATAGACACTGAAGACATAAACTTAATGGGAACAAATTTGGCTTTTGAATATGCTATTGCTTCTGTTTTATAATTTTGTATTAAGTTTTATTTCAAATACATTGAGTTGACTGTTCAATATTAATTTGTTTTGTTCAAACAAAGCATTGTCACACAAGCCTACAAACATAACATTTTGTGCAAGTAGCCTACATTTTTTAAATGGATGATGTGTCCTCCCAAAAATAAAAAAGACACAGTCAGAATTCCTTAGAACTGCATTTCGGAAAAGGCAGTTTCCTAGTTCAGACTATCACGTGAACGCGGTATTATCGCATCTGCATCTACAGACAGCCAAATGTGGATGGTAGCCTGTATTCACTAAACTGCGGTAAACATATATATTTTTTTCATTTATTGCAAACTTAGGAGCCAATTCATTTTTCCAATTTAAGAATATACTGTAAAACAGAGTAAATTATTATCATCACATTTTTTCTCCCTTGCCTTAAAAAAAAATCTCAAATGGCCCCTTTCCCCATTATTCCCCCTTCAGGTCACTGATTAGCCATGGCTCCAGATCCATCAGGATATCTAAGAATATATCTTTGCCTTTGGTCCCACATGCTTTCACAGGGCCATCGAAGAGCTCCCTCATCCTTTTCTGTTTTTTTTTTCCAGCCCTCACTTCACTGTAGGTGTTTGTGGTGATGATTCCCCTCTCCAGGAGTCTATCCAAGATGGGTTCCACATGGGTCACTCTGTCGATCAGGGCCGTCCGGTGATGGTCCACAAAGTGTTTGTCTGAGGTAGAGATAGGACATGGTTTGGGACTTTTGGAGGTGATGGAATGCAAAGCATACATAATGTATTTGATAGGGGCCTATATCTCTACACGCCTCCTTTAATGTTGCTTGTTTCTGTGTGTGCGTGCATGTGTGTAGGGTGTGCAAATTGGAGGATAGGCGTGATGCACTTTTTCTAATTCAGACAGGATTAAATAGGCTATGGGGAGTGAAAAATACTGTTGAAGATTCTAGAGGGCAGCAGTTGCACCAACAGTATGTTGGAGAATAAATTAAAAGGAAGGACTTTTATGATTGTTCATCAAGGTAGAATACTTTAGGTATTGAATGTTTCCCCATAAACCATTACTAATTACAGTAAAACATACATTTGAATAAAATAGGCCTATTTGAGACATTAGGCTATATAACACCTGGTTTAGTGTTTACCTTTGATCATGTTCTTTGGTCCAGGTGCACTTGCCATTGCAGCACCCGATGTTACGCAAGATCCTTGAGCTGTAAAATAGGCTTCATGAGACACCATCAATCGAATAAAAATATGAATAGTAGGCCTAAAGATAAATCAAAATCAGCAAGCAATCGAAATGTGTGTTTATTGCATAATGTATTATGCTTATTTTGAGTTGCAAATTGAATATATGCTACTGTATGCTATCATTCAGGCCAGATGCGCAAAATAGAATGCACTCATAAGTGAAAGTAAAACTGTCAACTTCCTTATAGTTTTCCTTCCATACCTTATGGACATTTCAATGCAATTCATTTAATAACGTTTTGTCCTAGCCTACTTTTGGGTTAACTGAAGTGGTTTTAAACCTTTCAAATATAGATTTTTTTTAAATGTACAATGGACGTCCCTCCTACTTTATTCGATTTACAGTTAATTGCACCCAATTCCTCTATAGCCACATTCACAGCCCCGTCGTCAGTGAAGGTACGGGTCAGAAGGTCTACCAAGTCCACTGTGTCCGCTTTCTCAACAATGCCCTTGCGAACTTTTGGCTCCTGCTTGCGGTCACAGAGTTTACGTGTCTTCTATTCTATGTTGTCTATAGGATACTGACTGTCTTCTCTCCAAGATAGGCTACTCAATTGCACCGTCGCACGTCATAGGTCTCGTCATAGGTCCATCAGCACTCCAGGACAAACAGATTAACCTAATCCCCACTACATTTGACAAAAATGTCATTTAAAATGTATCTTAACGAATTAATTATTTATTATCATATTATTTTTATATATTTGAGATTGCTCTTAAAAAATAAAAATAAAATAAATATATATAGGCCTTTATACCTTTTGAAATATAATAGGCTACAGAAAATGGAAATGTCACGCCCTGGCTCTGGGGACTCTTATATGTTGAGCCAGGGTGTTAGTTTCTATGTTTAGTGTTCTATATTCATGTTCTAGTTCATGTGTTTCTATGTTGGCCGGGGTGGTTCCCAATCAGAGGCAGCTGTGGCTTGTTGTCTCTGATTGGGAATCATACTTAGGCAGCCTGTTTTGCACTTGTCATTTGTGGGATCTTGTTCCGGAGAGGTTTGTGTTTGTTAACCTTAGGACTTCACGTATTGTTTTGTTGTTTAACGTACTCATTAAAAGATGTACGCATATCACGCTGCGCCTTGGTCCGGTTCTTACGACGATCGTGACAGGAAATATAGTTTTTTGAAGTTATGTACAGTTTATATACAAACATCATTTCACAAACAACATTGTCCCCTACAATCATGTAAATCACACACATTATATTGAACAGAACAAGCATTGTTCCTCTTTGCTTTATGTTGTCAGCAATGAAAGAGGTAGATAAATATTTGCATAAAAATAGACAGTCCAAACGTTGTTTAACAGCATGGGGTGGTAAGTCATACACTAAAACCAAATAGCATTGAAGGAGATTAGGCTACTGTATCACTTGGTAATAAAAGTGTAACACTAGCGCCCACGTTCAGTAGCCACACGTTGTCGAACGTTACTGATAGAAATGCCATTAATAGAGCCAACGTGATTCCTTAGAGGCATGTTGTTCTACATAACATATTTATATCTGAACGTTCCAAAATGTTGCCTCCCACTGAACGCACCCCAGTATACTACCTAGCAATACATCAGGGGGCTGTTCAGGAGGGTGCAACATCACAGACCACTCAGATTGGGAATACATTATTGTCTATCATGTACACTGAACAAAAATATAACCACAACATGTAAAGTGTTGGTCCCATGTTTCATGGGCTGAAATAAAAGTTTGCAGAAATTTTCCATACGCACAAAAAGCTTATTTATCTCAAATTATGTGCACAAATTTGTTTACATCACTGTTAGTGAGCATTTCTCCTTTGCAAAGATAATCCATCCACCTGACAGGAGTGGCATATCAAGAAGCTTATTAAACAGCAAGATCATTACACAGGTGCACCTTGTGCTGGGGACCATAAAAGGACACTCTAAAATGTGCAGTTTTGTCACACAACACAATACCACAGATGTCTCAAGTTTTGAGGGAGTGCAATTGGCATGCTGACTGCAGGAATGTCCACCAGAGCTGTTGCCAGATAATTGAATGTTAATTTCTTTACCATAAGCCGCCCCCAACTTAATTTGAGAGAATTTGGCAGTACGTCCAACCGGGCTCACAACCGCAGACCACGTGTATGGCGTCGTGTGGGCGAGCAGTTTGTTGATGTCAACGTTGTTTATCAGAGTACCCCATGTTGGCGGTGGAGTTATGGTATGGGCAGGCATAAGCTACGGACACTGAACACAATTGCATTTTATCGATGGAAATTTCAATGCACAGAAATACCGTGACGAGATCCTGAGGCCCGTTGTGAGGCCAATTTTTTAAGGTATCTGTGAGCAACAGATGCATATCTGTATTCCCAGTCATGTGAAATTCATAGATCAGGGCCTAATGAATTTATTTCAATCGACTGATTTCCTCATATGAACTGTAACTCAGGAAAATCATTGAAATTGTTGCATGTTGTGTTTATATTTTTGTTCAGTATAGAATAGGGAATCTGATCAGCTCTATGTTACATTTCTATTTGCATAATTCTTTATCTGAACATTTCACCTCAACTGAATTCAACCCAGTTAGGGCCGGCTAAATGCAGGGGCTTTCCAGGGCCCAGGGCCAAGGGCATAGGACCGTGGGGGGCCCAAGAGGTACCAAAAAATAATAATAATATGGATTCAATTTTATCACAAGCACATCCAGGTAACTGCCAAAATAAAGGAAACACCAACATAAAGTGTCTTAGAAGGGTGTTGGGCCACCACGAGCTGCCAGAACAGCTTCAATGCTCCTTGGCATAGATTCGACAAGTGGACCTAAACCATGCCAGAAAAATGCACCCCACACCATAACATACACTTTGTATCGCTCATTTACTCAAGTGTTTCCTTTATTTTATAATATGGCAGTTACCTAAAGTCGGGACACCCCTTCAAATTCGTGGATTCGGCTATTTCAGCCACACCTGTTGCTGACAGATGTATTAAATCAAACACACAGCCATGCAATCTCCATAGACAAACATTGGCAGTCGAATAGCCTTACTGAAGAGTTCAGTGACTTTCAATGTGCCACCATCATAGGATGCCACCTTTCCAACAAGTCAGTTCGTCAAATTTCTGCCCTGCTAGAGCTGCCCTGGTCAACTGTAAGTGCAGTTTTTGTGAAGTGAAAACGTCTAGGAGCAACAACAGCTCAGCCGCGAATTGGTAGGCCACACAAGCTCACAGAACGGGACCGCCGGGTGTTGAAGCGCGTAGATTATAAAACTCGGTTGCAATGCTAACTTCCGAGTTCCAAACACCCTCTGGAAGCAATGTCAGCACAATAACTGTTCATCGGGAGCTTCATGAAATGAGTTTCCATGGCTTAGCAGCCGCACACAAGCCTAAGATCACTATGCGCAATGCCAAGCGTCGGCTGGAGTGGTGTAAAGCTCGCCGCCACTGGACTCTTGAGCAGTGGAAACGCGTTCTCTGGAGAGATGAATCGCGCTTCACCATCTTGCAGTCCGAAGGAAGAATCTGGGTTTGGTTGATGCCAGGATAACTCTACCTGCCCGAGTGTATAGTGCCAACTGTAAAGTTTGTTGGAGGAGGAATTTTGGTCTGGGGCTGTTTTTCACGGTTCGTGCTAGGCCCCTTAGTTCCATTGAAGGAACATTTTAACGCTACATCATACAATGACATTCTAGACGATTCTGTGCTTCCAACTTTCTGGCAACAGTTTGGGGAAGGCTCTTTCCTGTTTCAGCGTGACAATGCCCTCGTGCACAAAGCAAGGTCCATACAGAAATTGTTTGTCGAGATCGGTGTGGAAGAACTTGACTGTCCTGCACAGAGACCTGACCTCAACCCCATCGAACACCTTTGGGATGAATTGGAACGCCGACTGCGAACCAGGCCTAATCGCCCAACATCAGTGCCCGACCTCACTAATGCTCTTGTGGCTAAATGGAAGCAAGTCCCCGCAGCAATGTTCCAAAATCTAGTGGAAAGACTTCCCAGAAAAGTTGAAGCTGTTGTAGCAGCAAAGGGGGGACCAACTCCATATTAATGCCCATGATTTTGGAATGAGATGTTCGACGAGCAGGTGTCCACATACCTTTGGTCATGTAGTGTATATGCTGAGTGTACAAAACATTAGGAATACCTGCTCTTTCCATGACATAGACTGACCAGGTGAATCCAGGTGAATGCTGGAATCCCTTATTGATGTCACCTGTTAAATCCACTTCAATCAGTGTAGATGAAGGGGAGACAGGTTAAAGAATGATTTTTAAGCCTTGAGACAATTGAGACATGGATTGTGTATATGTGCCATTCAGAGGGTGAATGGGCAAGACAAAATATTTAAGTGCCTTTGAACGGGGTATGGTAGTAGGTGCCAGGCGCACCGGTTTGAGTGTGTCAAGAACTGTAACGCTGCTGGGTTTTTCACGCTCAACAGTTTCCCGTATGTATCAAGAATGGTCCACCACCCAAAAGACATTCAGCCAACTTGACACAACTATGGGAAACATTGAAGTCAACATGGGCCAGCATCCCAGTGGAATGCTTTGAACACCTTGAAGAGTCCATGCCCCGATGAATTGAGGCTGTTCTGAGGGCAAACGGGGGTGCAACTCCTTAGACCACTGCGCCACTCGGGAGTAAATAATACTTTCTTGTGGAAACAATCGGCAGAGTAACAATCACAGTAACAATCACATTCGTGACAGATGAGGGACGTTTAGGTTTTCTTCTATGTAATAATGCATGGCTATGCTAGACAGACAATGGAAAGCATTGCCACATCGGGACTATAGCTATAAGTCTGCTTACTGTGGGATGAGTGGGATTTTGCAGAAAATAAAGGCCTATGCTAAAATATATATATATACACAAGTAATTTTTCCAACAATTGTTTACAGACAGATTATTTCATTTGTAATACACTGTATCACAATTCCAGTGGGTCAGAAATGTACATACACTAAGTTGACTGTGCCTTTAAACAGCTTGGAAAATTCCAGAAAATGATGTCATGGCTTTAGAAGCTTCTGATATGATGTCAATTAGCCTATCAGAAGCATCTAAAGCCATGACATCATTTTCAAGCTGTTTAAATGCAGAGTCAACTTAGTGTATGTAAACTTCTGACCCACTGGAATTGTGATACAGTGAATTATAAGTGAAATAATCTGTCTGTAAACAATTGTAGGAAAAATTACTTGTGTCATGCACAAAGTAGATGTCCTAACCGACTTGCCAAAACTATAGTTTGTTAACATGAAATTTGTGGAGTGGTTGAAAAACGAGTTTTAATGACTCCAACCTAAGTATATGTAAACCTCCAACTTCAACTGTATATATATATATAGCTAAATTAGCATGAGATAATAAGATATGGGGCTTTTTTCACTTTGCGCACCTTCCACTCCAAAGGTCTGTGCACGGCCCTGCATAACACAATGTTACTTCATGTATGTGTATGTTTTCTATTGTTGAGTTCAAAACAGCTAGCTAGTTAGAATTCACAACTGAGTATTTGTTCATGAAAAGAAAAAACTGCGGTCAATAGAAAATTCTGTCATTTATTGCAAACTTTGGAGACAATTCATTTTTCCAATTTAAGAATATACTGTAAAACAGAGTGCATTATTAACATCACATTCTTGTCCCTTGCCTTTAAAAAAATCTGAAATGGACATTATTCCCCCTCCAGGTCAATGATTAGCCATGGCTCCAGAGCTATCAGGATATCTAAGAATATATCTTTGCCTTTGGTCCCACATGCTTTCAAAGGGCCATCGAAGAGCTCCCTCATCTTTTTCTGGTTGGTTTTTTTCAGCCCTCACTTCACTGTAGGCATTTACGGTGATGATTTCCTTCTCCAGCAGTCTATCCAAGATGGGTTCCACATGGGTCACTCTGTCGATCAGGGCCGTCCGGTGATGGTCCACAAAGTGTTTGTCTGAGGTAGAGATAGGACATGGTTTGGGACTTTTGGAGGTGATGGAATGCAAAGCATACATAATGTATTTGATAAAGGCCTATATCTCAACACGCCTCCTTTAATGTTGCTTGTTTCTGTGTGTGCGTGCATGTGTGTAGGGTGTGCAAATTGGAGGATAGGCGTGATGCACTTTTTCTAATTCAGACAGGATTAACTAGACTATGGGGAGTGAAAAATGATTCTAGAGGAGGGCAGCAGTTGCAACTTAAGTACGTTGGAAAATAAATTAAAAGGAAGGACTTTTGTGATAGAATATTTAGGTATTGAATGTTTCCCCATAAACCATTACTAATTACAGTAAAATAACAAAAATTATAACGTAGGCCTATTTGAGACATTAGGCTATATAACACCTGGTTTAGTGTTTACCTTTGATCATGTTCTTTGGTCCAGGTGCACTTGCCATTGCAGCACCCGATGTTATGCAGATCCTTGAGCTGTAAAATAGGCTTCATGAGACACCATCAATCGAATAAAAATATGAATAGTAGGCCTAAAGATAAATCAAAATCAGCAAGCAATCGAAATGTGTGTTTATTTCATAATGTATTATGCTTATTTTGAGTTGCAAATGGAATATATGCTACTGTATGCTATCATTCAGCCCAGATGCGCAAAATAGAATGCACTCATAAGTGAAAGTAAAACTGTCAACTTCCTTATAGTTTTCCTTCCATTCGTTATGGACATTACAATGCAATTTATTTTCGCCCTTGGTCTAATAAAGTTTTCTAGCCGACTTTTGCGTTAACTTTAGTGGTTTTTAAACCAGTCAAGGATATGAAATTAAATATATATTTTCTTTTTTAAATGTCCAATGGACGTGCCTCCTACTTGACTTACATTTCTTGAATTCTATCAGTTCCTCTGCGACATTCTGGCAGTTAATTGCACCCAAGACCTCTATAGCCACATTCAGAGCCCCGTCTTCAGTGAAAGTACGGGTCAGAAGGTCTACCAAATCCACTGGGTCCGCTTTCTCAACATTGCCCTTGCGAACTTTTGGTTCCTGCTTGCGGTCACAGAGTTTACGTTTGAACCTCTTCAATTCAGCCTCTTCCAAGTCATCAAGGACACCAATTAATGTATCGCCAACGGTTTTCGACATATTTTATGCCAAACGGTAATTTAGACTAGGTTTTGTGAGATTAGGCTACGTGTCTTCTATTCTATGTTGTCTACAGGATACTGACTGTCTTCTCTCCAAGATAGGCTACTCCTTGCACCGTCGCACGTCATAGGCCTCGTCATAGGTCCATCAGCACTCCAGGACAAACATAATAACCTAATCCCCACTACATTTGACAGAAATGTCATTTAGAATTTATCTTAACGAATTAATTATTTATTATCATATTATTTTTATATATTTGAGATTGCTCTTTTTTATATACAGGCCGTTATACCTTTTGAAATAATAGGCTACAGAAAATGGAAATATCGTTTTTTCAATTCATGTAGTTTATTTACACACATCATTTGACAAACAACATTGTCCCCTACAATCATGTAAATCACACACATTATATTGAACAGAACAAGCTTTGTCCCTCTTCGCTTTATTTTGTCAGCAATGAAAAAGGTAGATAAATATTTATATAAAAGTAGATCCAAACGTTGTTCAACAGCATGGGTGGTAAGTCATACACTAAAACCAAATAACATTTAACGATACTAGGCTACTGTATTACCTGGTAATACAAGTGTAACACTAGCGACATGTTCAGTAGCCAAACGGTGTCGAACGTTGCAGATAGAAATGCCATGAATAGAGCTGACGTGATTCCTGTTTTACATGTCAGAGAGGCATGTTGTTCTACATAACATATTTCTATCTGAACGTTCTAAAATGTTGCGTCCTACTAAACACACCCCAGTATAATACCCAGCAACACGTCAGGGGGCTCTTTAGGAGGGTGCAACATCACAGACCGCTCCGATTGGGAATATATTATTGTCTATTATGTACACTGAAAAAAATATAAACACAACATGTAAAGTGTTGGTCCATGTTTCATGAGCTGATAAAATATTATAAAAGATTGCAGAAATGTTCCATACGCACAAAAAGCTTATTTATCTCAAATTTTGTGTACAAATTTGTTTACATCCCTGTTAGTGAGCATTTCTCCTTTGCCAAGATAATCCATCCACCTGACAGGTGTCGCATATCAAGAAGCTGATTAAACAGCACGATCATTACACAGGTGCACCTTGTGGTGGGGACAATAAAAGGGCACTCTAAAATGTGCAGTTTTGTCACACAACACAATACCACAGATGTCTCAAGTTTTGAGGGAGCGTGCAATTGGCATGCCGACTGCAGGAATGTCCACCATAACTGTTGCCAGAGAATTGAATGTTCATTTCTCTACCATAAGCCGCCTCCAACTTAATTTGAGAGAATTTGGCAGTTTGTCCAAGCAGCCTCACTACCACAGACCAATGTGTATGGCGTTGTGTGGGCGAGCAGATTGCTGATGTCAACATTGTGTAACAGAGTGCCCCATGGTGGTGGTGGGGGCAGGCATAAGTATGGTATGGGCAGGCATAAGCTACAGACAATGAACAGAATTGCATTTTATCAATGGAAATTTCAATGCACAGAAATAAAGTGACGAGATCCTGAGACCCATTGTGAGGCCCATTTTTTTTTAAAGGTATCTGTGACCAACAGATGTATATCTGTATTCCCAGTCATGTGAAATCCATAGATTAGGGCTTAATGAAATTATTTAAATTGACTGATTTCCTCATATGAACTGTAACTCAGGAAAATCGTTGAAATTGTTGCATTTTGCATTTATATTTTGGTTCAATATATACACTATATATACAAAAGTATGTGGACAACCCTTAAAATTAGTGGATTTGCACACAGCCATGCAATCTCCATAGACAAACATTGGCAGTAGAATAGCCTAACTGAAGAGCTCAGTGACTTTCAATGTGGCACTGTCATAGGATGCCACCTTTCCAACAAGTCAGTTCGTCAAATTTCTGCCCGTCTAGAGCTGCCCTGGTCAACTGTATGTGCAGTTATTGTGAAGTGGAAACAACTAGGAGCAACAACGGTTCAGCCGCGAAGTGGTAGGCCACACAAGCTCACAGAACGGGATCGCCGGGTGCTGATGCGCGTAGCGCGAAAGAATCAGTTGTAACACTAACTACCAAGCTCCAAACTGCCTCTGGAAGCAACGTCAGCACAATAACTGTTCATCGGGAACTTCATGAAATAGGTTTCCATGGCCGAGCAGCCTAATTGCCCAACATCAGTGCGCAACTTCACTAATGCTCTTGTGGCTGAATGGAAGCAAGTCCCCGCAGCAATGTTCCAAAATCTAGTGGAAAGACTTCCCAGAAAAGTTGAAGCTGTTGTAGCAGCAAAGGGGGGACCAACTCCATATTAATGCCCATGATTTTGGAATGAGATGTTCGACGAGCAGGTGTCCACATACCTTTGGTCATGTAGTGTATATGCTGAGTGTACAAAACATTAGGAATACCTGCTCTTTCCATGACATAGACTGACCAGGTGAATCCAGGTGAATGCTGGAATCCCTTATTGATGTCACCTGTTAAATCCACTTCAATCAGTGTAGATGAAGGGGAGACAGGTTAAAGAATGATTTTTAAGCCTTGAGACAATTGAGACATGGATTGTGTATATGTGCCATTCAGAGGGTGAATGGGCAAGACAAAATATTTAAGTGCCTTTGAACGGGGTATGGTAGTAGGTGCCAGGCGCACCGGTTTGAGTGTGTCAAGAACTGTAACGCTGCTGGGTTTTTCACGCTCAACAGTTTCCCGTATGTATCAAGAATGGTCCACCACCCAAAAGACATTCAGCCAACTTGACACAACTATGGGAAACATTGAAGTCAACATGGGCCAGCATCCCAGTGGAACGCTTTGAACACCTTGAAGAGTCCATGCCCCGATGAATTGAGGCTGTTCTGAGGGCAAACGGGGATGCAACTCAATATTAAGAAGGTGTTCCTAATGTTTTGTACACTCAGTGTATATTGTAGGCCTATATATTGCCTCCTAATATTGTACAATCTGTGTGTCGCGATAAAAAAACAAAGTCCCAATTTCTTAATCCGGCCCTGCCCCCACAGCAAGACGCATGCTTCACTGGACTCTTCACTGGTGATGATACTGGTGCCCCCAGGCCTGCTAGGATTACTCTATATCCGTGGATAAAATGTTCAGACCGACCAGGACCTCCTGTGCCGTCTTTCCCAGCATCCCCTGCACATCACAGACGAAGCGGTAGACGTAGCGCTTGCCCGTCGTTTTGTGGATGATGTTCTTGTGGTAGTAGTAACGCAGGCCGCGGCTCAGCTTCTCGTAGTTCATCTTGGGCTTGTTCTTACACTGGCCCCAACGCTTGGCCACCTGGATCAAACATTGTTATTTAAATGAATTTCCCATCAAACTAGCTAATTTCTCATTTTTGAACTGCGCATGTGCATGCCGTCAAATCAAAGGCACTCCTTCGATATACAGTTGTTTTTGATGATAACGTGTCAGTTTGCCATTTTCATAAGGTTGGAGTAAGAACATGTTCAGCTACTTAACACATAGGCTCGAATCTACATAGGTTGTGCCTTTAGAAATCGAGAAAATGAACAACTAAGGAAGAATGTTTCACTCTCATTGACTTCCCAAACCCCTGTATGGTCTGTTGGGTCTGCTTTGTGAAGCATTCCAGGAAGTATCGCCATGTTGGGCCCCTGGGTTTAGAAACTCTGTGGTAGTAGTAGTAGCTACCTTCTGAGTTGCATGTGTCATCTCACAGTCATGAACAGGGAAGGCTTCAACTCGACTGTTTGTTAGTAGGCCTATAGAGGCAGATGTCAGCAGCAGAACACATTTCAATCATAGGTAAACAGACTAGTTAGATTGTTTCAACAGCGTAGCTAGCTAACTAGCTGATTTAGCCTACATTATCTAGTTACATTAGCTATGATCAGCTGATATCCCATCCCTCTTTGCTCTCTCTTTGAGCAGTAGGCCTGTCCAGCATAGCCACCATTATTACATAGAAGAAACCTAAACGTCTGTTGAATAAAATTATATTTGAACTTAATCTGCCGATTGTCCGTGGGTTTTCTTCTTATATTCTTCAACAGTTCTGACAAAATATATACAGGAAAGTATTATTAAACAGACTTCAAAACACGGGTCCCTGTGTGTGGCAATCAAGATTTGTTTGCTCATCCCCTAAGGCACGTGCACAAGTTGGAAGTGCATGCACCCAATGCATGGATACTAACCGAAGTCTTGCAGGTGTTTACATGGTTTTGCGCATGTGCCAGGTGATACAAATCTTAATGACAGTACCAGCACTCTAAAAAGTTGAGTAAATAATACTTTCCTGTGGAAACAATCGGCAGAGTAACAATCACAGTAACAATCACATTCGTGACAGATGAGGGACGTTTAGGTTTTCTTCTATGTAATAAATTATGGCTATGCTAGACAGACAATGGAAAGCATTGCCACATCGGGACTATAGCTATAAGCCTGCTTACAGTGGGATGAGTGGGATTTTGCAGGAAATAAAGGCCTATGTCAATTAGCCTATCAGAATCTTCTAAAGCCATGACATCCTTTTCTGGAATTTTCCAAGTTGTTTAAATGCACAGTCAACTTAGTGTATGTATACTTCTGACCCACTGGAATTGTGATGCAGTGAATTATAAATGAAATAATCTGTCTGTAAACAATTGTAGGAAAAATTACTTGTGTCATGCACAAAGTAGATGTCCTAACCGACTTGCCAAAACTATAGTTTGTTAACAAGAAATTTGTGGAGTGGTTGAAAAACGAGTTTTAATGACTCTGTCACGATCTTCGAAGGAGGAGGACCAAGGCGCAGCGTTGAATACAAACATACTTATTTATTCAATGATTACACGAACAAAACAACAAACGATAACGTGACGTCCTCGGTCTAACACAAACCACACTGGAACAAGATTCCACAAAACACTGTGGAAAACAGCCTGTCTAAATATGGTTCCCAATCAGAGACAACCAGCAACAGCTGACACTCGTTGCCTCTGATTGAGAACCACTCTGGCCAACATAGAAACACACGAACTAGAACAGACACCAAGAGCACAAAACATAGACTCTACACACCCTGGCTCAACATAAAAGAGTCCCCAGAGCCAGGGCGTGACAGTACCCCCCCCCCCCCCAAAGGCGCGGACTGCGACCGCGCCTAAACATAACCGAACAGGGGAGGGCTGGGTGGGCATTCCTCCTCGGAGGCGGTTCCGGCTCCGGGCTTGACCACCAACCTCCAACAACCCCCCCGTAGCGCCCCTGGTCCGGTCTGGCCCCGCTGGCTGGAGCTGGACTGGACATCGGTGGAGCGGATTGCTTAGGCTCCGGTGTGGAGCAGCTGACCGGTACCTGACCAGGCACCGGTGACCCAGGCATGGGCTGTGCCGGACTGACGACGCGCAACACTGGCTTGGTGCGTGGAGCAGGAACGGGCCGGACCGGGCTGACGATGCGCACCCCTGGCTTGGTGCGGGGAGCAGGAACGGGCCGTACCGGGCTGACGATGCGCACCCCTGGCTTGGTGCGTGGAGCAGGAACGGGCCGTACCGGGCTGACGATGCGCACCCCTGGCTTGGTGCGTGGAGCAGGAACGGGCCGTACCGGGCTGACGATGCGCACCCCTGGCTTGGTGCGTGGAGCAGGAACGGGCCGGGCCGGGCTGGCGACGCGCACCGTAGGCTTGGTGCGAGGGGCAGGAACAGGCCGGGCTGACGATGTGCACCATTGGCTTGGTTACGGGGAGCAGGAACGGGCCGTACCGGGCTGACGATGTGCACCCCTGGCTTGGTGCATGGAGCAGGAACGGGCCGTACCGGGCTGACGATGCGCACCCCTGGCTTGGTGCGTGGAGCAGGAACGGGCCGGGCCGGGCTGGTGACGCGCACCGTAGGCTTGGTGCGGGGAGCAGGAACAGGCCGGGCCGGGCTGGCGACGCGCACCATTGGCTTGGTGCGAGGGGCAGGAACAGGCCGGGCCGGGCTGGCGACGCGCACCATTAGCTTGGTGCGGGGAGCAGGAACAGGCCGGGCCGGGTGACGCACACCGTAGGCTTGGTGCGAGGGGCAGGAACAGGCCGGGCCGGACTGGCAACGCGCACCGTAGGCTTGGTGCGAGGGGCAGGAACAGGCCGGGCCGGGCTGACGATGCGCACCATTAACTTAGTGCGGGGAGCAGGAACGGGTCGGGCCGGACTGGGAACACGCACTACTAACTTAGTGCGGGGAGCAGGAACGGGCCGGACCGGACTGGTGACACACACCACTTGCTTGGTGTGAGGAGCGGGACTGGGTTTCTTCATAACCCTCCGCTCCCTCAGCTGCCTACTCAGTTCCTCTCGCCTTGCCTCTACTCTCTCCTTCTCCCTTCTAGCCTCCAGTAGCTCCGTCCTCTGACCCACTAACTCCTGCTCTCTCCTTACCAATAGCCCCCTTAACCTGGTGGCCTCCTCACCTAACCTCCCAATACGCCCTGTAGCTGCCTCCTGCTGCCCCGTCGCCCATGCCGTGTGCCCCCCCCCTAAAAAATGTTTGGGGTTGCCTCTCGTCCGTCCGACGACAACACTGTTGACGCTGTTGCTCCTCTCTCGCCAGGGCCTTAACTTTAGCCCATGGCCCTTTTCCCGCGAGCATGTCCTCCAAGGACCACCATTGGCCCACCTGGGCCATCGCCAACCTCTCCAGCTCCTTACCCGGCGCTTCCTCCTGGACACGCTGCTTGGTCCTGTTTTGGTGTTCTGTGCTACGTGTTTCCCTCCGTTGTTTGGAGAGGTTTTTCGCACATGTTAGTGCGCCTTTTGTTTAACGCCTGTGTGCGCCTTTATTTCGCCTCCGGGCTTGTTGGGCTCGTGTACTACGTGAATATTTCACTAAAGTCTTTTGGACTTAGTTTCTGCGTCCTGCGCTTGATTCCTGCACCACACCCACCTTCAGCACCCATTGACAGACTCCAACCTAAGTATATGTAAACCTCCAACTTCAACTGTATATATATAGCTAAATTAGCATGAGATAATAAGATATGGGGCTTTTTTCACTTTGCGCACCTTCCACTCCAAAGGTCTGTGCACGGCCCTGCATAACACAATGTTACTTCATGTATGTGTATGTTTTCTATTGTTGAGTTCAAAACAGCTAGCTGGTTAAAATTCACAACTGAGTATTTGTTCATGAAAAGAAAAAACTGCCATCAATAGAAAATTCTGTCATTTATTGCAAACTTTGGAGACAATTCATTTTTCCAATTTAAGAATATACTGTAAACCAGTGTGCATTATTATCATCACATTCTTGTCCCTTGCCTTTAAAAAAATCTGAAATGGCCATTATTCCCCTTTCAGGTCAATGATTAGCCATGGCTCCAGAGCTATCAGGATATCTAAGAATATATCTTTGCCTTTGGTCCCACATGCTTTCAAAGGGCCATCGAAGAGCTCCCTCATTCTTTTCTGGTTGGTTTTTTCAGCCCTCACGTCACTGTAGGCATTTGCGGTGATGATTTCCTTCTCCAGGAGTCTATCCAAGATGGGTTCCACCTGGGTCACTCTGTCGATCAGGGCCGTCCGGTGATGGTCCACAAAGTGTTTGTCTGAGGTAGAGATAGGACATGGTTTGGGACTTTTGGAGGTGATGGAATGCAAAGCATACATAATGTATTTGATAGGGGGCTATATCTCTACACGCCTCCTTTAATGTTGCTTGTTTCTGTGTGTGCGTGCATGTGTGTAGGGTGTGCAAATTGGAGGATAGGCGTGATGCACTTTTTCTAATTCAGACAGGATTAAATAGGCTATGGGGAGTGAAAAATACTGTTGAAGACTCTAGAGGGCAGCAGTTGCACCAACAGTATGTTGGAGAATAAATTAAAAGGAAGGACTTTTGTGATAGAATACTTTAGGTATTGAATGATTCCCCATAAACCATTACTAATTACAGTAAAATATTTGTTTAAATAACGTAGGCCTATTTGAGACATTAGGCTATATAACACCTGGTTTAGTGTTTACCTTTGATCATGTTCTTTGGTCCAGGTGCACTTGCCATTGCAGCACCCGATGTTACGCAAGATCCTTGAGCTGTAAAATAGGCTTCATGAGACACCATCAATCGAATACAAATATGAATAGTAGGCCTAAAGATAAATCAAAATCAGCAAGCAATCGAAATGTGTGTTTATTGCATAATGTATTATGCTTATTTTGAGTTGCAAATGTATATATATGCTACTGTATGCTATCATTCAGCCCAGATGAGCAAAATAGAATGCACTCATAAGTGAAAGTAAAACTGTCAACTTCCTTAAAGTTTTCCTTACATTCGTTATGGACATTTCAATGCAATTTATTTTCGCCCTTGGTCTAATAAAGTTTTCTAGCCGACTTTTGCGTTAACTTTAGTGGTTTTTAAACCAGTCAAAGATATGAAATTAAATATATATTTTCTTTTTTAAATGTCCAATGGACGTGCCTCCTACTTTATTCGACTTACATTTCTTGAATTCCAGCAGTTCCTCTGCGACATTCTGGCAGTTAATTGCACCCAAGACCTCTATAGCCACATTCAGAGCCCCGTCTTCAGTGAAAGTACGGGTCAGAAGGTCTACCAAATCCACTGGGTCCGCGTTCTCAACATTACCCTTGCGAACTTTTGGTTCCTGCTTGCGGTCACAGAGTTTACGTCTGAACCTCTTCAATTCAGCCTCTTCCAAGTCATCAAGGACACCAATTAATGTATCGCCAACGGTTTTCGACATATTTTATGCCAAACGGTAATTTAGACTAGGTTTTGTGAGATGAGGATACGTATCTTCTATTCTATGTTGTCTATAGGATACTGACTGTCTTCTCTCCAAGATAGGCTACTCTATCGCACCGTTCACGTCATAGGCCTCGTCATAGGTCCATCAGCACTCCAGGACAAACAGATTAACCTCGTCCCCACTACATTTGACAGAAATGTCGTTTAGAATTTATCTTAACGAATTCATTATTTATTATCATATTCTTTTTATATATTTGGGATTGCTATTTTTTATATATAGGCCGTTATACCTTTTGAAATAATAGGCTACAGTTATAGTTTTTTCAATTTATGTAGTTTATTTACACACATCATTTGACAAACAACATTGTCCCCTACAATCATGTAAATCACACACATTATATTGAACAGAACAAGCTTTGTCCCTCTTCGCTTTATGTTGTCAGCAATGAAAAGGGTAGATAAATATTTATATAAAAGTAGATCCAAACGTTGTTCAACAGCATGGGTGGTAAGTCATACACTAAAACCAAATAACATTTAACGATACTAGGCTACTGTATTACCTGGTAATACAAGTGTAACACTAGCGACATGTTCAGTAGCCAAACGGTGTCGAACGTTGCAGATAGAAATGCCATGAATAGAGCTGACGTGATTCCTGTTTTACATGTCAGAGAGGCATGTTGTTCTACATAAAATATTTCTATCTGAACATTCCCAAAATGTTGCGTCCTACTAAACACACCCCAGTATAATACCCAGCAACACGTCAGGGGGCTCTTTAGGAGGGTGCAACATCACAGACCGCTCCGATTGGGAATACATTATTGTCTATTATGTACACTGAAAAAAATATAAACACAACATGTAAAGTGTTGGTCCCATGTTTCATGAGCTGAAATAAAAGATCGCAGAAATTTTCCATACGCACAAAAAGCTTTTTAATCTCAAATTTTGTGCACTCATTTGTTTACATCCCCGTTAGTGAGCATTTCTCCTTTGCCAAGATAATCCATCCACCTGACAGGTGTGGCATATCAAGAAGCTGATTAAACAGCAAGATCATTACACAGGTGCACCTTGTGGTGGGGACAATAAAAGGGCACTCTAAAATGTGCAGTTTTGTCACACAACACAATGCCACTCTCAAGTTTTGAGGGAGCATGCAATTGGCATGCCGACTGCAGGAATATCCACCAGAGCTGTTTACCAGAGAATTGAATGTTCATTTCTCTACCATAAGCCGCCTCCAACTTAATTTGAGAGAATTTGTCCAACCAGCCTCACAACCACAGACCAACGTGTATGGCGTCGTGTGGGCGAGCAGATTGCTGATGTCAACGTTGTGTAACAGAGTGCCCCATGGTGGTGGTGGGGGCAGGCATAAGTATGGTATGGGCAGGCATAAGCTACGGACATTTTATCGATGGAAATTTCAATGCATAGAAATACCGTGACGAGATCCTGAGGCCCATTGTGAGGCCCATTTTTTTAAAGGTATCTGTGACCAACAGATGTATATCTGTATTCCCAGTCATGTGAAATTCATAGATTAGGGCTTAATGAATTTATTTCAATTGACTGATTTCCTCATATGAACTGTAACTCAGGAAAATCGTTGAAATTGTTGCATGTTGCGTTTATATTTTTGTTCAGTAAATACACTATATATACAAAAGTATGTGGATACCCCTTAAAATTAGTGGATTTGGCTATTTCATACAAATCAAGCACACAGCCATGCAATCTCCATAGACAAACATTGGCAGTAGAATAGCCTAATGTAAGAGCTCAGTGACTGTCAATGTGGCACCGTCATAGGATGCCACCTTTCCAACAAGTCAGTTCATCAAATTTCTGCCCTGCTAGAGCTGCCCTGGTCAACTGTAAGTACAGTTATTGTGAAGTGGAAACAACTAGGAGCAACAACAGCTCAGCCGTGAAGTGGTAGGCCACACAAGATCACAGAACGGGATCGCCGGGTGCTGAAGCGCGTAAGAATCAGTTGCAACACTAACTACCAAGTTCCAAACTGCCTCTGGAAGCAACGTCAGCACAAGAACTGTTCATCGGGAGCTTCATGAAATGGGTTTCCATGGCCGAGCAGCCGCACACAAGCCTAAGATCACCATGTGCAATGTCAAGCATCGGCTGGAGTGGTGTAAAGCTCGCCGCCATTGGACTCTGGAGCAGTGGAAACACATTCTCTGGAGTGATGAATCACACTTCACCATCTGGCATTCCAACAGACAAATCTGGGTTTGGTTGATGCCAGGAGAACGCTACCTGCCCGAATACATAGTGCCAACTGTAAAGTTTGGTGGAGGAGGAATAATGGTCTGGGGCTGTTTTTCATGGTTCAGGCTGGGCCCCTAAGTTCCAGTGAAGGGAAATGTAAATGCTACAGCATACAATGAACTTCTAGATGATTCTGTGCTTCCAACTTTGTGGCAACAGTTAGGGAAAGGCCCTTTCCTGTTTCAGCATGACAATGCCCTTTCCCCCTTCTGATAACCAGGTGGCGAATCGCATCTCTGCATGTCTGGCAGACATATCAGTGTGGATGACGGATCACCACCTCAAGCTGAACCTCGGCAAGACGGAGCTGCTCTTCCTCCCGGGGAAGGTCTGCCCATTCCATGATCTCGCCATCACGGTTGACAACTCTGTTGTGTCCTCCTCCCAGAGTGCAAAGAGCCTTGGCGTGACCCTGGACAACACCCTGTCGTTCTCCGCTAACATCAAGGCGGTGACCCGATCCTGTAGGTTCATGCTCTACAACATTCGCAGAGTACGACCCTGCTTTACACAGGAAGCGGCACAGGTCCTAATCCAGGCACTTGTCATCTCCCGTCTGGATTACTGCAACTCGCTGTTGGCTGGGCTCCCTGCCTGTGCCATTAAACCCCTACAACTCATCCAGAATGCCGCAGCCCGTCTGGTGTTCAACCTTCCCAAGTTCTCTCACGTCACCCCGCTCCTCCGCACACTACACTGGCTTCCAGTTGAAGCTCGCATCTGCTACAAGACCATGGTGCTTGCCTATGGAGCTGTGAGGGGAACGGCACCTCCGTACCTTCAGGCTCTGATCAGTCCCTACACCCAAACGAGGGCATTGCGTTCATCCACCTCTGGCCTGCTGGCCCCCCTACCTCTGCGGAAGCACAGTTCCCGCTCAGCCCAGTCAAAACTGTTTGCTGCTCTGGCACCCCAATGGTGGAACAAGCTCCCTCACGACGCCAGGACAGCGGAGTCACTCACCACCTTCCGGAGACACTTGAAACCCCACCTCTTTAAGGAATACCTGGGATAGGATAAAGTAATCCTTCTACCCCCCCTTACCCCACCCCAAAGAGAGAAAAAAAAAACATATTGTAAAGTGGTTGTCCCACTGGCTATCATAAGAGATCCTGAGTGGCGCAGTGGTCTAAGGCACTGCATCGCAGTGCTAACTGTGCCACTAGAGATCCTGGTTCGAATCCAGGCTCTGTCGCAGCCGGCCGTGACCGGGAGACTCATGGGCGGCAGACAATTGGCCCAGCGTCGTCCAGGGTAGGGGAGGGAATGGCCGGCAGGGATGTAGCTCAGTTGATAGAGCATGGCATTTGCAACGCCAGGGTTGTGGGTTCGATTCCCACGTGGGGCCAGTATAAAAAATAAAAAAAAGATGTATTCACTAACTGTAAGTCGCTCTGGATAAGAGCGTCTGCTAAATGACTAAAATGTAAGGTGAATGCACCAATTTGTAAGTCTCTCTGTATAAGAGCTTCTGCTAAATGACGAAAATGTAAATGTGCACAACACGAGGTCCATACAGAAATTGTTTGTCGACCTCAGTGAGGAAGAACTTGACTGGCCTGCACAGAGCCCTGACCTCAACCCCATCAAACACCTTTGGGATGAATTGGAGAGCCGACTGCGAACCAGGCCTAATTGCCCAACATCAGTGCCCGACCTCCCTAATGCTCTTGTGGCTGAATGGAAGCAAGTCCCCGCATCAATGTTCCAAAATCTAGTGGAAAGCCTTTCCAGAAAAGTTGAAGCTGTTGTAGCAGCAAAGGGGGACCAACTCCATATTAATGCCCATAGTTTTGGAATGAGATGTTCGACGAGCAGATGTCCACTATACTTTTGGTCATGTAGTGTTTATGCTGAGTGTACAAAACATTAGGAACACCTGCTCTTTCCATGACATAGACTGACCAGGTGAATCCAGCTGAAAACTATGATCCCTTATTGATGTCACCTGTTAAATCCACTTCCATCAGTGTAGATGAAGTGGAGACAGGTTATAGAAGGATTTGTAAGCCTTGAGACAATAGAGACATGGATTGTGTATATGTGCCATTCAGAGGGTGAATGGGCAAGACAAAATATTTAAGTGCCTTTGAACGGGGTATGGTAGTAGGTGCCAGGCGCACCGGTTTGAGTGTGTCAAGAACTGCAACGCTGCTGGGTTTTTCACGCTCAACAGTTTCCCGTGTGTATCAAGATTGGTCCACCACCCAAAAGACATTCAGCCAACTTGACACAACTATGGGAAACATTGAAGTCAACATGGGCCAGCATCCCTGTGGAACGCTTTGAACACCTTGTAGAGTCCATGCCCCGCCCCGATGAATTGAGGCTGTTCTGAGGGCAAACGGGGGTGCAACTCAATATTAAGAAGGTGTTTATAATGTTTTGTACACTCAGTGTATATTATAGGCCGATATATTGCCTCCTAATATAGTACAATCTGTGTTGCGATAAAAAAAATTTGATTGTTCAGGCATAATGGGATCCATCTCGTCCAAAAAGTTGACTCAAGTTTGCCAAAAAGCACCTGGATGATCATCAAGACTCTTGGAAGAACGTTCTATGGACAGATGATTCAAAAGTATAACTTTTTGGACGACATGGTTCCAGTAATGCCTGGCGAAAACCAAACTCTGCATTCCACAGTAAGAACATCATACCAAAGGTCAAGCATGTTGGTGGTGGTGTGATGGTTTGGGGATGCTTTGCTGCCTCAGGACCTGGATGACTTGCCTTAATAGAAGAAACCATGAATTCTGCTCTGTATCAGAGAATTCTACAGGAGAATGTCAGACCATCCGTCTGTGAGCTGAAGCTGAAGCGCAGCTGGGTCATGCAGCAAGACAATGACCCAAAACACACAATCAAGTCTACATGGAAATTGCTAAAAAGCAACACATTTGAAGTTTTGGAATGGCCTAGTCAAAGTCCAGACCTAATCCCAATTGAGATGTTGTGACAGGACTTGAAACGAGCAGTTAATGCTTGAAAACCCACACGTCACTGAGTTAAAGCAGTTCTGCATGGAAGAGTGGGCCAAAATTCCTCCACAGCGACGTGAGAGACTGATCAACAACTACAGGAAGCGTTTGGTTGGAGTCATTGCAGCTAAAGGTGGCACAACCAGTTATTGAGTGTAAGGGGGCAATTACTTTTTCACACAGGGGAATTGGGTGTTGCATAACTTTGTTTATGAAATAAATATGTCATTGTTGTGTTATTTGTCCACTTATGTTCCCTTTATCTAATATTAGGTTTTGGTTGAAGATCTGATAACATTCAGTATCACAAATATGCAAAAGTAGAGAAAATTAGAAAGGGGGCAAATACTTTTTCATAGCACTGTATATATGCATCTAAATTAGCATTAGATAATAAGATGTGGGGCTTTTTTCACTTTGCGCAACTGCCACTCCAAAGGTCTGTGCACGGCCCTGCATAACACAATGTTACTTCATGTATTTGTATGTTTTCTATTGTTGAGTTCAAAACAGCTAGCTGGTATTAGTTAAGTATAAGTATTAGTTAATGAAAAGAAAAAACTGCGGTCAATAGAAAATTCTGTCATTTATTGCAAACTTTGGAGACAATTCATTTTTCCAATTTAAGAATATACTGTAAATGAGATTGCACTATTTTCATCAAATTCTTGTCCCTTGCTTTTAAAAACATCTCAAATGGCCTCTATCCCCAGTATTCCCCCTTCAGGTCACTGATTAGGAATGGCTCCAGATCCATCAGGATATCTAAGAACATATCTTTGCCTTTGGGCCCATATGCTTTCACAGGGCCATCGAAGAGCTCCCTCATCCTTTTCTAGTTGGTTCTGTTAGCCCTCACGTCACTGTAGGCATATGTGGTGATGATTCCCCTCTCCAGGAGTCTATCCAAGATGGGTTCCACCTGGCTCACTCTGTTGATCAGATCTGTCCGGTGATGGTCCACATAGTGTTTGTTTGAGGTAGAGATAGGACATGGTTTGGGACTTTTGGAGTTGATGGAATGTAATGCATACATAATGTATTTGATAGGGGCCTATATCTCTACATGCCTCCTCTAATGTTTTGTGTCTTTGTGTGTAGGGTGTGCAACTTGGAGGATAGGTGTGATGCACTTTTTCTAATTCAAACAGGATTAAGGGGAAAGAGTGACAATGCTGTTAAATATTCTGGGCAGCAGTTGCACCTGTTGAAGAAATTAAAAGGAGGGACTGTTGTGATTGTTTAACGAGGTAGAATACTTTAGGTTGGCCTATTTGATGTTTTCCTATATAAACCATTTCTAATTACTGTAAAACATACATTTTAATAATGTATTTGAGACATTAGGCTATATAACACTTGGTATATTGCTTACCTTTGATAATGTTCTTTGGTCCAGGTGCATATAAAACATCTACTGTATTTATTTATTTCCTTCCCACTGCAGCGCCCGATGTTACACAAGATCCTTGAGCTGTAAAATAGTCTTCATGAGTCACCACCAATCGTAATAGTAATCAAAATCAGCAAGCAATATAAATGTTTGTTTATTCCATTATGTATTAGGCCTATTTTGAGTTGCAAATGGAAATATGCTATAGGCTATCATTCAGCCCAGCCTCATTAGTGAAACTGAAACTGTCAACTTCCTTATAGTTTTCTCAATGCAATTGATTTAGGCCCTATGTCTAATAAAGTGTTCTTCTAGACTACTTTTGTTAACTTAAGTGGGGTTTTTTGTGCCTAATTATATATATATATTAAATCCAATGTACGTGCCTCCTACTTTATTCGACTTTATTCTAGAAATTAATGCCCCCAAGACCTCTATAGCCACATCCAAAGTCCCAGGTTCAATTAAGTTGCGGATCAGACAGAATCAAGTCCAGTATGTCCGCTTTTTCAACCCTGCCCTTGCGAATTGGTGGCCCCTGCTCCTGCTTGCGGTCACAGACTTTACGGTTGAACCTCTTCAATTCAACCTCTCCCAAGTCATCAAAGACACCAATTCATGTATCGCCGACAGTTTTCTGCATTCTTAATGCCAAACTGTAATTGTTACTAGGTTTTGTGAGATTAGGCTACATGTCTTCTATTCTCTGTTTTCTATAGGCTACTGGCTGTCTTCTCTTCAAGATACTGTATATACATTCGCATGTCATAGGCCAAGGGGCGGTCCTTCCGCACACTCAAAATAACCTAATCCATTACATTTTTACAAAAATGTCATTTAGAATTTATCTTCACAAATGTATTATTTATTATATTATTTGTATATATTTTCACCTGCTCATTTTTATTTATTTTTTATTTTATTGCCTATAGGCCTTATACCTTTCGAAATAATACAGAACATTTAAAATATTACTTTTTTTCTACTTATGTACAGTTTATTTACAATCATTTTACAAACAACATTGTTCCCTAAATCATGTAAATCACACACATTATATTCAACAGAACAGGCATTGTCCCTCTTCGCTTTATTTTGTCAGCAATAAAAGAGGTAGATATGTAAGGGTATAAAAATAAACAGATCCTCATAGCCAAAGTTAATGTCAAACATTGTTCAACAGCATGGGTGGTAAGCAGGGGTGTCATGCACCCATTATTTTAGAGGGGGCACGAAGTACTTGAGGATGGAGGGGGGTTGTTAATCACTATCCATGGCATTACCATAAAGAGCATCAGTATTGGAGACAGCTCGGCTTACAGTTTCATTGAGCGCTTATTCTGTTGATGTTAATAAGTCATGTGGTTTATAGGAGGTAAGTCATACACTAAAACCAAATCAAATTGAAGGCTACTACAGAATTGTTTTTTATTCAGATTTTCCAGGGGGTGTTGCACCCCTACTTCCCGCAGCTATGGCTAGAACTGTATCACTTGGTAATAAAAGTGTTACACCAAACGTTGTGTTACACCAAACGTTGTCTAACACCGCAGATAGAAATGCCATGAATAGAGCCGACTTGATTCCTTTTCTACATGTCAAAGAGGTATGTTTGTTCTACATAGCATATTTCTAGTGATGTAGCAATAACAGTATCAAGAGCCAATAGCACCAATAAGAACCAGTGCTGCTGGTACACTCCCCCTACTGCGACGCCCATGCTTCGCTGGACTCTGGTGATGATACTGGTGCCCCCAGGCCTGCTAGGATGACTCTATATCCGTGGGTAAAATGTTCAGACCGACCAGGACCTCCTGTGCCGTCTTTCCCAGCATCCCCTGCACATCACAGACGAAGCGGTAGACGTAGCGCTTGCCCGTCGTTTTGTGGATGATGTTCTTGTGGTAGTAGTAACGCAGGCCGCGGCTCAGCTTCTCGTAGTTCATCTTGGGCTTGTTCTTACACTGGCCCCAACGCTTGGCCACCTGGATCAAACACAAAGGGGGTGGTTGTTAAAAAATAACCACAAACACCTGACAGCATATTTCCATTGCTCAATCCTATGCTGGTTTCCAACTCCTACTATGAGTGGTTACAATCTCTCACAATCAGTAGAGAAACTCACCTCTGCTGGGTCTGACATCTTGAACTCCCAGCCGTCTCCTGTCCAGCAGATGAAGGTACAGCAGGCGGAGTCTAAAAGCAGCTCCAGTAAGAACTGCCACAATTGGATGGGCCCTGATCCTGAATAGAGAGAAAAGACGCATCAAAATATTATTATTTTTTGCCTGCTACTCTAAGATATACTATGAACTTGTTTCTATTTAAAAGAAGACACAGTAATGACAAAAGCACATTCTAGAGCAAACACACAATCAGGCTCCAATATACACACACTACCCATGCTCACACACACTTGTATAACAGCAGTAATGATAAGTCATGATAAGAGACTAGTCTCACCTGGATAAGCTGACATTCCCATCACTTGTCCTCCTTCCCTCTCGGGTCTTTGGGAGTGTGTACTTTTGCGTTTGGCCACACGGTGGCAGTACTGCTCTGAGGGCTGCTGTGGTCCAGGGATTGAGGAACAAGATGGAGGGTGGTGAGGAGGCGGCAGGGGTGCGCCATAGCTGGGAGAGGGGTAGTCCGGCCAGAAGGAGGAGGACCTCTTCTGTGCTTCTGAGTCGTACAGTTTTCCACCTGAGTGGCTTTGCTCAGCTTCACCTATGGAAGAGGAGGAGGAGTTAGACATTGCATATATTATCCAAGTAATCATAGCCTATGGATTTCTCTGTGTGGTTCTTTTTATAAATTAAATAAACGAAGGAGAGCTGGTTATAACAAACAGCTTGAAAAAGTATATGAATTAGACGTTACACAGCCTACAAAAAAAACAGGCAATATGTTTTTAAACACAAATAGGCCTAATGGTCATGCATTGGTTAATTCCATTTTTTTTGCATTATGTCTCAAATGTGTGGTTCTTCCTACCGAGGTGGTCCAGGCTGACAGTGCTGGGGGTCCCTCTGTGGCTCGTTCCTTTTCCAGCGAGGAAGGAGTTGCTGGTGCTGGCATCCTCCATGCCTGGGCTGAACTGTCCACTCTGGGCTGGGGAACACAGGGGTACAAGACTGTGGTAAGTCTGGGTGGAATCCTGGAACCCCACTTGAGACTGGTCCAAAGTCAGCCCATCTAATAATAGATAGAGGCGAAAAAAATGGAATTAACAATCATGATCAATATTCATTCATTTCTAATACTACAACAGGTGTTGATAATAGAATCATTCTCAAAATGATAGAAACATATGGATTGGAGAATAGGCGACTGACACGCACCACTTGGGTATGACGCCCAACAGTTAAACTCTGGGTATGAATCCAGGTTGAACAGGACAGAGTCACTGGAGGTTACTGTAAAAAAGAATGAAAGACGTCAAAAATAAATACACGTGAGCAACATTGGAAGTTAGTCAATGGTCATTGACAGGCCTATATAGTGATTTTTTCCCCCAGAATGCTTATCAGAGTGGTCTAATAAAGTGGTTGTTAAAGAGTCTTTATAACAGTCTTTATATGTGTACCTTTGTTGTCGTACGGACGTGGATTCTTCTGCGGCTCTCCGTAACTCTCTGGATACTGCTGCTGCTGCCCAGGTCTTTTACCGTCTAATAGAAAAGACAGGTCTTCATCACTGTAGTCTGGAGGTCACAGAGATAGAAGAGAATGATAGGGATGAGTCAAAAGGCAGAAAGATCTAAATAGAACTCAAAATGGAATAGAAATACAATACGTTTAGAATGTAATAGGTTTTAATGATACGAAGGGGTTACAAGCTTATCTCTAAAGACTGTCTAACTGCTATTATAGAAGCGATAATATGTTACGGTCTACTACTATTACTCATCATTCTTATTTATGTTTAATAATAGTAATAATGATACATTAATATATCTATTCAACAACTATTCTGCAGCACCCAGAACAAAATCTCAACCGTACCCATTTTAGTTGAATGGAGGGAGAAGGGGAAACAGAGGGAAAGAGGAGGAAACGCCAGAGGAGGGAGTGTGACAGAGTAGTGATGAAGGGGGAGGAGAGGGGCTCTAAATCTGTTGGAGAAGGAAGTCTGGAGGAAAGGATTAGGGAAAGAGAGAGGGAGGGTCTTTAACCCGACCACTCCGTCTCGCTCTACCTCCCTCAGTCAGACTGACATTCCTACAAACAGTGTATGGACAAACACCCCAGCACCCCTTTTCCTGACGCAGCCCTCGGTTGGGTAGAAGAAGCAGATGTCAAGGTCTCATTTTGAGTTTCCTGACAGGGCTGACGAGATACTAACTCTGCAAAACATTTCCTTTGTCCTTCAACTACTACACAGAGCTACAGGAAACATAGCTCAAAATCTTATCATAGAAAAATGTGGATACTCAGAGTTATTTTCAGAGTGTCTAAGGCACTGTATCTCAGTGCTTGAGGCATCACTACAGACCCCCTGGTTCGATTCCATGCTGTATCACAACTGGCCGTGATTGGGAGTCCCATAGGGCGGCACACAATTGGCCCAGCGTCGTCCGGGTTTGGCCGGTGTAGGCCGTCATTGTAAATAAGAATTTGTTCTTAACTGACTTGCCTAGTTAAATAAAGGTAAAATAAAAAAATTAAAAAATAACGAATAAAGTTGATGATTAATCATAATTCAAGTGGCGATGGTGGCAGTTATTTGGTTTGGGGTGAAGTTAAATCTGAACTGATACATTGACCAGTGTTAATCAATAAGTTATCCAATGAGAACATGACTTACCATATGATGCAAAGTCAAAACCAGCAGGGACTTCCTGTGTCCTGAAGTCTTCCATATAATATCCAGCTTGGTACATTTCCATCTGTTTGGAAAAATTGGAATACATATGTCATAACCATTTTATTGTGGAACATCTTTTTCATACAATTATACATCTTTGGTTGATTTCTTTAAAATGGTCTCTGAAAATGTAAATATAATATAATGCATTCTAAATGTTCGTGCAGACTGCATACATAAACAAACTTAAAATCGCAGGAGGCAAAATCCTACCTTTATTTTAGAGTCTTTTGTGTCTATGTTTCTCTCGTTGGATTTCAGGATGGTATCCCAGTACATATTTGACGGGAACAGTTGCGTCCACTTGGAGTTCAGAGTTACAATTGTGTTGTCTCCCTCTGCCCGGCCCAGTCCCGTTATAAAGCAGCGGGGCTTGGAGGGGCGTGCCTGCTCCCCGGCGCAAAGGAATGTGTCCTCTTGCTTCGTGACTACCCCGGTCCCAAAAAACTGCGGTTTAACTGACTGTGACGTCAGCCACGACTCACGAACACAGATTTGGCAGCCAGACACACACAATCATTCACAAAAAATCTATCATAAAATGGTCAATTGAGCGCCCAAAATCTAATCAACATTGCATGCCCAATTGGCTATCTTACTCCCATGATAAATTGACATCCCATTCATGATCAGATAATGTAAGGATAGTTTATTAGTGTAATCCTAGATATATTATTTTATAGGAATACAACTTGATCTACAAATTATTTTATTTAAATTAGGCCTATAGAAACTATAGCCAATGTATTGAGAAAATGTTTTCCCCCCAATTAGGTCTATTGCGAATACCCAATAGGCTACACCAAAACGCCGGTATGTCTATCAATAGGCTAGGCCGACTTTAAATAAATAAGGTTCAACTATTTGAACTTGATCTTATATTTATTTTCTCACCTTTAAGATATTTTTACGTCGACATTGACGCATGCACATAGACCAAAACACATTAGGCCTATACTATCAAACAGGCCGCTAGACCTTGAACAGTGGTGACAAGTTATTGGTTGTGGACATTTTAAAGAAAAAAGGCAATTGTATTTTGTCATTTAAAACATCTATGGAAATCATGGCCTTTTTCTATGCTTGGTAACGTCGACTAATCACAACCCCATGCCAGCCAGGGTTGGGGACAGAGAGGGTTTTTTAAAATCAGAACTTCCAAGTTGGTTATAATGAGGTGGGAGGCCATGAGCATATCTTTAGAAGCCATTCAACAGAACAATAGCCCGTAAACTACATGCTGAAGCTCCGAAATCACGGCGTGAGTGGCCTGAGCAGATAAGGGCCGGCACAAGCGCCTTGTATAAACAAACACCGCAATTTTCCCCGTCTGAGAAAAAAATACATCTGGAAAAGTGAGCTGCCAAGTCGTGTACGGTGTGGGAGGCACGAGTCGTGATTGGGACCCCCCCCCCTGTCTCCAGACAAGGACACATGGGAGTTCGAGTTACACAACCTCTTGGCCGGCCTAATGATGACGAGTCCATCATCAACTCAACTCATTTACCAACTGAATAATGACACAATGAAAAACTCCAGAATATTATAAAGCTGAACAATACCATAACCTCAATCAAAATATCTCATAGACGATCTTAATAAATTAAAATAGGCCAAACATTGTTCAGTGGACTGAAGGAACAGTTGAAATATATTTCGTTATTTCCTTGCACAAATGAGAAAACTTTTAAACGTATATGACAGAAAATGCATAATAAATCTAGGTATACTAGTAGGCTATTAATGCTGAGCCTTGTAACCGGGCTTGGGTTAATCTCATCTAGGCTATATATATATATATATATATATATATATATATATATATATATTTGTATTTATGTTTTACATAAAAAGTCCAAAGAAAGTTTCGATGTTCTGAACACATTATGGTGATAGACAAACTACATATATATTTGTATTTATGTTTTACATAAAAAGTCCAAAGAAAGCTTCGATGTTCTGAACACATTATGGTGATAGACAAACTAAAGTAGGTATAGCCTACTCCATGCATGCGTTAAAGCCAGATTGAGGCATAAGCAATGTGTGATAGCTTTCATGATAAACCCATGGAAATTGATAATTAAAAACAAATATTTTCTATGAAAATACAGAAACTCACATTTTCTGTTGTCTAACTTTGCACACAATTAAATCATAAAACAATGTATTACGAATTGTGTTAAAGTCACCGTTTACGTTCAACCTCAATGAAGTGCATTGGGTCTATCCTATTAAAGCCATATCTATAGTCTCCATCTATACTTGCAGACTAAAAAAGTAAAGGCCTTAAAATATGCACTTTCCTACATCGATGATAGATGGTTATTTGTCAGAGAACATTTCATTATCAGTTTGCTAAGGGGAACATGGTGTAACTTTGTACCCTACTTTGTGAGGAGGTTCTTTTTATCACAGTGTGCAAGTTTGCGGTCAGAGATTTTTTGACATCAGTTGCAATTTCCGGAGTCATATTTAGAAAAACTACAGGAAGGCTCTACAATGTTAATTACCACTATGGTTATTATGGTGAGGCTATTCAAATTTAGAAAGTTGCAAGCAACAGGCTTTTGAATTACAAACGAATGTGTTTATCTCAACAATGCCCATGAACAAATTAGAAATATGCCTACATTCATTTGTAAATGACATGTTGCGTGGAACACACATGATGCAATGTGTTTGTGCACCACAAAATGCATGATGGCAATAAATATTTCTCTAAACATTGCTGGACGATAACAACACTCGGAGCAAAGCCTACAGAAGCCCAACAGCTCTGCACCTTAATTGTGTCCAATCATCAGCCTGATCAACTTTTACGCACAGTCAGATTAGGAAGATTGTCATCGTTGGTTTGTAGGCTAATCAGCAGGTTTCTGTGTGCAATGTTTTAAGAAATTAAAAAGGACTTCGTTTCACCAGTAGGGACCCAGCCCTAATGTGTTGTTAGAGTGACTTCACTTCCCAATTTAGAGTGAGAGAGAGAAAAAAAGCTGCCATCCGGTTATGGACTAAGCGAGAATTGTTGCTGCAATGGTTTGCGCCAAAGGGTAAATGCGCTTGTGCATGGGTTGATGCGATTCAGTCAGGCTTTCCAGACTAGTTATAACGTGTTTAAATGACTAAATGAGAAACAACGACTGAGTGACTGCTACAATGGACTGTACGATAAAGGTAGGCGATTGAACTGGTTTTATTGTCGCTTGTGAAAACGATACGCAGCCACCCACTGAGTCGGTTAGCACGTCTCTGTTTGTTGAGTGAGAGAGGCAAAGCGGTGATGCGAGGTCCCCACTCTTTCCTTCTTGTACAAAATTTCCTCTTCCTTCCCGTTCGTGGTTGTATGTCGGCTCTTTAATAACACAAGTAACCACTACATCTTTACACTCCGATAAAAACGAAATGGTGTCCAGCACTGCACGCGTAAAAAGGGGCGCGCAAAACTCGCGATTTTAATTGTTTCGTTTAATCAAGTTTTATGCAGACGTTCCTGGGTCAAAAGCAAATATGCTAGCTTAAAGAAAGTTACAGGTAATTTAAAGAAGCGATGCACCTGTCCCAATTGATAAAGACGACACAATTGAGGCACATTACACAGCATATAAGCAATCTTGATCAGTACAAATTTATTGGAGCGCGCTCGTGGTAGGTGTCTTGGCGCCATGGAAAGTATTTGGAATATAAGGCCACTTTCCATAGAGTGGAGGATCGAAATCCGTGAGATGACAGGTATTTTATATTTTACATTTCTTTCAACATTAATCATCATTACCACAACATATGAATAACTGTTAGGATTATCTTATCCAATTAACAAAAGGACTTCAATAAATTATTTTTCTTCAATCGAATTATTAAAATGGGGTAATGTAAAGATGATCTAAAGTTTACCGAAATTGATGAGAATAATTAGGCTACTATCTGCAGCCTAACTGTTATTGGAATAGATAAAATATTGACTTATCCAATTGTTCATTTTTCTCATGAAGGTGGGGCACAAACCCTGACAAAGACAACCGAACAGCAACAATTACAAATATAACGTATTGAGTTATTCCTTGTTATAGCAATAATGATGATTATTTTCACATAATAGGGTGAATTTAACCAAACAGTTAACAAATAGTTCGACAAAAATATGTAGAGCCTAATTAAATAGCTTGTTCTATAAAACAACAAGGACCTTCAGCTTTGAATAAAAAATGCACTAAAACGAATGGATGATCTGCCAAGGTTATAAAGCTCACGATCAATTCAGTCTATTTGCAGAACGAAACATCAATTTAGAAGCTAATAACGAAACGAAATAAATGAGTTAACAGGTTTTGAAATTGGTTGAGGAACCATGTTGATGATATATTGATGTAGCTAACGCATTGGAATAAACCATTTACATTACAATTGTATTAAACTTGATTAAATTGATTAAAATGTATATGTTTTGGACCAACAACTTTAGCCTACATTTTAACACGCATTGCAGGTGTCCATCCTGTTTCTCGTCCACTGAAGTCAAATCTCTTCCAGAAACATGTTAACGAAATGATCATTACTTTTCTTCATACCCTACAGCTATTACAACACATAGGCCTAACATACTTAGGCTACTATTTGGATAACCTGAGGGGGGGGAATAAATAGGCTACTTCTGGTTACTGAAAATGGATGTTATTACAGTGACATATAGAGCGTAATTTAGGAGCGCGCGCACGCACGCACGCACGCACTCACACAAACACACACTTTTACAACTTAAATATGACGGCCCATCTACTGAAACATGGATATTTACTAAAACATCCAGATAAAGTCAATTGTTTTTGTCACAAAGTTATTTAAAGAATATAGTGGCCTAAACTGCAAACAGGAGCGCTTGTCAGGTGTCGTTATCTGAACTCTGCAGGCTTCCTGTCTCAAACCTCAGACTTTCCGCAACACATTTCCGCTCCCTCGACACGAAAAAGGCAACAGAGACTTTGCAAAACAGAATCAAGTCACTGGATGTGTCGAGGCACTGCATTGTTTTAGATGTGAATAAATTAACTCTGAATATAACCAAAACGACCGTGCTCATACTCCATGTGTATCCTTTATCTTGGCAGCTACATGCTTTAAGTTTCTATTGTCTAAAAGCCATGTCATAGAAGCCATGATGTTGCCATATCAAAAGTTGTGTAAACCACGTTTTTGCATGTTGAAGGAGCAGCTGCAGCAGGCCTTTGCAAAATCAGCTCTACTTCTGCTTTCTTGGCCTCTACACCATATTGAGGAGAAGAGTTGGTCACATGTTACATAGATCACTGTAGTGAATTAGTGATCAACTGCAAGCAATAAGCAAAACAAACCGTTTCTTAATATTTGGCTCTTGTTTCAATAGGCAGTTATTTATTCATTTCATATGTGATAAACAATAACATAATTAACTTTTTTTAGATGTAAACTTTTTATCCATTTACTTTTTAAATCATAGACGATTGAATATTTAGCCGAGTTAATATTTTCCTGTTTGGCAATGAACATTCACCTTGGTAAACAAACTCTTTACAATTTGAGGCCTCTATGGAAAGGCATCATGAGCACAGATCAAAGCTAAAATAAATTCACAACATAAATCGACTTCAGCAATGATATGGAACAAAAGTGAATCTAACCATGATAGTTCGGCATGTACAGTGAGGGGAAAAAGTATTTGATCCCCTGCTGATTTTGTACGTTTGCCCACTGACAAAGACATGATCAGTCTATAATTTTAATGGTAGATTTATTTGAACAGTGAGAGACAGAATAACAACAATTTTTTTTTTTTAAATGCATGTCAAAAATGTTATAAATTGATTTGCATTTTAATGAGGGAAATAAGTATTTGACCCCTCTGCAAAACATGACTTAGTACTTGGTGGCAAAACCCTTGTTGGCAATCACAGAGGTCAGATGTTTCTTGTAGTTGGCCACCAGGTTTGCACACATCTCAGGAGGGATTTTATCCCACTCCTCTTTGCAGATCTTCTCCAAGTCATTAAGGTTTCGAGGCTGACGTTTGGCAACTCGAACCTTCAGCTCCCTCCACAGATTTTCTATGGGATTAAGGTCTGGAGACTGGCTAGGCCACTCCAGGACCTTTTTGAGCCACTCCTTTGTTGCCTTGGCCGTGTGTTTAGGGTCATTGTCATGCTGGAATACCCATCCACAACCCATTTTCAATGCCCTGGCTGAGGGAAGGAGGTTCTCACCCAAGATTTGACGGTACATGGCCCTGTCCATCATCCCTTTGATGCGGTGAAGTTGTCCTGTCCCCTTAGCAGAAAAACACCCCCAAAGCATAATGTTTCCACCTCCACGTTTGATGGTGGGGATGGTGTTCTTGGGGTCATAGGCAGCATTCCTCCTCCTCCAAACACGGCGAGTTGAGTTGATGCCAAAGAGCTCGATTTTGGTCTCATCTGACCACAACACTTTCACCCAGTTCTCCTCTGAATCATTCAGATGTTCATTGGCAATCTTCAAACGGGCCTGTATATGCGCTTTCTTGAGCAGGGGGACCTTGAGGGCGCTGCAGGATTTCAGTCCTTCACGGCGTAGTGTGTTACCAATTGTTTTTTTGGTGACTATGGTCCCAGCTGCCTTGAGATCATTGACAAGATCCTCCCGTGTAGTTCTGGACTGATTCCTCACCGTTCTCATGATCATTGCAACTCCACGAGGTGAGATCTTGCATGGAGCCCCAGGCTGAGGGAGATTGACTGTTATTTTGTGTTTCTTCCATTTGCGAATTATCACACCAACTGTTGTCACCTTCTCACCAAGCTGCTTGGCGATGGTCTTGTAGCCCATTCCAGCCTTGTGTAGGTCTACAATCTTGTCCCTGACATCCTTGGAGAGCTCTTTGGTCTTGGCCATGGTGGAGAGCTTGGAATCTGATTGATTGATTGCTTCTGTGGACAGGTGTCTTTCATACAGGTAACAAGCTGAGATTAGGAGCATTACCTTTAAGAGTGTGCTCCTAATCTCAGCTCGTTACCTGTATAAAAGACACCGGGGAACCAGAAACCTTTCTGATTGAGAGGGGGTCAAATACTTATTTCCCTCATTAAAATGCAAATCAATTTATAAAAATGTTTACATGTGTTCTTCTGGATTTTTTTGCTGTTATTCTGTCTCTCACTGTTCAAATAAACCTACCATTAAAATTATAGACTGATCATTTCTTTGTCAGTGGGCAAACGTACAAAATCAGCAGGGGATCAAATACTTTTTTCCCTCACTGTAGGCTGCAATGCATTTGGTTTAGACTAGTAATCAGTCTCCCTTGTGAATCAAGGATATATCTAGGAACTGTAAGAGAGAGCAGGTGGGAAGCAGGAGTTGGACAATTACATGTTGGTTTGTTTTTGCACTGTGTTTGAGTTCTCGTAGAAGGTTCTTGAGCTAGAGCTCTGTTGTGAATGTGAGGATGTTTCACAACAGTTGGTTGTACATGGTGGTGGTACAAGGATGTATCACTATCGGTTACTATGGCATTCCGTCAACTGTGTGAGCACCACCCTATGCGGCTGATTCATAAGATGATTATCTGATGTGCTGCTAACCATCAACCATTAAGCAGCTGAACCTGAGACGACAGACTTTAACTCACAGTCCTACATCTTCTGCCTGTGTATGGTTTAGTTGGCTTTTGTATTTTGTTCAACAGCCCTTTTTATGGCAGCATCTAGTATTAGGCTTAGGTGGGCTTAGTACATTCAGTACAAACCTTTCAATAGATCAAAATGGCCTAGGTGTGATAATGCACAAATATGTTGAAAATAAAGATTTGAACTTTGACGGCAGAACTGACAGGACTTTGATAATGTGTGTTTGTAGTGTGTATGCGTGAACTTTGACAGCAGAACTGACAGGACTTTAAAATGTGTGTTTGTAGTGTGTATGCTATGTGCGTGTGCAGACAAAATTGTTTTCAAAACTATTTTGTGTCCCTCAGCAACAGGGCCTAGCTTCTACGAAACTCATTGAACAGGAAGTCAGTTGTGGCATTGGCGGTCAGGCCGCATTCAGTATATTTGTGTCAGTTTGCAAGCTATAGAGGGAGAGGGAGTGAGAGAGGGGGGGTGGGGAGCGAGAAAGAAAGAGCAGGTGTATGAGCTTGTGGCTGTGAATGCACAAACATGCCATTGAAACAATGAATCAGCCTAATGAAAGATAAAAAGTTCAGCAATTGATCAAATCACTCTAATGCATCACATTACAATATAAGAATGGCGCTCATGACCCTTTCCATGAATCGTTGCTGCCCAGCCTCAACCTCTTTTCAGCTCAGCCCTTAGTTTCACTTCTGCAGTCAGGGCCTCAGCAGAACATGAGAGGAGGAGGGAGACAGACAGGGAGAAAAAAGAGAGTAGAAGAGAGAGCGAGAGGAAAGTGACAGAAAGAGAGGAGAGAGAGGGTAACGGTCAGGGAGGAAAGTGTGGAGGACCTGTGATGTGTTGTTCCTTTACCACTGAATACAAACTTATCACGTGTACTAACATTTCAGTATCAGGACTGAAATAATATTGTCAGTTTGATATATTAATATGTCGTTCAATTAAGCTACAATGTTTCTATAGCTAACAGTCCTGTCACTGTTAGTCTGGAGAAGGAAATTCCACTAAATGTGTACCATGCATAAAATGCTTTACAATGCTCAGGTAACACAATGGAAGAGCGGCACTTTGAACTTCAATCAAGGCTGTGTATTCTTGCTGTCCGACGTCCCCAATCCTCCCCCTACCTTCATCAACCCTAGGTTGTTTTCCAGCTTTAAATGAGCCACATCTTTACACTGTGGCCCCCCTCTGTTTCCTTTCCCTTGGCCTGTGCCAAAAGGTTTCTCTGCACATGGGGGCCAGATTTCCTGTGGATCACCGAAAAAGCCTGGAACTGACGTACGAGTCGCAAAGACAATAGTGAAGTCCTCTAAATACACACGCACTTACTCCCACTTAGAACTACACATATATACTTACCCACACAAAGACTCAACAACAAGGCCTATCCTTACCCACCGTATAGACACAACACGCCCTCGCAGACACACACACACACACACACACACAAACACACACACACACACGCACACACACACGCACACACACAAGCACACACACACGCGCGCGTAGAAGAGTGCCATCTTGAAGAATGGTTTGGAGTTTGGAGGCCTTTGTCAGCGTTAAACACAGGAAGCTGCACAAAGAAAGCGTCTCAAATCTTGATCTGACTCCGCCAAGCTCCCCCCCACCACCCCAATCCCAACGAATTAAAACTGTGACAAAGATCACGGAAGCTCTCATTTCTCCAAACGTTGATGCCAATGTACCGCAAGTAACCGCAATCAAACATTATGATACTGAGCTAAATTGATCAAATAAAGACAGTGATTTATAAGCTTCATGCCACAATCTCCTATTTTCCATGTAATGTTCCTCAAGCCACCAATCACAAATTCTAAAGATGTCTGGACTATGACAAAGTTAGAAACGGGAATTAATAAATCCTTCATCAATAGAACAAGACTCATTAAGGTGTGAAATCTCGTTATGGGTGTTCCATTCAACGTAGTGTGGAAAAACCTCACAGAGGTGTGGGCAGTTTCCTGGCTACCATCATCACATGACTAGTTGTGGCCCATACTTACTGTAACGGCTGACTCCACTGTTTGTCTGTGCCGGCAGGAAGCGCTGTCCGTGGTGAGCGAGGACCAGTCCATTTTCGAGCCGCCCTTCACTGCTGCCACGACCATGCACATGAAGGGCGAGATGACGTCACCGGGAAGCTTCAGCCAGGCCTCCGAAGAGAGCCAAGAACCCACCGAGCCGGAGTGGGCCGGGCCGGGAGCACAGAACCCTGGGAAGAGAGGAGAGCACATCAACGGAACCAGGTGAGGGAGGGCGCATCAGGATTAGCAGTCATCGAGAGAAGTTATACCACTTATTTAGTGTTATATTTACCACATTCCCACTTATTTAGTGTTATATTTACCACATTCCGACTTATTTAGTGTTATATTTACCACATTCCCACTTATTTAGTGTTATATTTACCACATTCCCACTTATTTAGTGTTATATTTACCACATTCCCACTCATTTAGTGTTATATTTACCACATTCCCACTTATTTAGTGTTATGTGCTAAATGACGTAAATGTAAATGTCAATGTAAATGTAGTGTTATATTTACCACATTCCCACTAATTTAATGTTATATTTATCACATTCAAGAGAGTTTACCGTCACCATAATAATACTGAAACAGGATAACACAGAATCATACCAGAATATTACTAATCTCCCTACTCCCTCCCTCTCTCGACAGTCGTGAGTCCCCTGTGAATTGCAGTGTGACCAAACGCTCCCGACACATGAGCAGCAACGATGGGGGTCAGCTGGCCTACCAGGCCTCGTACCCCGAGCCCCGCGCCAGCCCCCAGACTGTCACCCCGCCCAACAGCGCCACAGAGGAGAAGAGAGTCATAGTGCCCGCAGGTGAGGTGCCAACACACTCAGCAAAGGGGTGCCCAGATCCTATGACACACAAAGATCTGCAAAGAGAATTGGCTGGGATGGTGTTCCCATCATATTGCCTTCACCTGTTAAATTATCTTCCATTATCTGGGAGTCAGCCATTAAGAGCAGATTGTGGGGAAGTGAGCATGTTTTTGGAATGGAATCCAGCCAATGAGTCATTGTTGGGAGATTCCACCTAAGATGACATTCCAAACATGAGACATCGTTAGGTGTGGTAAATCTATACAATTAATAGACAAGACTACAAGGTTTGATTCTTAGTCTGAGTCACACAGGCCAAGCTATTCTAGTGGCCATGATAATACACGGATATGACATCACAGCTGTGTTAAACAAGGACAATGAAGACCCTAGGCCCTATAATCTTTGAGAATTTACAATCAACTAAATAAAAGCTAGACAATCAGGCCCCCATTGATGTTGTAATGGTTGAGCATAAGAACACAGCATTAGCCGTGTCAAAATGCATAGAATTGTAGGAAATTGTAGAAGATTAGATTTGAACCTGCAACATTTTCTCTCCGCTGCCAAGATAATATGTTTGACTTATTATTTGGTCTGTGTCTGTTTTTTCACCGCTCAACCCTTATGGTGAGTCGCGACTCAAAAGAAACCTCAATTGGTAGGTCACAAAGCAAAACAGTTTGGGAACCCCTGCCCTAGGGTACAGACAGAGGCAGCTCCAGACTACTGTCTGATATTTTGGGGTATTCATGAGGTCCATACGTCATCTTTGGGTTCCTACGGTACTAAAAAATACCTTTAGTTTCATTTGAGGAGAAAAAACTTTTCCATTTAACTTCCATAAAACTAGTAACTTCTCAACTTTATGAGATGCTGGGTCTGTGTGAGTTAAAACAAACTCCTGCTTCCACAATTTACCAATCTCTCTCCGTCCTTCTCCTCTTCCTCCTGGTCCCAGACCCTGAGGTGTGGACCCAAGACCATGTGCGCCAGTGGCTGGACTGGGCCATCAAGGAGTACAGCCTGGAGGAGGTGGACATCATGCACTTCCACACACTGGAGGGCAAGGCCCTCTGCAAGATGACCAAAGAGGATATGATGCGCATCACGTCCGCCTACAACACAGACATCCTGCTTGGCCACCTCAATTACCTCCGGCAGAGTAAGGGTTACGGCCTGGGACTCGTAGAAACATTTCATATGACTATTTTCATTCTCCATTAGGACATAGCTGATCTATGTATCCCATTTTGTAACCTTCTTTGAATCTCTTTTTAGGCAGCCCTACTTTCTCCTACCCCACAACTCCAACCAACAACACACAGCAACAACCCAGACTACAGGTTAAATCAGGTAAGACAATTAACTTTACAACTCATATTTGAGACCGATATCAATTTTGGGCCCATTAAAACAATAACTGCATTACCAAGAACATAGTGACTTAGTGCAAAATCCTTAAACTGCATGCATAAAGAACCTGGAGCTAGCAAGCATTGAGATATACAGCCTTAAAATGAGAAGGGGATTAAAATGGAGGGTTTTTGTGGAAGGAATCATCTATTCAAACCTCTCTCTGAGGCAGATCAAATACTTGACTAATTTAATGGATTCAAAATGAAGTGTTGAGTTGCCATTCCAGATTACATATTTTAGAGCGCTTTAAAGTTTCTTGGCGGAGTGTTTCCCTGAGTTGACGACTCTTTGACGAGTCCACGACTCAACAGTCAGTTTCAGACAGGAAACAGCTGCACCGGCAGAGGAAAATGGGGGGGTATGGGTCCCAATTTGGGACACAATTGACAATCAATGGGAATGCTCAGTGGCGCATTTGATGGTCAGGAAGTATGATTTCAGTGTGTCACCATCAGAGCATGTGAGCGGAGTGGAGCGGGAGTGGAGCGGAGTGGAGCGGGAGCGAGCGGGGAGCGCGAGCCGCCGGATTTTGGACAGAGCGCAGAGCGGCATTTTTAAAAGGACGGAGCGTCGCCCTATGTCCCGCTCCAATTTCGCTCTGCTCACACCACGAGTCTGAAGCATGCTCAGGCCTGACCCAGAATCCATCTGTGTCTTGCACAGTCATCCACAGTAGACTATTTTCAGTCAAAACTCGGCTCAATAATGGAGTTCTCCGAGTACTAAAATGAGATGTCCTACAGGTGTACTATTAATATAAAACTAACTAACAATGATAATGTGGTTCAAGAAAAAGAATGTGGTGACATCGTTTCAGTCAGTAAAGATTCATTTTGGAATCTAAAAAGACACATCTCTCGAAAACACGAAAGTGTGCTACGTGAACACGCTGGGAAGAAAGCAAAAGGTTAGCAAGTTGAATAGGGTAACTTGTAACAAAAGTGTACATTAAATATAGCCTAATATTCAAACAAATTCGTTTTGTCATTCAAAGTAGGCCTAATATATGGTTCGTTTAATTTAATTTGTGTCGTCCATGAATTTGTATTTTATAGAGCAAGAGGAGCAGCAGCAGCAACAAGAGAAAAGGGTTGAGGAATTCAAAAGTTTCTTCACTGCACTCAAAGGCCCAACCATAACAAGGGAGAGAAAAAGAGAGCTGGATGTAGCATTTTAAAAAATGATTTACATGGACTATGAACCGCTGAGTACAACACGGTACGGGACACACTCATGCCACATGCCCTGGAAGAGATGGAAGCCAAACTGCAAGACCTACTGCAAAATGGTGATGGGCTCGTTCTGTCAGCGGACATGTGGACCAGTAGAAGAGGGCACAGCTTCCTTGGCATCGTGGCCAGTTTAATTGATGGGACGTTCCGGGGGCACACGGTTTTGTTGGGCTGTGAGCACATACAGGGGCACCATACCGCAGATCGTATTTACCAAAAGTATGAAAGTGTACTGAAATATTGGAACGTGCAACGACGTGTGATTCGTGTCGTCACTGACAGTGCCAGCAACATGATCAAGGCATTTAACCTCCTCCCTGGCACTGAAGAGGAGGCGGAGGGTGAAGTGACCGCGGATGCCAGCAGCAGCGCAGACCATGAAGAGGAGGATGAGGGACCACCTGCGCCCTCGCAAGTCCATGTGGAAGTGATAACCTCTAATGTAGAAACTATGATAAATCAGTACTTTACTGTGTCAAATTTACATCTTGAGATGCCCCATTCACATGCTTCAGCTGGCGATCAAAGACGCCATTAACGAGCACGACAACATGAATAGGCTGTTAGTGAAAGTCGGGCACCTGGTGAAAAGCGTACGCAAGAGCACCCTGAACACAGAGGAAACCGACCAATTAGGTGTCCGCACCACAAATGCCTGCGCCACTCGATGGAGCAGTCAGCTGCGGATGATTCAGTCGTTCATCCGGTTGTTCCAAAAAGACCCGTTATGGCAAAACAAACTCAAGTCTAATGTTGCTAACGTGGTCCTCTGTAGCTCAACTGGTAGAGCACGGCGCTTGTAATGCCAATGTAGTGGGTTCGATCCCCGGGACCACCCATACACAAAAAATGTATGCACGCATGACTGTAAATCGCTTTGGATAAAAGCGTCTGCTAAATGGCATATTATTATTATTATTATCACCCTGAATCAAGTACGGCAGCTGACGCACCTTGTCAGTGTGCTGACACCACTGGCAGACCTCACAGACAAAATGCAGAAGGAGCTGGGGAACCTGGGGATGATCCTCCCTGCTGTCACATAAATCAAATCCCTGCTCACCGATGACACTCACGCTGCACTTTCAATGGGCATCGCTGCTTTTGCAGAAACATTGGCAAACAACGTGTCAATTCGCTATGGAATATACTATACTGATAAACATCTCATTTTAGCATCAGTGTTAGATCCCCGTTTCAAGACAGAATGGATAATCCGAGATGAGTCTGTATGCAACAAACTCGGGGAGAACCGTGACCTCCTCATAAAAGAAGCTGAAGAAATTAACGCTCCCAGCGGCACACCCGAGACAGACACCCCACCCGCCGCTGACCTGAATCCCGAGCCTGAACCAAAAAGAGCTCGCCTGTTCGGGTCATACTTCAGTGAGCAGCTACGCATAACCGGAGACGCCAAAGGTGAAGTCGAAAATTACCTCTCATCCCCGAGACAGAACCCGGACGCAGATGTTATTCGATTTTGGAAAGAAAACTCCATGTCTTTTCCCCGCCTGGCTAAAGTAGCTCGCATTGTGTTCAGCATCCCAAGCGGGTCTGCGAGCGCAGAGTGGGTTTTCTCCGCTGCTGGCCTGCTGTCAAGAAACCACCGCATGAGTCTGAAGCCTCAGACATTGGCCAAACTTGTGTTCTTGAAGGTGAACTCAAAAGAACTGTAGATAAGGAAAGCGAATTATTTTTTTTATTTTATTTTTTAAGTTTGACAATGGATATAAGCCAATTTAAATTTTAATCCACGTGCAAGCTGCGCAAAAGTTCAGTTATCAGAATTTTGGCCTAATAGTTCATTTACTTTTAAAACTTTGATGTATAGCCTGTATATTTTTATTTATATAATTAGGCCCATTGATTCGTTTAATTTTACAGGACTTTTTGTGTATATTCCTTCTTACATAGGCTAGGCCTAATTTGTAATTTGAAATAAAACATTTATATTTGGAAAATGTTGTCGTTGCTCTTTAGTTCTTTGGGAGGTAAGGCTGTGGTTTAAGCTAAAAGTGAAATACATGCAGATTTTTTTCCTTTTTTGGAGCGAGCGAGGGGGCGATTTGAGTGGAGCGCGATGCAAACTTCGTTGAGCGCTGAGCGATAATGAGCGGACTGGCCTGATGTGGCTTTGAGCGGGGGGAGCGGAGGGGTGAACAGCTCCGTGAGCGATGAGCTGAGATTCTCACCGCTCCACTCCGCTCATATGCTCTGGTCACCATCTTGCTACGCGGAGGAGTTTTTGGATACATTGCATGCGCAGTTTGAGCTCCTCTAGGAAGTGACGTTGCAGGTTAGCTCAGTGTTGACCCCTCTCATGTAGTATGTCAAGCTGAAGGCCCTCCGAGGTACTGCAGGCTGACATTAGCAACTAAATGAGCCTTATAACTTCGTCTGTGTGTGATTTTAAAGTAAATCAGTTCAAGGACATGCATCTGGTGAAATAGAAGCAACTATTGATACCATGATTGTGTTCGGAAAAAAATGCTGCCTTCCTTCTATGGCTGCTGGGTGAATCCATTTGAATTCAATCACTTTTTGACAGCCGCTTTTGATTTGATTTGATTGATTTTCCCATTGTAGAAGTGCTCAGAAAGGTGCTCAAAGTTGACCAATTTTGCATACCCCACCATACCATGAGACGTCCATGTCTTAATCACTAGAAAAGATAAACGGTTGAGATTGCTCTAATTTAAAAGCTTATAAACAGTGTTATCAAACTATTTCTTGAAAATAAAAATGTAATTTAACCTTAAACATAAATTATCTATAAATGTTGAAACTCCGATTTGTTTCATATTCTAATATGTTGTAGTTAAGACCCTATTTCTCAGGTTTTGTGTTGTGCCCGCCATCGGTTGAGACAACATGCTCTTGAATACAGGGTGGGTGTTATGTTCTGGTAAATGTACAAAAATGGGAATATAATTGAAATTTCAACTTTCAAATGGTACCACAAAGATGGTTGGAGGTCCACAAGTCAGAAAATGTTGACTTGAATGAATACTGTTAATCCTCCATAGGAAACCTATTGAAATAATAGAAATATAGATAATAGAATATACTTTTAATTTAATTATTATTTTTTTCACCTTTATTTAACCAGGTAAGCCAGTTGAGAACAAGTTCTCATTTACAACTGCAACCTGGCCAAGATAAAGCAAAGCAGTGCGATAAAAACAACAACACAGAGTTACATATGGGGTAAACAAAACATAAAGTCAAAAATACAACAGAAAATATATATACAGTGTGTGCGAATGTAGTAAGTTATGGAGGTAAGGCAATAAATAAATAGGCCATAGTGCAAAAATAGTTACAATTTCGTAATTAACACTGGAATGATAGATGTGCAAAAGATGATGTGCAAATAGAGATACTGGGTTGCAAATTAGCAAAATAAATAACAATATGGGGATGAGGTAGTTGGGTGGGCTAATTTCAGAATGGCTGTGTACAGGTGCAGTGATCGGTAAGCTGCTCTGACAACTTACACTTAAAGTTAGTGAGGGAGATAAGAGTCTCCAGCTTCAGAGATTTTTGCAGTTCGTTCCAGTCATTGGCAGCAGAGAACTGGAAGGAATGGCGGCCAAAGGAAGTGTTGGCTTTGGGGATGACCAGTGAGATATACCTGCTGGAGCGCAGACTACGTCTGGGTGTTGCTATGGTGACCAGATAGCTAAGATAAGGCAGGGATTTGCCTAGAAGTGATTTATAGATGACCTGGAGCCAGTGGGTTTGGCAACGAATATGTAGTGAGGGCCAGCCAACAAGAGCGTACAGGTCACAATGGTGGGTAGTATATGGGGCTTTGGTGACAAAACGGATGGCACTGTGATAGACTACATCCAATTTGCTGAGTAGAGTGTTGGAGGCTATTTTGTAAATGACATTGCCGAAGTCAAGGATCTGTAGTATAGTCAGTTTTACAAGGGCATGTTTGGCAGCATGACCATTTAAGTTAGCATTTGACGGTGGGTGGACCGGCGGCCATCTTTGTGGTAGTAATTAGAAGTAAACATTTAAATTTAAATGTAAATTATGTACCAGCTAAATTGCAGTGGTCTGAAAGGATAGGTCCATTCTTTTTCTATGACTGAAATGACACCCACCCTGTATTCAAGAGCATGTTGTACCTCAACCGATGGCGGGCACAACACAAAAACCTCAGATGATGTAAAATAGGGTCTAAGCTACAACATATGCAAATATGAAGAAAATAATCAGAGTTTACGTGTTTTTAGATAATTAACGTTAAAGGTATTATTTATTATTTAGTCATTTATTTGAAAACAGTTTGAAAAACCTTTTTATAAGCTTTTAAATGATATCAAACTCAACTGTTTATCCTTTCCAGTGATGAAGACATGGATGTCTCATAGATGGTATGCAAAATGGGTCAACTTTGAGCACCTTTATCTCCTAAATGTTTTGGCATTCAGGTCCAAAAAGTCACTTTCTGAATACTTCTTCCATGTACAAACATTTTATGGAAAGTTTTGTTTAAATCAAAAGGGATGCTGTCAAAACGTGATGGAATTCAAATTGATTTATTTACCCTGCTACCCTGTCTGTCCTGTATGCTTAAAAGCCCTCTCTGAACTTTCTTCCTGTGCATACCTCGTCTCACCCTCCTTTCTTTTTGAGCAGAGAACAGCTATGAAGAGATAGGCAGAAGGAACAGCTGGTCATCGAACCCCATGCCGCCTGCAGTACCCAAAGGTACAATAACAGACGTCACATCTCATTCTCAGTGCTTTACATTTATTGTGAGCACTAAGGCAGATTCATACTAATAGTTGTATCAGATATTAGTTAGGCAACTTCTTTCTAGAAATTATTACCACAGTGTTTCACAGTAGAGACGGAACACATTCATTAAGTCAAGCATTTTGTAGTTAAAGATGGAATAATAATGATAGAGCAAATTAAGAGTAAACAGAGAACTTTGTCGACATGTTTTCATTGTGCTGATAAATACATCATGTTGTTTATGATTTAGGTTCTCCCATTGAGCACCAAAACAGCACCAGACTCACAGAGCCTCCGCCGAGAATTGTGCAAGGTGTGCATCTGTACTGCTTTCTCTTGTTTCCTGATCCTAGTTTGTTGTAACAGTGGTATAACCTTTGTACCAGTCAAGTCAACAATGTCTTAATAGACAAATCTAACCTTTCCAACCCTTAATTTCCTTGCAGACCCATACCAAGCATTAGGTCCCATCAGCAGTCGTCTAGCCAACCCAGGTGAGAGCATATCCCATAATGCACCATGTTCAACAGGTGAACCAAATAGGTGGTGACAAATGTGGCCTTTACACTGTCTGCTTTTGTGTCATGAACTGTAACACACCAAAAGAGATTGAATGGGAGAAAAGAGGAGGGCTGAGGTATTCCTTAAAAAGAGAACAATTAATAGTCATACATTCCCTGTCTGGGATGGCACATTGACAAAAACGTCCACCTAGATGATAGCATTATACATTCGCGCCCTCAGCAAAACTAGGCTGAAACATTTGAATTATTGTCTCCCGTTGACCAGAATTACCCTGTTTGACAGAATGAATTCTGTATCTCCTCACAGAAGGCCAGGCCCTCCACTCCAAGAACCGAACAGGCAAACACAGTTCATACAGGCTGCCTGACCCCAGCGCTCACAGGCCTGTGGGTAGGTTTCTGCCTGGTCCACCCACGTTCTGTCTCAGTCAAATGGCACACAGTGAAAAAGGTCACATTTGCAGAAGTAGAACCACAAGTTCAAACTTTAAAGTGTATTTAGAATCCTGGTGGCATCTCTTATACAAGTTCTATTCTCAGACACAGACCCCCATGGGACATAGATTGATATGACAATAGCAAAATAGACCACGAGAAGGAGATATCAATGGTGCATGAATGAAACTGCATGTGAATGAGTTAAATAGTATTTTTGTGTCAAATTGCCAGTTGGCAACCCATCCCTTATGGGATTAATTTAAACAAACAAGAATGACAATGATTCACAGTGATAATTATTCCGGTGTTCTGTGCAGTGCACATCGCATAAAGAATTAAATGGAAATCAATACATAATAGTAGATAAGGATATTCAAGCAAAAAACATTTAAAACATCTATACAAATACAGAAAAATGAAATGTGTGTATGGATAAAACTACACTAATCTACAAACAATCCTACTCTTAAGAGGAGCATTTCAGAACCAGATCTTACTTTAACAGAACTCAGCCCTTTGATGCATCCATCCCCTTCACACCCTGTCCCATTTCTCTTCCTAGGCTCTGGACAGATCCAGCTGTGGCAGTTCCTGCTGGAGCTGCTGTCGGACAGCAACAACTCCAGCATCATCACCTGGGAGGGCACCAATGGCGAGTTCAAGATGACCGACCCGGACGAGGTAGCCAAGCGTTGGGGCGAGCGCAAGAGCAAGCCCAACATGAACTACGACAAGCTGAGCCGCGCCCTGCGCTACTACTACGACAAGAACATCATGACCAAGGTGCACGGCAAGCGCTACGCCTACAAGTTTGACTTCCAGGGGATCTCACAGGCCCACCAGAGCCACGGAGGGGAGGGGGGCATTGTTAAGTATCAGACTGAGGTGTCTTATGCCCAGTCCTACCACAGCCACCAGCCAAAAATGAACTTCATGAACACACATGCCGCCCCTATGCCCGTGTCCCCTGGGAACTTTTTCGGACAGCCTACAAATTACTGGAACTCAACAACCAGCCCCATGTATCCGGGATCTCCCATGCCAAGGCACCCGGGGACTCACTCCCACCTGAGCTCATACTACTGAGGCCTGGGTGTGTTGCACTAGACTGGTTGGGCTGGCAGAGCTTTCTGAAACAGACTGATATCCAAGATACCATCCACATTGTATCTGGTCTGAAATGTCTAAATTACGTTGTTGTAACGCTATGCGAGTTGTACAATGGACAATCATGCTCATGTCACATCTTAAAGCAGAGGCACCAGAAGATAGAAAAAGAGAAGAGGGTAAACAATGTGAAGAAGCAATGATGACTAGTAGAGACAAAGGGATTGCCATGAACGTTCTGCCTTTTTGAATTTCTCAATTATGGAGGTTGAGAATTTGTTTATATTATATCCTGTGATTCGGTTGTTTGAAAACCAAGTTTTTCAATTATGTAAGTATTTTGTTTAATATGTGACTGAGGTCATTGAAGGACTTAAAACCTCTTAAATGTAATGGCAAAATGTAGATTTCCGCCTAAATAGACATAGCCAAAAGTAACTGCTATTCATGTGTAATTACGTGATTCTGACATGCACAAACTTGGTATATTTGGAAAGAAGACATCTGGGAGATTATGGGGAAATTATCAGACGATAGACAGGAGTTAAATAGTTCAAAATACACAAGATCAAGCACACACAAAATAACAGTTTTTAAATTTTATTTATTTTGAAAGTCATCTTTCATTGACAAGCTATAAGTGAATTATTGATGACTAGAGCTGGAATCACATCAGATGGCTTCCACAACATGTGAGCAGTATCAGAAAAAAAGGGATTGATAGACCTAACAACTAGAAATGGGCAGATGTTTTGTTTTAATAAGTGGTGTCAGGTGTGGTCACGGGACGTTTCCAAGTGTCCCTAAACCTCTCCAAAGTGGCATATGTCTGTAAATTAGATAATCCCAGTGCTATTACATATTTACAATCACTAAATGCCATTTGTTCAGTACAAAAACACAATGTCTACCATATCAACCTCACTCAAATATTGTGGTGGTGTTATGGGGTAACCAGGGTACATTCAAGTGTCATTTCCTCTCCAAAGTGTCAGAATGTGGTAATTGCACTGTTTTTGCACACTGGATGTGCCTAAAAGTTATTGTTCACTATAAAAACTAAATTTCAACAACACCAACCTCTCTCATACATTGTGGTGGTGTCGGGGGACATACAGGGAATATGGATGCCTACAGCGCATAAGCAGGCAACATTTTTGATGCGCAACGATAGTCACTCAGTGCACATTAGATGTCAAAAATCATCAGATAACATTTGCAATAGGCTAGATGTGTTCCTACCAACCTAAGGATTCATTTGATACCCCCATGTAGCTATAGCTCAAACACAGACCAAATTGAAGCTTACCTTGTAAGATGTTTGCTGTTTGGTGAAAACAATGTGTAAAATAAACATTTTGACTCTCGGGGCTGGTGATCAATAACGACAGACAAATAAGATGTCCTCATGATCTGTGGAGTCCCGGCTTTCGATGTATATCAATGTATTCAGTGTTCATTTTGATTATGCTTCACAAAACTAACCGGAATGTAGGTAACAGCCATCTTGAAATGAGGTCATCGGCTTGGCCTGCCCTTATAAATTCGTATGCCCATATATGGTAGTAAGTAATACCGAAGATTTGAAGGCACCGATCAATAACCAAGATGATCAGCTTTCCGCAGACACCATGCTTTTGCAGATAGGGGCTACCGTTCTCATACCAGACTGAATTGAATAAAACAAAAAAAGCAAATAGGGTCCCCAAATATGGGGACTTTACGTTTAAGAGGTTTTAAGGGGAAAGTCACTGAGTGTGGGAAGTGGTGAAACTGTGTTGAGGTCTTTATATCAATTATTATATTAATCGATCTAACATTTGTAAAAGTATAATTGTACAGAATGTTTTATACAATTGTAGCAATAAAACATTGACCCATGTAGTAATGCTAATAAAGGAACTTGTATATGTCAGTTGGTCTCCTCTCTTTTCTCCAAACCATTGATCATTTTAACTGACAAAAATATTAACAAGATGGTAATTATTTTATTTTTTATTTCCAAAGTGAATTATCGACATGAACGTTGGGCAGTGACCACACTTGCTGTCTATTTGTCCAAACCAAATAACTCCTCGAATGTTCTGTGTGGTTCAGAGACCTGCTCTACTTCCACGACAGCAAATCCCTTCACAGGCCTCTCTTTAAGTCTCTCCACCTGCCTCACACCTAACTGCCCCTCCACCACGGTCTCGGGCTGTGAGGTTGTCGTCACCTCCTGGGCCGGAGCAGGCTTCGTGTTGTATTCCACTGACCATGACTTGCTGGTGACCATCTTGGTGGTGGCTGGAGCACACAGAGCGAGTTAGATGCCAAACTTCTTCACCGACACAGACTAAATAAATTGATACTCATTGATGGTGATAACATAGGATAGGCTAAGCTTTGTGCACAAATGTTTGAAAACGCCTTCCTAAATAAAAATGATTCATATCATCATAATGAGGCCATCTTTACAAGTGCAAAAAAGTACTCCTGGACCAAAATAACCTCCCAAAACCAACAGTAAGTAACTGCAAAGATACACTTGTAGGCACGGTACTCACCAGAGGGGACAGCAGAGCAACTACATGTGGACTCACAACAGGAGCAGACTGAAGAAGCTCCATACAGCTCCTTCCATCTGATAGGACCAGACCAAGATGTATGTGAGCAATATGAAATACTTTTTTTCATATTATTAGTGGTTTTCCATAATCTTTTGCAGGGCCTATATGGATAAAGTATCAGACAGCTTCAGTATGATCAGGGCTTACTCTCTTGCTGAGGAATCGTAAGTGCAGGCTTTGGCTGTTGAAGAGGGGACAGACCTCCCCACAGACATGGCACAGTGCATGTAGAGCTCCTGTGGCTGAAGAAGAGAGGCTTGGGCTGATTGAAATGTGGCACAGAATCTACAGTTTGCATACTTATGTACATACTACTTCCAATGCAATGTAGAGTCGGCGGACCTCAGTAAATCAATTGCATAGACAAGGGAAAGGAAAATATATACAGTGGGGAAAAAAAGTATTTAGTCAGCCACCAATTGTGCAAGTTCTCCCACTTAAAAAGATGAGAGAGGCCTGTAATTTTCATCATAGGTACACGTCAACTATGACAGACAAATTGAGGAAATAAAATCCTGAAAATCACATTGTAGGATTTTTTATGAATTTATTTGCAAATTATGGTGGAAAATAAGTATTTGGTCACCTACAAACAAGCAAGATTTCTGGCTCTCACAGACCTGTAACTTCTTCTTTAAGAGGCTCCTCTGTCCTCCACTCGTTACCTGTATTAATGGCACCTGTTTGAACTTGTTATTAGTATAAAAAAGACACCTGTCCACAACCTCCAACAGTCACACTCCAAACTCCACTATGGCCAAGACCAAAGAGCTGTCAAAGGACACCAGAAACAAAATTGTAGACCTGCACCAGGCTGGGAAGACTGAATCTGCAATAGGTAAACAGCTTGGTTTGAAGAAATCAACTGTGGGAGCAATTATTAGGAAATGGAAGACATACAAGACCACTGATAATCTCCCTCGATCTGGGGCTCCACGCAAGATCTCACCCCGTGGGGTCAAAATGATCACAAGAACGGTGAGCAAAAATCCCAGAACCACATGGGGGGACCTAGTGAATGACCTGCAGAGAGCTGGGACCAAAGTAACAAAGCCTACCATCAGTAACACACTACGCCGCCAGGGACTCAAATCCTGCAGTGCCAGACATGTCCCCCTGCTTAAGCCAGTACATGTCCAGGCCCGTCTGAAGTTTGCTAGAGTGCATTTGGATGATCCAGAAGAGGATTGGGAGAATGTCATATGGTCAGATGGAACCAAAATAGAACTTTTTGGAAAAAACTCAACTCGTCGTGTTTGGAGGACAAAGAATGCTGAGTTGCATCCAAAGAATACCATACCTACTGTGAAGCATGGGGGTGGAAACATCATGCTTTGGGGCTGTTTTTCTGCAAAGGGACCAGGACGACTGATCCGTGTAAAGGAAAGAATGAATGGGGCCATGTATCGTGAGATTTTGAGTGAAAACCTCCTTCCATCAGCAAGGGCATTGAAGATGAAACATGGCTGGGTCTTTCAGCATGACAATGATCCCAAACACACCGCCCGGGCAACGAAGGAGTGGCTTCGTAAGAAGCATTTCAAGGTCCTGGAGTGGCCTAGCCAGTCTCCAGATCTCAACCCCATAGAAAATCTTTGGAGGGAGTTGAAAGTCTGTGTTGCCCAGCGACAGCCCCAAAACATCACTGCTCTAGAGGAGATCTGCATGGAGGAATGGGCCAAAATACCAGCAAGTGTGTGAAAACCTTGTGAAGACTTACAGAAAACGTTTGACCTGTGTCATTGCCAACAAAGGGTATATAACAAAGTATTGAGAAACTTTTGTTTTTGACCAAATACTTATTTTCCACCATAATTTGCAAATAAATTCATAAAAAATCCTACAATGTGATTTTCTGGATATTTTTTTCTCATTTTGTCTGTCATAGTTGACGTGTAACTATGATGAAAATTACAGGCCTCTCATCTTTTTAAGTGGGAGAACTTGCACAATTGGTGGCTGACTAAATACTTGTTTTCCCCCACTGTACAAGCTCAGTGGTTATAATGCTTGATGAAGTCCATGTATTGCATAGGAAATCTAATGATGGCATAGCACTCAAGTACTGGTCAGTTGACTATGGTTACTGTTGCATATTATGAATGGAGTGCATCTCCAGTATGTGCATCCTTAACATACCTGCCCTGCTGTCATGCCCTGAAACAGAAAGGCATCCATGGTAAACCTCACAACATTCCTTTTATATGGGATGAATCTGGAGCCACTGTTGTTTTTGCTCTCAACCATGCACCTGTGCAGAAAATAGATTACTGTTAAATCCAAGATGTTCCTTAAAACTGTCAATCTGCAATTGCTACATTCATTTTTGGACTTATAAATAAATGATATGCACCCATTGATTATTGAAGAATATAACTTATAAATGCTGCATGAGCCTAGTTCAACTGTCGTACAACATCAGAACCCAAAACTATAATTTGGATATCATAGATGGCCAGTACTTGCATCTATAGCTCGGTCTATGAATTTGAGAGTGGTTACATTTCTCCAGCCCCATCCCTCTGATTTTTGCCAAAACTGGGGCAGGGAATTTCTTTGTTATTGTTTCAGCTGCGGATTGCCTCTTTAAAAGCAAAGTACTGGGCAAATGATACTGATAGAAGTGATCTGGCATACTGTATGTCTACATTACCCAAAATGGTCAATGACAGTAAAGTGAGGCGTAGAAGGTGTGTGACTGCTTGATGGTCACATTACATGAGTGGACATAGAGACGTCCATCTTTAGACATGGAAGGCGTGTCAGCCTGAAAGTACATGGGCTTTCCCATAGAGTACCCATTGGATGGGGCAAGTCTCTCCCATTGAGCTGAGGGAGAGAGAATGAGTAGTCCGATCTTTCAATTACTTGAGGACTCATTTAAGTACATTCTATAACATGAGGACTCCTCATTTACTGTAGATCAATGACTCATCTATACCCTACCATTACGTGCAGTGAGCATGGGACGGGTTCTGTTCTTTATTGGTTTGGAGACCTTGTGTGTACCATGTTCCGCATGTAGCCTACTTTGTAGGAGTAATGATATCTGGAAAGAAATACGCAAATCTAAATAACTGGCATTGACTATAAATCAACTTTTTAAAATGTTGTGCCAACCTACTCTCATTTATGTAGTTTTCTTAGTATGCAATGATAACTCCTCCAGTGACATGCACTCATGGTAAACATCAACCCATCATAAAATAGTGTAAATACTGTAGGTCACCTGTTGAAGTGACAGACAACTCGCAAGGTGAATGGTGCAGCTCGCCTGATAGGCCCTTGGATGGAGGGTCATATCGGAGTGTGTTGGAGTAGGCCACACGATTATTTACTAGCTGTTTTATTGAAGATAAGTAGGCCAATGTCAATATCAACAAGATGGTATTTCTGGGAAATATAGGCCTATGAATGTTGACAAACACACTCACTGGAAAACCTTACCGAGCGCTTGCTCCCACAGAGGCCGAGGTCGTATTCGAAGATGAGGGAATCATTTGTAGATTTATTGGCTTGGCATGTTCCGAGTGTCAGTTGCGACGGTGATCCCCCTGAGACCAAAATGTTTTTCTTTACCTGCACCAACATCTTGTTGATGTTACAAAGTGTTATCACTTCGCGTGCTTGACTTTTTGGACCAGAGGGCTTCTGTGTTGCGTACACAAGGGGCAGTATTTTCCTGACTTTATCCGGTATTTGTTCGTGTCCAGTACCACGGACTGGAGAGAAATGTTCCTTGTCTACCAGCGGCACCCTTGAGTGCTGGAACACAGGTAGTACGAGGTAAGATGGTTGGTTTTCGGCGAGTAATACCTTCACAAAAGGTTTTATAAATGACTGGCGTTCATTTGAGCCTCCCTCTGCTCTTAGAGAATGCAAAATGGGCCAAAAAGGCCAAGTTGAAAATATAAAACATATCTATATTCCTGTACAATAACTCGAGCAAAATCAGGCCCTGCGTCAATTAATCTCCATAGGTATGCCGCGTTCAAATACTAGTCGGAACTAGGAAGCTTGGACATTTCCGACTTGCTGATTCGTTGATCGCGGCACGTGAATAAGTATAACCAGTTAGCAAGTCAGATATTTTCCGAGTTTCCTAGTTCCAACTAGAACATGAACACGGCAGTATTCCTTGCAGTATGAGCCAGAATCAAAAAACACCTGTTGGAGACGTAGTCGACTATTGCTCGTGCCACGGAGGCCATTTGCACTGCAGGCAAAATATTAGATCAATTGGATTCAAATATTATAATAGATGGTTTATGCCTGCCTATAAGTTTTGATAGGCTAGACAAAAATAGTCAGGGCCTATAAAAATTAAGACATACCCAAATATAGAAAATACAAATAGACAATTATAGATTATATCAAGACAATTTATTATCCATACAGTGAATGCTTTGTACGTTGTTAGCTCTCATTTTCAACTTTAATGACATATACATGTGGGATATTGTTAATTCTATGCCTAGATGTAAAATAAAAAAAGTGTTAAGCACATTATTTTTGCTCAACTCTAGAAAATGGTCAGTTCAATGGAAAATATATCCTCTGTCCATATTTAATGTACAGAAAGCACACCTTTATTGCGTTAAACACCTGGGCCACGTTCAGCAGAATACAACTTTTTGGAACGGACAGATAGAAATACGGTATGTTGAACAAACATGCCTCTCCGAAAATTAGAACAAGGAATCATGCCAGCTCTATTCATCACATTTCTATTTGAAACGTTTCGACGACGCTAGGCAACTAAATGTGGTCATGTTTTCCTTATACATTTACCGACAGTAGCATTTTCTTTAAAGATGGGTAAATCACCACAGTGAGAGAGTGAATGAGAGGAGAGAGAGAGCAGAGCCAGTCCAGTAGAGGGCAGCGGGGGCTGCAGCTCCATTACACAGGTGGGTGGAACAGCATTCATTGGTGAAGGTGAAGTTGAGGCCCATAGCGTACTTCTCACCAGTCAGGCCACACAGGGCGGAGAGGACACAGCTCTTCTCATACAGCGTCACACTGAACTCTCCTGTAGATTAAATGTGTTTATGACCGAGTTAGCGTTACATTAATGGTGTTATTTGTACACACTCAGGTGAACATGCAGGCAGGCACACACAATGTATGTAACTTAAGGAGCTCTCACCACGCTTCCCCACAGCTTTGCTGGACATACATAGCTGACCTGGAGGACACTTCTGAGGGAACTTGATGCAGTCCAGTGGGGATATGGCAGGGAAGACACAGGTGAAGCAAAACAGAGCAACTGAAAGAGAAAGATATTGATTACATAAGAACAAAGTAAAATGAAAGTTTGTACAGATTTTTAATAGGTACAATTGTCAGTGCAAGATTATCAGAGGAAAGGAGCTGATGTCCTATGACGGACAGTTGGGGGAAATGGGTGGGAGGGGCTTAAACAATGTTGTTAATGTAATAATGCAAAGGTCACTGTACAAAGGTAAACACCAATTAACCAATTAGCTTCCCACATAAACACGTGCAAAAACACACAGTATATGATACATCTGCACATTGCAATTTAGGTATTCAATTTGTAACTCCTTTCTCTTCCACTTACCCACAGATGGTACCAGACACAGGAAAAGCAGAGGGCATAGAAGCTGTGACATCACTTGTTTTTTGTCTCTCTCCAAACAAAGACAATATCCTATATTCCCTTTGATTTGACTGCTTTACCAGCGCCTCAAGACCTTTCTATTTTCTCGTTATCTAGTTAATGTTTTTAGATAAATGATTGTCTAAAAAAACAATAACTAGTTGCAACCTTCTCTTATCCAGTAAAATGTGTGATATAGTCCTTTTGGGGATGCGTCTGTACAAACTTGTGGTATTATCCCAGTACTTTTAGTCTTCTCTCTCTTCATGCATCGTCTGCACAGATCTGAAGATAGCCTCCTGTTTTCCTTGATACTACCTTAATTATCTTCAAACGTCTCCCCAACCCGCCACACATCTGATTCAATTAGGACATTAGCCGTCCAGTGATAAGACTGAAGTCTCTCCTCCGCCATGGCTGATTGTAAAGTTTACACTGGAATCTGCATAAATACTATTGTTGAAACAAACTATTTGAGTATTCAGTTTAATAGTGTATTGCAATGATACACAAATATATTACTGAAATCTACAGTACTGCTTTGCCGTGTATAGAGGGCCTTTATACAGTGCTTCTGTAACCACTCACTAAAGAAGAGGCTTATTGAGTCATCCCTTATTTCTTAATGAAAGACTTGAAGTTTAGAGGGAGGACTGTCAAGTGACTTGCAGTCTTATGACTCGGACTGAAGAGGAGGGGGTGATGGAGACTGGGCTTTATAACAGTATACATTTATTCACAGGTGAAGTTGATCATAGTACAGTAAACTGTTTGTGATTCTAATGCAGTCTATGCTGAACATATTCAATTCGCGTTATAGATGCCAAGCTGTACAATATGACAATGGATTAATGCAAGGAGATCAAGTCCAGGCCAATGAAACCCATGCACATTGCTGCTCTAAGGAACTCGCAAACAATAAGCAATGGGGCTGAGTTTGCAGAGAAATACTGTTTATGCTTATTTCAAGTACACATTAAATCAGGGGTGTCAAACTCATGTTAGCTCAGGGGCCACATGGAGGAAAATCTATTCCCAAGTGGGCCGGACCGGAAAAATCATGGTATATACAGTGGGGAGAACAAGTATTTGATACACTGCCGATTTTGCAGGTTTTCCTACTTACAAAGCATGTAGAGGTCTGTCATTTTTATCATAGGTACACTTCAACTGTGAGAGACGGAATCTAAAACAAAAATCCAGAAAATCACATTGTATGATTTTTAAGTAATTCATTTGCATTTTATTGCATGACATAAGTATTTGATCACCTACCAACCAGTAAGAATTCCGGCTCTCACAGACCTGTTAGTTTTTCTTTAAGAAGCCCTCCTGTTCTCCACTCATTACCTGTATTAACGGCACCTGTTTGAACTCTTTACCTGTATAAAAGACACCTGTCCACACACTCAATCAAACAGACTCCAACCTCTCCACAATGGCCAAGACCAGAGAGCTGTGTAACGACATCAGGGATAAAATTGTAGACCTGCACAAGGCTGGGATGGGCTACAGGACAATAGGCAAGCAGCTTGGTGAGAAGGCAACAACTGTTGGTGCAATTATTAGAAAATGGAAGAAGTTCAAGATGACGGTCAATCACCCTCGGTCTGGGGCTCCATGCAAGATCTCACCTGGTGGGGCATCAATGATCATGAGGAAGGTGAGGGATCAGCCCAGAACTACACGGCAGGACCTGGTCAATGACCTGAAGAGAGCTGGGACCACAGTCTCAAAGAAAACCATTAGTAACACACTACGCCGTCATGGATTAAAATCCTGCAGCGCACGCAAGGTTCCCCTGCTCAAGCCAGCGCATGTCCAGGCCCGTCTGAAGTTTGCCAATGACCATCTGGATGATCCAGAGGAGGAATGGGAGAAGGTCATGTGGTCTGATGAGACAAAAATAGAGCTTTTTGGTCTAAACTCCACTCGCCGTGTTTGGAGGAAGAAGAAGGATGAGTAAAACCCCAAGAACACCATCCCAACCATGAAGCATGGAGGTGGAAACATCATTCTTTGGGGATGCTTTTCTGCAAAGGGGACAGGACGACTCACCGTATTGAGGGGAGGATGGATGGGGCCATGTATCGCGAGATCTTGGCCAACAACCTCCTTCCCTCATTAAGAGCATTGAAGATGGGTCGTGGCTGGGTCTTCCAGCATGACAACGACCCGAAACACACAGCCAGGGCAACTAAGGAGTGGCTCCGTAAGAAGCATCTCAAGGTCCTGGAGTGGCCTAGCCAGTCTCCAGACCTGAACCCAATAGAAAATCTTTGGAGGGAGCTGAAAGTCTGTATTGCCCAGCGACAGCACCGAAACCTGAAGGATCTGGAGAAGGTCTGTATGGAGGAGTGGGCCAAAATCCCTGCTGCAGTGTGTGCAAACCTGGTCAAGACCTACAGGAAACGTATGATCTCTGTAATTGCAAACAAAGGTTTCTGTACCAATATTAAGTTCTGCTTTTCTGATGTATCAAATACTTATGTCATGCAATAAAATGCAAATTAATTACTTAAAAATCATACAATGTGATTTTCTGGATTTTTGTTTTAGATTCCGTCTCTCACAGTTGAAGTGTACCTATGATAAAAATTACAGACCTCTACATGCTTTGTAAGTAGGAAAACCTGCAAAATCAGCAGTGTATCAAATACTTGTTCTCCCCACTGTATAACTTAAAAACAACAACTTCAGATTGTTTTCTTTGTTTTAATACGATCAACATACAACATAAAGCTGGAGCCTGAGGACAGTGTGTCCAAAATAGTACAAGCACAACATCACTATTAATCATAAAACACCTCAAGTTTATTGAAAAATTCTGAAGGACAAAGAACACACAAACACACAATGCCTCAGTGATTAACAGAACTGTTTCACAGATCACAGAACTATATCAGGGTGTCATTTCTCAGGCAGAAATGTAGATAAAAATAATGAAATCCTGTTCCCCAAACAAGTGCAAGAACCACAGAGTCAAGAATAGGTTAAATATACAAATAAAATAAAATCAATTAAAAACAATAGCACATCAACATAAAAACATATAAACATAAAGCTGGAGCCTGAGGACAGTGTCCAAAAGCACAACATCACTATTAATCATAAAACACCTCAAGTTATTTGAAAGTTCTGAGGACAAAGAACACACAAACACACAATGCCTCAGTGATTAACAGAACTGTTTCACAGATCACAGAACTATATCAGGGTGTCATTTCTCAGGCAGAAATGTAGATAAAAATAATGAAATCCTGTTCCCCAAACAAGTGCAAGAACCACAGAGTCAAGAATAGGTTAAATATACAAATAAAATAAAATCAATTAAAAACAATAGCACATCAACATAAAAACATATAAACATAAATCTGAAAGCGTTGCTCAAACTCCCGTAACAGTCCCGTTATTTTATCTTTGAACCGCTTCATGTCTGCCACATGTTGGGTCGCGCACACATTTTTCAGACAGGGGAAGTGAGCTGCATCACCACCGGCAAGTTGCGTCTCCCACAATGACAGCTTCAACTTGAAAGAACGTATGCTGTCATAATACTGCGTGACAACTTTGTTGCGCCCTTGCAGCTGTTTGTTCAAGTTATGCAGGTGCTCTGTAACATCCACCATAAATGCAAGGTCCTGCATCCATTCTGCGGAATGAAATTCTAACACTGGTTTGCCCTTTTCTTCCATGAACTGTTCAATTTCTTCTCGTAAATCAAAGAAACGCCTCAGCACAGCACCTCGGCTTAACCATCTTACCTCAGTGTGGTATGGCAGGCCATAGATGTGGTCTTTCTCTCTGAGAAGGCTGTCAAACTGACGGTGATTCAGGCTTCTGGATCGGATGAAATTAACAGTTTGGATGACCACCTTCATGACGTTATCCATCTTTAATGACTTGCAACACAAAGCCTCCTGGTGCAAAATACAGTGAAAAGTCAAAAAATCACGTCCTCCATTTGCAGATTGCACTTTCTCTCTGAACTTTGTCACAACGCCTGCTTTTTTCCCGATCATTGAGGGTGCACCATCTGTAGCCAGGCTGACAGCGCGGGACCAGACCACTCCGACCCTGTCCAGCGCACCGACGAGTGCGGTAAAAATATCAGCTGCTGTCGTTGTATCTGTCATCGGCACCAACTCCACGAACTCCTCGGTGACGGTCAATGTGTCATCAACTCCGCGGATGAAAATGGCCAGTTGTGCAACATCTGTAATGTCCGTGCTTTCATCAATTGCAACTGAAAACGCAATAAATGACTTTACTTTTTGCTTCAACTGGCTGTCCAAATCCACTGAAAGATCGGAAATCCTGTCTGCAATTGTGTTTCTTGTCAGGCTGATATTTGCAAAAGCCTGCCGCTTTTCAGGGCACACAATCTCCGCTGCCTTCATCATGCATGTTTTTACAAATTCACCCTCACTAAATGGTTTTGAAGCCACTGCGATTTCATTAGCAATGAGGTAGCTAGCTTTCACTGCAGCGTCACTGATGTCTCGGCTGTGAGTAAACACAGACTGCTGTTTCTTCAGACCCGCCAACAGTTCATTCACCTTCTCTCATCTCCGCTGTCCTTGAAAGTTGTCATATTTGTCGGCATGAAGACTCACATAGTGGCGACGAAGGTTATATTCTTTCAGCACTGCAACATGCTCTGAACACACCAAACATACAGCTTTCCCATTCAATTCCGTGAATAAATAGGATGACCATTTTTCTTGGAACACTCTGCGTCCACTTTTCTCTTTTTTGACAGAGACATATTGGGGCAATGAGGGTGCCAAAGCACATAATGTTAAAAGTAGAAGCCGTAATAAATATCGCGGGCAAAACAAAGTAGCTCATTGGCTGCACGTGCTTGACCTACTTGCTCTGCCCCGGTATAAACAGTTTGCTTGCTTAACACAATTGCTATTGCGCCATCCAGTGGACGCAATTGGAACAGCAGTTTATTTTATTGAAAAATTGCAGCGCATTTTTATACTTTACAAAAAACAAAAAAACAAAAAAAAACTATTTTTTTTTATTTTTTTCAAAATCATCTCGCGGGCCGGATTAAACCCGTTTGCGGGCCTTATCCGGCCCGCGGGCCGGACGTTTGACACCCCTGCATTAAATGGTGTAATGCAGAAATGTGGTTAATCGAGGGTTGGGATGCCACACATGACTAGGTTCAAAAACATACCTTCCTAATCATCATGTTTAAATGGTCCCTTTTCAACACATTGGTCCCTCTTTTCACTTCAAATCCAGGATAAAACACACGTGCCGTTTGTATATAACTATAGATATGGGCTCTTCTCTTTCCTTGATTTCTCTCCCCATCTCCTTCTCAAAACGCATTGGAGGAGAAGATCAGAGGGGAGGAACCTTAAATCGTCTTCCCTCTGAGCTTCTCCTCCAATTCATTTTGAGAAGGAGCCAAGGAGAGAGGAAAGATTCATTGAGTCATGCACTACATAATGAGTTTAGTACACCTCCTGTTGCAGGAAAGTGGGCATTGCTCGTCTGTCGACCAGCTGCCGCCGCAGCCTGACCACAGCAGAGTCCACCTGCTCTGCGACCCTCTTGCCGTGCAGGTTGTCCACCAGCTGCAGACACGTGCCCTGCAGCCTGGAGAGCTCCTCTTCAGAGGACAGCAGGCGGCGTCTCAACACAGAACTACCCTGAGAGAAAAACACAAGACTCAGAGGGCTGAATTCTAACATGAGAACTTAACTCTACGATTGCATAAATCATGCATTGATGTCAATGGAAGACTTGCACAGACATTTTAGTCTACTACAGTAAATGGCCAAGTACATAATATAAGAGAAAGAGTGTCAATCATGTTCGTTTTTAGATGAAGGTCATTAGTTACCAGTATGAGATGAGCAGCCTCAGGTAACTCGGTCCCAGGGTGTCTGTGGTAAACCTTTACTATAGGCCTGTTCAGTTTCTCTCTGGAAAGTATATCCCCACTGTACTCAGGGCCCTGAAAAACACATGACAACATAGGAAGATAGGGGTGGAGTAGTGAAGTCACCCACTACAACATTATTACAACCAACCAACCATTACACCAACATTAGTGGCTCTTTCTTTACCAAATAAGCACAGATACAGACACTATCTCCAATGCACACTCTTATGCATGACAAAGCCTACAGACAGTTCCACTCACATACTGACCAGTGCTCTGTCATGGCTGTGACGAATGCAGTTCAGCTGCCTCTGTTTGCGGAAAATGGCCTGCCTGGCGGCTGCAGACATAATTGTGAGATTTTGCTGTGCGAGAGAATGAGAGTTTTACTAGTTTGACTTTAAAATGTTAAATACTATTGTATGTCCCATGCTGTACCTTCAGAGTGACTGTCTCAGCTATTTTCTTCACCAGAGCTTCATTGACAGTACGGTGGGCAGCTTTTTGCCTGGTGATGGCATTGCCAATCATCTGCCTGATGTTCTCTCGTAGCAGCTGTGATTGGTTCACAGCCAGAGTGGAAGACTCCAGAACCTGCTTACATTCTGAGACAAGGAAAGATGTGGGTAATCCTTTAATTTACAGACCTGTTTCAGCTGATATTTGCCTAGTATCTACTAAGAGTGTATAGTAGAAATGGGCAATTTGTGGGACTAACTAGCAAATGGTAAGCCTACAGGTGCTGGTTTAAATAAATCCCAAATAAATAAATTAGTGGCTATTATGTAACTATTATGTAATTACACTGTCACCATGTAGTGTCTAAGACAAAAACTAGGCGAATCACTGACAATAAAACAAAGTGTAAGCACAATAGGCGCTATATGGGACAAGGTGACGTCAACGCAGTGCCATAAACTGTGTTACATTAGTACAGTATGTTATTGACATAGCACCTGGAGTGAAGGGGCCGATTGGCTCTGGTAGTTTTATGAGGCCTTGGGAGGGAGTTCCCTGTCCCCCTGCAGAGAGAGAGCCAGAGCGAGTGTGTGGTAGAAGCTCCAGAACACGGGCTCTCTCACTGGCACAGTCCAACAGCTGCCTACTGCACTGACCCAGGGTCTATACATGGCAAGAAGAGAGCGAGAGAAATACAGGCTTTTTTAAAGGTATATCAATAGCAAATCAACTTGACAACTTTCTTGAATAGGCATACGCATAACTCTAGGCACCTGTATCCATTGAAAACCATAAAAAGAGAGAAAGCGATCACATTTATTTTATAAAGCCCTGTCTACATTAGCATTTGTCATAGTGTTTTTACAGTAACCCGGCCTATAGCAGTTAGATGTCATCACCTGTAGTTGTGCTAATGTGCTCCTCAGAGTGCTCTCCAGCTCCTGTTTCAGCTCAGTGAGTTCTCTCTTTTCACACTCCAGCAAATGGTCTGCTCCGTCTCTGCCCTGGAAACAGAGAACAATCATCTGTGTTTTTTTTTCTCATAACCATACAGTAGATTATAATACATATAGGCCTAATGTAGTCCAGCAAAGCAGTACTGGGCAGAAAAACTTTGGGTCAGGTGGAAATATGAAAATAACTCAAATAAATTCAGTTGTGACACATGCACACACACTGAACTCACAGTCTCAGTAGTAGCTGGTCTCATGGTCCTTCCCTCCACACTCTTCTTGTTGATCAGCATTTCACACCTCAGGCTCCTCAGCATCCTCTCCAGGAGGCCTCTCTCCCTCTCTAGTTTAATGCATTCCTGTGCCACCCGGACAGCTTTTCTACGTATCTCGCCCTCCACTTCCCTCACACCGCGCATGTACTCCCCTGCTACCCCTACACTGGCCTCCGCACATTGCTCTCGAAAGCAGGGAGGTGGAAACAACCACACATGTGGTGGGGGTAGCATTTCGGAGCTAAACATGACACAAGACAGAGAATGACATTGAAGTCTACACATACAACAATATATAAAACTTACAAATATAATTAAACTTAATTTCATTAACTGTGCATTATTTAGCAAAACAGCAATTACCACAAAAATACATTTAATTTAGGCTAAAGCTTATATAGCCTACATGATTGAAAATAGTGCACATTCATTCACTATTAATTTCATTCATCATAACTTTAAAATACACTCTCACCATTGTCCCTGTGGTTTGTGGTCTGAGTTTATGCTTGCACAAAGCATCATGAGTATCACCGCCTCCATCCACTTCAATTGTGTCTGTGCGCCTCGGGGTAAACGCGGCGGCGCTACAGTTCCGTGCACGGCTGATAGACCCCGACCGTCCTGCGTGGGTTTGCCGCACCAAGTGCTCCGCTCTCTGGATAGAGAGCATCGTATCATCCCGCCAAGACTGCGGTCCTATCGTCACAGAGGCGAGGGGAACTAACCGCACAGGCATTTTCTATTTACTCAAACCTTTTGATACATTTAATTAATTTAGGCTACTAAATTACGCAAAGTTCACCTCAACCCCCGAGGGCCAAATAAACTAGTGTTGAAGTATCATTTCCAAAGCAACAGTTCCTAAGTAACCAGAAACCATAGTCCTGCTTGTGATTGGACAATAGAGGATGGATGAGGTCAGTCAGTATTGGGGTTTACTGGGGTCATGTCTAGATGGGATCCAGCTTTTGTAAGATTTACGTCAAAAGTTGTTTTTTGCTAATCCTAACCCTTTTCCTAACCTTAACCTAATTCTCATAACCTGCCACGTTAATTATCCTAACCTGCTGCTTAAGTTCTCCGACACCTGCTACGAAAAGTACATTCTGACAAATGTTGGATCCATTCTAGCCATAACCGTTTACTGGGGATCATATTCCAAGTGTGAAGTACAGAGCAAATGAGACACCCGCGGGTCATGAAAGTCCCTTTGATCATCCATGACATAGGCAGCAAAATGCATGCAATGAAAACAGACTACATTAAATATTGTGATCATATAAAGAGGTTTATTTCTCAATCTCAGACTTAAAAATGAAAACATGGCAGCAAATCCCCAAAAGACAGGCAAAAATAAATGTATCAAACCATTCTGTAGTAAAATTAACCCCCCCCCCCCCAAAAAAAAAAAAAAAAAAAAAAGTATAAATACATTTTTGGGGGTCAAAAATGTAAACCCCTTTATGACAATCACAGTGCCAAGCAGTATCATGTTGCTAATGTGTAAAGAATTTGGCAGCGTGAACAGAAAAAGGCAAAAAGGCACATTTGGACAACAGACACTGGAAAAAACATACATAATTTACAGCAGGACACCAATACAGAAAGCTTTTGGGAAACTGCAACCTCAAACTATCCAAATTCAACACAATAATAATCACCCTTCTGATATTTGCACTTATCAAGAAGGCTGCACTACACGATGCCCTTAAGGATACATTAACAAATCTCATCATACAATCTACATTTCCCCATGTCCCATGCTAGCAGTTAATCAATGTCTGACTTGGACCAAAGTGTATTTTGAATTTGCATAAATGGTACTCTCAGTCAATTACATTTTTTGATTGAACTGTCTGTATTGATACATTTCATTGACAGAGTACCATTTAAGCAAATTCTAAATTCATGTTAGACATGGATTAACTACTAGCATACTTAATCAATTAAATCAGTCATTTTAACATGATTGAAATATTAATATACAAATATGAAGGATGCCAAAATGGAGCAAAAACATTATCATTATTGACAAATATCCAGTCAGGAGTTTTGATGCAACAAATGCGCATCAACACAACCTTTTTAATAGGCCTACATATAATTGTAATTAGAAGTAAACTACCTGTGGTGCAAGAAAGTGCTGGTTCATGCAGCTCATCTATATAAATGTGCATTGTACCTTCATGGTTCTACGTTTTTTGCTCTCTCACTATCTTGTTTGTCTCTTTCATAGTGTGTGTTTGACAGCAGTCATGGGTTCAAATTTGTTCAGCAGGTTCTGTTGAAGTTCTTTGAGTAGATGATCCCGTTCCTCGGAATCCAGGAGAACTTGCTAAATAAAAAATGTTCACAAATCAAAATATTCAGAGTTAATTTGGTCCGATCTTTAGTGTTTTTCTAAAGGTCATGTATGGACATCATTTTGGCCCACTCCTCCATACAGACCTTCTCCAGATCCTTCAGGTTTCGGGGCTGTCGCTGGGCAATACAGACTTTCAGCTCCCTCCAAAGATTTTCTATTGGGTTCAGGTCTGGAGACTGGCTAGGCCACTCCAGGACCTTGAGATGCTTCTTACGGAGCCACTCCTTAGTTGCCCTGGCTGTGTGTTTCGGATCGTTGTCATGCTGGAAGACCCAGCCACGACCCATCTTCAATGCTCTTACTGAGGGAAGGAGGTTGTTGGCCAAGATCTCGCAATACATGGCCCCATCCATCCTCCCCTCAACACGGTGTAGTCGTCCTGTCCCCTTTGCAGAAAAGCATCCCCAAAGAATGATGTTTCCATCTCCATGCTTCACAGTTGGGATGGTGTTCTTGGGGTTGTACTCATCCTTCTTCTTCCTCCAAACACGGCGAGTGGAGTTTAGACCAAAAAGCTATTTCTTTGTCTCATCAGACCACATGACCTTCTCCCATTCCTCCTCTGGATCATCCAGATGGTCATTGGCAAACTTCAGACGGGTCTGGACTTGCGCTGGCTTGAGCAGGGGGACCTTGCGTGCGCTGCAGGATTTTAATCCATGACGGCGTAGTGTGTTACTAATGGTTTTCTTTGAGACTGTGGTCCCAGCTCTCTTCAGGTCATTGACCAGGTACTGCCGTGTAGTTCTGGGCTGATCCCTCACCTTCCTCATGATCATTGATGCCCCACGAGGTGAGATCTTGCATGGAGCCCCAGACCGAGGATGATTGACCGTCATCTTGAACTTTTTCCATTTTCTAATAATTGCGCCAACAGTTGTTGCCTTCTCACCAAGCTGCTTGCCTATTGTCCTGTTGCCCATCCCAGCCTTGTGCAGGTCTACAATTTTATCCCTGATATCCTTACATAGCTCTCTGGTCTTGGCCATTGTGGAGAGGTTGGAGTCTGTTTGATTGAGTGTGTGGACAGGTATCTTTTATACAGGTAACGAGTTCAAACACTCGCTCATGTACGGACATACCTCAATGAGTTGGTCTCTCTTCTCCAGGCTCTTCCTCAATTTCCTCTCCTCCCTCTCTTTTTCCTCCTTTTCGCTCCGCCAGGCTCGCTGTGCCTCCATGTTCTCCTTCCCCCTCTCCCTCAGGTCGTTGCGTGTGTCGTTGAGTTGCTCTGACAGTGAAGACACCGTCTGACTATGATTCTGCTGTTGCTCCTTGAGAAGGCAGGGGGAAAGATTAGAAGAGATGAAAGGCATGGGTTCTAATTACCAAACCATATTATAGGCTTGGTAATTCACGGAATTGGTAACTGAAGATGACCTGAAATGTGTAAAAGACAATGGAAGACTGACCGTATGTAATCACGGCACATCTCAGTATAAAGGAGTATCTTAACAGTCTTACTGTCTTCTTCTTCACTGATATGAAAGACAGGGATTGGTGAAAGCATCCACTTTCCCATCCTCACTTGCGCTCACCTGCACCATGCCCTGATAGTCCTGCAGGGCGGCGGTGAGCTTGGAGACCTCCCGGCACATGGTGGCGCTGTGCTCCTCTCTGTCCTGTAGCCAGGCTCTCACCAGGCTCTCCTTCTCCTTCAGCTGAGAGGCCAGAGCTCCCTCAGCACCGCCTCCTGACACCCCCTGGCTAATCACAGAGTCCGACAGTGCCTGGGGGAAAGAAAACAAGTTATGAGGAGGAAAGTCTCCCTGAAGCCAGTGAAGTCAAAAGAGCTACATGTAGAATTTTTGCATTGTAATTTCAGAAACGTCCATAATATTTCTGCAGTAATAGTGGAATGATAGTGTTTCACCATATTCTTTCACCCCCAAAATATTTTGGCCCAATACAAAATCCCATTCTAAAATGCAAACAAAAGCCAGACCGGTTTCTGTAGTCAAGATGGGAAAACTGTAGAGCTGGGACGATAAAGCGAAAATGACCGACACCGACATTGCCTTCCTCCTACCGAAGCATTTTGCGTACGTCGTTAATATTCTATGATTTTGCTATACAACATTCCTCTAGGTTGTTGTAAAGCGATTATTTGGTCAACAGTAATAGCCTATGCATTATGTTGATTCCTGCTTTTTAAAGTATCTGCCTGTTGTGCTGTCGGCTGCTGTGAGAGTGAGCCACTCTCACTCCCTCCCTCCCCCTGCTGTGTGAGTGAGCCACTCTCACTCCCTCCCTCCCCCTGCTGTGTGCAAGGAGAAATGGAATGATAAAGAAATTTGACGTTTGGAGCAACTTTGAAATTTGACATTTGGAGAAATGTGGATAAACATCAGAATCTGTTGTCAAATTGGTAAAACCGTGAGATCTTGTTGTACAATGAAGAAAAATATAAACGCAATATGTAAAAGTGTTGGTCCCATGTTTCATGAGCTGAAATAGAGAACATTTCTGGAATATTTTATCTATATGCACAGAGCCAAAAATACATCTGATCATTCTGGATCCTATTTTGACAGGTTGCACATAAAAATATTAATCATGCATTCCCTGGATATGTTAGAGAAATAGCTTCCTTTTTAAAATATTAGGCTACCATCTCAGTTGACTTACATGGCACTGTAAAAATGTGTCTTGAGCCCTGCCTCTAATGTAAAGTAACTGTCCATTAAAACAATGTTTTATTGTTGTAGCAATGTTCCCTCTAATTTTTGGGGGCATTGAGGACATTTTTGGTCTTGTGAGCGGAAACTTGAATGTTGTGAGAATTTTCTGCAACTTCCGGCGCAGTGAACACTGAGGCTGTACCCTTACAGTTTGACAGTAGCCAATAGGCTATTGTGGCTATTTGAGCATAATGTAGGCCTACCAACAAAACGGCGCAAATCCCATAACATTTTCACATGGAAATAGCTTATGATTTCCATGATATAGCCTACAGTAGCCTATATGTTGTGTTCAATGCAGGCCTACATTGCATGAGACTTTAAACACGTTTTTACATTATGAAATGCTTGACATTAATTCACAATTTTTTACTTGGTCTGTAACATGGACCAAACATGTGACTGTAAATTGCATTTTATTGTGTTGTATGATGCAATAAACCACTTTACAAAATACAATGAATTACTATTACCATACAGAGAATTAGACAATGTAGGCTACCCCTCTATTGGCTTATTTGCATATTCAAGCCTGTCTCAAAATACTACACTGTCCCTTTAAGATATTAGCTTTTTACCAAGACAGCTTAAAATGTAACCTACACGTTTTGTGCTCTTGTAGGAAGCAGTAACTCCCCATTGCTGACCTATACTTATCTATAACTGGGCTAATAACTTGCTAACTAGCAAAGAATATCAACAAATGTGCAGACGCACAGCTCTGCGGTCTGATCTGAACTGAAAAGCTCAAGACCGCTGGTGGGCTACACCCGCCAATAGAATTCTACTCCATTGCGCTCTGGCTCTGCCTACAACAAAATCACAGAGTCAATCTTGCAAAATTAGATTTGTTTTTGTTTGTTGTATTGAAAAGGGGCTGAAATAATGTTGATTCGATCACAGAAAAAACATTGATCCATATAGTGTAAACTAATTGGGTGAACTCTGTGAAGTTCAATCTCTTGCGTCTCTGCGCGGCATGGTATTTCTTCTGCGCGGCAGTCCTGGAGGAGGTGCGCGGCTGCACACGCGCGCAACTTAGAGGGAACATTGCATTGTAATCTATTTATTGTTATCAAGCAAATTAGTTATATTCATCACAATGTGACTTTTTGCCCATAATCGCCCAGCTCTAGCACCTACCCAAAAAAGTATTTATAGCCGATTTATCGTTATCACATCAACTCAGCAAAAAAAGAAACGTCCTCTCACTGTCAACTGCATTTATTTTCAGCAAACTTAACATGTGTAAATATTTGTATGAACATAAGATTCAACAACTGAGACATAAACTGAACACGTTCCACAGACATGTGACTAACATAAATTGAATAATGTGTCCCTGAACAAAGGGGGGGGTCAAAATCAAAAGCAACAGTAAGTAGCTGGTGTGGCCACAGCTGCATTAAGTACTGTAGTGCACCTCCACATCATGTACTGCACCAGATTTGCCAGTTCTTGCTGTGAGATGTTACCCCACTCTTCCACCAAGGCATCTGCAAGTTCCCGGACATTTCTGTGGGGAATGGCCCTAGCAGTCACCCTCCGATCCAACAGGTCCCAGACGTGCTCAATGGGATTGAGATCCGGGCTCTTCGCTGGCCATGGCAGAACACTGACATTCCTGTTTTGCAGGAAATCACGCACAGAACGAGCAGTATGGCTGGTGGCATTGTCATGCTGGAGGGTCATGTCAGGATGAGCCTGCAGGATGGGTACCACATGAGGGAGGAGGATTTCTTCCCTGTAACGCACAGCGTTGAGATTGCCTGCAATGACAACAAGCTCAGTCCGATGATGCTGTGACACACTGCCCCAGACCATGACGGACCCTCCACCTCCAAATCGATCCCGCTCCAGAGTACAGGCCTCGGTGTAACGCTCATTCCTTCGACGATAAATGCGAATCCGACCATCACCCCTGGTGAGACAAAACCGCGACTCGTCAGTGAAGAGCACTTTTTGCCAGTCCTGTCTGGTCCAGCGACTGTGGGTTTGTGCCCATAGGCGACATTGTTGCCTGTGATGTCTGGTGAGGACCTGCCTTACAACAGGCCTACAAGCCCTCAGTCCAGCCTCTCTCAGCCTATTGCGGACAGTCTGAGCACTGATGGAGGGATTGTGCGTTCCTGGTGTAAATCGGGCAGTTGTTCTTGCCATCCTGTACCTGTCCCGCAGGTGTGATGTTCGGATGTACCGATCCTGTGCAGGTGTTGTTACACGTGGTCTGCCACTGCGAGGACGATCAGCTGTCCGTCCTGTCTCCCTGTAGCGCTGTCTTAGGCGTCCCACAGTACAGACATTGCAATTTATTGCCCTGGCCACATCTGCAGTCTTCAGGCCTCCTTGCAGCATGCCTAAGGCACGTTCACGCAGATGAGCAGGGACCCTGGGCATCTTTCTTTTGGTGTTTTTCAGAGTCAGTAGAAAGGCCTCTTTAGTGTCCTAAGTTTTCATAACTGTGAACCTAATTGCCTACCGTCTGTAAGCTGTTAGTGTCTTAACGACCGTCCACAGGGGCATGTTCATTAATTGTTTATGGTTCATTGAACAAGCATGGAAAACAGTGTTTAAACCCTTTACAATTTGGATTTTTACTAATTATCTTTGAAAGACATGGTCCTGAAAAAGGGACGTTTCTTTTTTTGCTGAGTTTATATAGCTTTTTTTTAAAATCGTGATATGGATTTTGGTCCCCCTCCCCCCCCTTACATCGGCATCACTAAAAGGCATGGTCATCTCCTCCCCGAGTACAAGGAATAATGGCAGACTGGGGCAAGCGGCCAATGTAGAAATCGTTCTGTCATTTCCTGGTTGCTAAAATTCTACACTCTTCGAACTATTTCAGTTTATGTGAGAAAACATGCACTGAATAGCGTAGAGAATCTTTGTACGATCTAAATCGCAGTGAAATATCTACAGCTGTTTGAAGTTGGTGGACGAAACTGAAAGTAAAATAGTCTCCACCATGGTCTATGCTATCCGGGATCCTTAGGATGTCGAACAGCACTAACCTCTCCACCGTATTGCAGGGAAACGGAATGCATGGGAGTGGGAAAGAGTTGTTTATATTCAGCCTAAGTATTGTTGCAATTGACCTAGCTTCCACATGGGTGAGACAATCGACATGTAGGCACCTTTAACTTGAAGAACAGAGGTCAGTGCATGCAGCACTGGTTACTGAACCTGACACAAACAATTGTGGGCACACTGGAAAAAGGGACATACCTGTACCCAATTCTGTTTAGATCAGGAATGGTCAAACTAATAGATATTCAAATTACTCAAAACACTATCTTTCAAGACATCTGGGTCTGTATTCACAAAGAGTCTCAGAGTAAGAGTCCTGATCTAAATCCTACAGCACTCCCACAGCACTCCTAATTTAATTCAACCTATGGAGATACTGTATGTTTAGGTAATGCTCTCACCTGCATGTCTTTCTGAGAGCTCTCTAGCGCCTCCTTCAGGCAGAGGAGAAGTGACTCTTTCTCCTCTAGCAATGCTGTGAGGGCCTGGTCCCGCTGTCGCCACACTTCCCTCTCCTTCTGCACCTCCCGCTGCACTCGCTCCTTCTCAACCAGCTCCACTCTCAGCTCCTGGGTTTTAGAAGGAAAACAGGGCTCTTATGTGTGAAACTTGTAACACCTTTGACTGAGTGACTTTATATAGGGTATGCAGTACAATGTTACATTTGTTAAATGAATGTGAGTGAATACATCTAAGTGAAAGAGTATGAGGGTGTGTGTGTGTGTACTTGTTCTACAGGAACTGCAATACACTGGTAGCACAGCAATCACATGTGTGTTCAACTTCAGACTCACATTGATGATGTCCTGGTTACATTGGAGCACAGTGTTGAGTGTGTAGAGGTCTCTCTCCCGGTCTCTCCCAGCCTTCTTCAGTGCCTCCAGCTCACTCTCCATCCTCTTCTTCTCACTCATCTCAGAGCGCAGAGTCTCCAGGGCTTGCTAAAGAAGAAGTAGAACATAAGACATCAGCAAAATAACATTGAACAGAAATGTTTATATCAAAATAGTAATGTCATAGTAAAAAAAGGACAAATTCACACGTTTTATTGTCCATGCCTTGACAGTCTGCACAAGTTTTTTTTGTGTAAACCAATAGCTTATTCAAATCATAATCAAATGGGATCAATCTTAGCCCTCACCTTATTGTCGGAGAGCGTTTGTTTCAGATTGTCAGTGAGTGCCTGTGTCAGTCTGTCAGCCACGTCTGTCCCTGTCCCCACCTCCACACACATCTTCCTGATCAGACCCATGCACTCCTGAGGCAGACAGGGAGACAGGAAATTCATGTCTGATCATGGAATAACACAAAAACACATGGCTTCAGAAAAGGACTTGATGTATGAAAAAATTACACCAGAATAGAAAAACTGCATTTAAAACAATGTCTTAATGATAAATATTGAGACAATGATCGTTAAGAAAACAGGGTTTGCCCCAAACACTCACTGTTGGATTGCTGTTACAGTGCTATGTGTGTTGATACTTGGATTTATAACCAACATTTCTTGATTTTCTTGTTTTTAAATGGATTATTTGTGTACCTGTTTGACATTTTTACTGCACTGTTAGGAGCTAGTAACGTAAGCATTTCGCTGCATCCACTATAACCATCTGCTAAACTGTGTACGCGACCAATAAATGTGACTATAAAAACATACATATACACTACCAGTCTAAAGTTTGGACACACCTACTCATTCATGGGTTTTTCTTTATTTTTTACATTGTAGAATAATAGTGAAGACATCTAAACTATGAAAAACACATATGGAATCATGTAGTAAACAAAAAAGTGATTGTGGAGGCCAGGTCATCTGATGAAGCACTCCACTCTCCTTCTTGGTAAAATAGCCCTTACACAGCCTGGAGGTGTGTTGGGGCATTATCCTGTTGAAAAACAAATGATAGTCCCACTAAGCCCAAACCAGATGGGATGGCGTATCGCTGTATAATGCTGTGGAAGCCATGCTGGTTAAGTGAGCCTTGAATTCTAAATAAATCACAGACAGTGTCACCAGCAAAGTACCCCCACACCATAACACCTCCTCCTCCATGCTTTATGGTGGGAACTACACATGCGGAGATCATCCGTTCACCCACACCGCGTCTCACAAAGACACAGCGGTTGGACTAAAAATCTCAAATTTGGACTCCAGACCAAAGGACACATTTCCACCGGTCTGATGTCCATTGCTCGTGTTTCTTGGCCCAAGCAGGTTTCTTCTTCTTATTGGTGTCCTTTAGTAGTGGTTTCTTTGCAGCAATTTGACCATGAAGGCCTGATTCACACAGTCCCCTCTGAACAGTTGATGTTGAGATGTGTCTGTTACTTGAACTCTGAAGCATTTATTTGGGCTGCAATTTCTGAGGCTGGTAACTCTAATAAATGTATCCTCTGCAGCAGAGGTAACTCTGGGTCTTCCATTCCTGTGGCGGTCCTCATGAGAGCCAGTGTCATCATAGCGCTTGATGTTTTTTGCGACTGCTCTTGAAGAAACGTTCAAAGTTCTTGAAATGTTCCATACTGACTGACCTTCATGTCTTAAGGTAATGATGGACTGTCGTTTCTCTTTGCTTATTTGAGCTTTTCTTGCCATAATATGACTTGGTCTTTTACCAAATAGGGCTATCTTCTGTATACCCCCCCTACCTAATCACAACACAAGTGATTGGCTCAAACGCATTAGGAAGGAAAGAAATTCCACAAATTAACTTTTAAGAAGGCACACCTGTTAATTTAAATGCATTCCAGGTGACTACCTCATGAAGCTGGTTGAGAGAATGCAAAAAGTGTTCAAAGCTGTCAAGGCAAAGGGTGGCTATTTGAAGAATCTCAAATATAAAATATATTTTGATTTGTTTAACACTTTCTTGGTTACTACATGATTCCATATGTGTTATTTCATAGTTTTGATGTCTTCACTATTATTCTACAATGTAGAAAATAGTAAAAAATAAAGAAAAACCCTGGACTGAGTAGGTGTGTCCAAACTTTTGACTGATACTGTATATTAAACCAATTTCATATATCTATTTGTCTAACTGTCAGTATGTTAAGCTGAGAAAGTTTGCTCACCCATACAATCTTCAGTAGAGATAAAGCAGTTTTGTTTGGCTTTTGTGATGGATTCCTATCTGCTAATACCACTATATCATAAGTTAACTCTGGGAGTTTAAGAGCGTGGTGTGTCCATGTTTTGATGGTAACATTCCACTAGTTCAGCCAGTGTCTCATTTCTGAGTGTAGTGGATCCCTGTGATTTCAGCATGACTACACTGTCTCCTCTCATAGAATCACTATGAATCACTCACCTGTATAACTCGGTCTCTGCTGTGCAGCGAATGCCCCAAACTCTGCAGTAGGAAGTTTCCCCCGTCCTTCTGTGGCAACTGAAAAAGCCATAATCACACCATACACAGCACTTAGATTAAGGAATTAAGTCAACACAGGACTAGCATTGCTGCAGCGATAGAAGAGCAGCTTAGCCTGGTCATACATCGGTTTGTGTTGTCTTTCAAACTCATGACAATGACCATAGGCGTTGCCAAGACAGCACAAACTGATCTGGGACCAGGCTAGAGCAGCAGACCTCTCCATTTTGAAGCCAGTGTCTTGTGGGTGATATGCCACTATGTTACAGTTTATGCTTTCAAAGAATGCAGGCAATCAGTTTGTATACTTGTAATAAACTTTGAACATGCAGGGCAGTTTATAGGCTTATACTGTAAGTGCCAAGTGTGAAAGTTCCCCACCACAAAAGCTTGATATACTGTAAGACCTCACACAGAGCACACAAATACTTAATCGCAACTATTGACTTATTTGAACTTTTCTAGGATTGGGTGGAGCTAATGCCAGATTCCAGGCAAATTAAAATATTTGATTGTGTAGAGCTGGCTGTGGGGCTCTTAATCGTCAAAAGTTCTTCATGGATTTACAGCTCCCATTCCCAGACTGAACTTGCTAATAGGGCTTCCTAAAATATCAAAACAACTAGAACTCAAGCCAGACCTGAATCACAGATGTGAACCTCATGAAATGAGAATCAGTTTAGGTAAGATGCCTTAACAGCTGGGGGTGAGGCCTAGACATGCTATAACCATAGGTAGGTGCAGGGTTGGATAACATGAGTCTACCGTAAGGAGATAAGGTTAAAAGATGCCACTCAGCAGCTGAGAAGCATGTTAATGATCTCTTTATGAAAAGCAATCCTGAGCTGCAGGGCAAACTCCTCTAGTTGGGGGAGATTCCAGGGAGAGGTGTGTGTGTGGTTACATGAGTGCACCTGCATTAAGGAAAGAGGACACTCCCTCATCCAGAGACCAAACAAACTAACACACCCATCATTCCTTGCATAATGCTTTATTTGTGCTTAGTCAACACAAGCACGGCTTAAAGACATTGCTATCCATGTGATTCTGTAGACGTGTGTGAGTGTGCGCGCGCAAGTACATGCAGAGGAAGCATGTTAGGGACACTATGTTCAGGCCATTATATTGCTGTGCACCGGCTGACTAGGCCTATACCTGTTGATCTTGTAGAAAAAGTCATCAGTCAGTTACCATGACAGGGACTGTCAACCTTAGTTGTGTGCTCAACCAAATGATCATGACACTTCAATTCTGCTCACCAATTTAAACCTGGACCAGCCTAGTCCAGCTTTGTCAGGGGAACCAGTCCATAGTATTTATAGTAACTCAATTGAAAATGACAAAACTGTTTCAATTGGTGAGCAGAATTGAGCACACAACAAAAATACGATTTAATTGGAGAATCTCCATTGGGAATGCTTTTTAGTCCATGACTAGGCTTAATTTGTGGCTTAATAAAGTGTCTAAATACAAGGGGGAAACATGTGGAGTATCAAATCAATAAACTACTCATTGCTTACCTTAAGCCAATCCTCTGGTCCATTGACATTAGTATCTGGTTTGGTTTTGGTCCCGTGTTCAAGCTCAGTTTCTAGGGTCTTGATGCGTGCCATAGCTTGATCAAGCTGTCCTCGCAACTGCCTGACTGCAAGGTGCACTCGACCTGTAGTGCTCTGAAAATAAATAAGAAAATGGCATTTTGTTGTCACATTCAATTCTGTTGAAGTCCTATTCCTGTATTCATAAGTAGGAACTTTGCACTGGCTACAGACATTTTAGATCCTAGATGACATATTACAGACAACTAAGTAAATATTTACACTCAGTGATAGACGGAGCGATCCACAGGCAAGGCAAGGCAACCTGTCAGAAAATCCTCATTTAGGGCAGAGATATTTTCCTGACCAGGGAAAGGGCTGATTTATAGGCAATGGAAACCCAAAGTGTTGTCAGGAAAAACTCCTGACCCTACTCATAATCACTCCCTATCGTTATTTGGTATGCTGGATTTTGATTGAATGTAAGAGAAATCTCACCTCTCTGTGTAGTGGAATAAACTCATCCCTCAATTCAGTCAGAACATCATTGGTCTCTCCATCCACTTCCTCTCCTCCATTCTCCCGCTCTCCAAAATTCAGCACCCTTGTTACCTCAGGGGAGGATGTCTCACCTACCTCTCCTAAATATCGCCCTTCCCTCTTTCCCAAAACGGGAATCTTACTCCCTGATGGTGAACTGACAGGCTTTCCTTCAATACCTTTCAACTCTCTGAGGACCAGGAGTGACAAATCATCTGGAAAATCTAATGGATCACGGCAACCCAACGAGTCCAGCGATTGGATGGACTCAGTGCGAGAGGACCCTCGTAAGGAGAGAGTGGATCCAGCCAATGACGCTGGGCTAGAGCTGAGCGACGGCACTCTCGACCAATGAAGGGGCATGCTCTGCGACTTGTCCCGTGATAGGGCCAAGGGGGAAAAGGGTTGGAAGGGTAGGCGGCGAGGAACCCCACAAACTGACTCATAAGCGGAGTCGGACACCCTCAAAGAATCACATCCCTCACAATTTTTCCCCTTTGAGCATCTTTTCCCCGTTCTGCTGAAGTATGGACATGCGTCCCATTTCTCAGACCAGCACTCATACTCTGACAGGGCCATGTTCTCCTTCAACATTTCCATGTAGCCATCTTTGTCTCCCATTCCATCCCCATCCTCCTCACTAGTGCTGCTCCTCATCCTGAAATCCTGAGGGTGTCGCTGGCGGTAAGCGCTGCGTACCCACTGCCTGACCTTGTCCCTCTCCTGGGTCAACTTCTGAAGCCTCTCAGAGGATAAGACCCTCACTCTGGAAATGACAGAGTCAAACTTGAAAACCCGCTCTAGAACTGAAACGCATTTGCCACACAAGAACTCCCCCCGCCCACTGCCCCGTGGTACGGACTGGCCTAGTATGTGTGTCAGTACAGAGAGAAGATCCATTGCTTTAGCGGGTGAGGACAGGGACGGGAGAGACGTTGTGGAGCCAAGGGACATGGTGCTACCTGCAAAGGGGGAAAGGAAAACATTAGAACACACACACGTGCATACACGCACAGAAGTGCACACACAACTCACCCCAGGGGCTGCTCTGAGAAGACCTGGAGAGACTTCCTCTGCCCAGTGAGTCTGATGGGGTCTGAGGCTGACCATCTTTTTTGTTCTGACCCCCAAAGAGCCATCGCCGTTGGTTACCCTGCAGGTCACCCCCACACACCCGACACCCCTCGCCTTTGCCTCTGGAGGACATAGTAGACAGAAGGGCTAGAAAATCCCCCCGCCCCCGATGTTCTTCAATATTCTGTTGGAATAAAGCAGAAAAGATTCTAAGCTGCAGCCTTAACTAAATGTATTCTAGACTTTTTGATCATGATGTTGAGAATGGTTGGATATCTAATCTTAGAATTCAATTCTGTATAATTGCACTTGCTGGCAGTGACATTCAAATGAGTTTTTCCAAGTCAGAACTGGATTTTCAAAAGCTGGCTTCACTTTTGGCCCACTTATACAAAAAATACAAAAAAGATTATCCTTGGCTGTTTAGCCTAATTCAGTTATTATCGGCTCTCACTGCTTTGCCTGTCAGTACGCTTTAATATTATAGTGCGGATGTTTTTGTCAGTGCGATGGCTCTTTTTGCACACATCTGAGAGTGTTTACAGTAGCAACCAACAGCCGCCTACACGTCGACCTTGAGCCACGCTGACAGTACATTTCGCAAACTGTCAAAGCAAAAAACAAGTCTCGCAAACTTTCACGGTCTCTCCGCCATTCGTCTCACTGCTCGCTTGTACCTATCATTATGAACTTTATAATAGCCTGCGGTCTATTCCTCTACAATTTCGAAAGACGACAGCTGCTGGTGTAAACTACGTTTCTTTCTGTTGGCCGCGGTACACAACCTATAACCAAGACCATTGACCTGTCTATGCAGTCCTATTTTAAGCAGCAGCGGTGTGTAAATAAGTTCCATTCCGACAACGCGGAGTCCGTAACCACGAAAATTCTAGGCTACGTGTTCACTGTCTGAATCAAGTTAAGCAGTGACTTTACCAAATTAATTTCGTCCTTTGGAGTTTGCCAAAATCACACATTTGTTTTCTTTATCTCCACTTTTAGACCATCTGCATGCATAAAGAGTTTGGATGAGTGTGGCTTATCTGTCTCTAGAAGTTAAATCTGGTTTCGCGCTCTGAACCCGATAAAGTTGGTAAATCTTGAACACAAACTTTTAATCCCGGTGGCGTCCTCGGTGAAGTTAACCGAGTCCCATCAACATTTTCTAAAAACATTAACGACTTCACCAATGACCACATAATAAAAAATGAGAAACACAATTTCTTTAAAAAGTTTCTTACAATATCAACCAGGAACTCGAGCGCACTGCAGTAGCCTACACCGGAAAGGAGCTGTGAGTGTGCGCTACCTTGCTGACGTCATTGGTCATACCTGGGGTGTATTCATTACGCCGATTCTGTTGCAAAACATTTCGTAAACGGAACGAAACGGGGAGGGACCTACCTGAATTAGTCAAATAGAAAATCTCTGTTTGGACTAATGATTACACCCGTTCTGAGAAGTAAATGGCCGTATGTCAGCAGTCCATTGGATTATTTTCATAGACACACTTTTCATTGGTAATGTACAGTGCCAGAGCTCCTCCCTCAACTAATAGCTACAATGGAATGTAATTGGGCGGCAGGTAGTTTAGTGGTTAAGAGCGTTGTGCCAGTAACCGAAAGATCGCTGGTTCTAATCCCCGAGCACATCTGTCGATGAGCCATTGAGCAAGGCACTTAACCCTAATTGCTCCTGTAAATCGCTCTGGATAAGAGCGTCTGCTAAATGACTAAAATGTAAATGTATTTAAGTTTATGCAACATTATAGGTTACTTCTGATTCTGATGGCAATCATTCCCAGAATATAGCCCCCCCCAACTGATCCCTGAACACATTTAGTCTACTGTTTTTCATTTCTGCTCAGATCATTGTAATCTATGGTAATCTATGGAACTGGGAAATGTGCATGCTTGGGCGATTGTAGTCCAATGTTTGGTAATCATTTTGAAGATTCAGTCAAATATAAAGATTATACACTATCATCAATCACACAGATTTATTCCAAGAGAGAAACAAGTCTGATTCACCAGGAGTAGAGTGAAAGCATTGTGCAAGAACACATCATGTGAAATTCAGGAAAATTCCGTGTGTATTTCCTATTACTTTACAAAAAAACACTTGATTTCGCTGTTTCATAATCACAGACAAACAATACTGTATAAAAATATAAAATAGGCATGACATACAACTATGATATGTCAATCAAAGACAACTTGCATAACCTTTTATGGCTGTTTCTATGAACATGATATTCAGCGTGAATGTGTGTGTGGGCGCGTGTTCATGTCAGCCACTCCTCTATGTAGCCTCTGAACACCGTCTCATTAGAATGCCAATAGCTGTGTTTCACTCCTGAGAGCACATACACAGCCAGGTCTCCACGAGCATGCAGTGTCTTCAGCCCAAACGAATCCCTAACGTACCACTATTCAAATGAGAGAGACAGAGAAGCACATAGTTACCCCATTACATTATGACATGAACATTAGGAACATTATCAATGATGGTAGATGGTACCATTAAAGTAACTTACTTCCTGGTTCTTCATCTCAACAATGGTTTCGTTAATGTCATAAAATCCAAAGTGACTGATTGGAGAGAACAGACATGGTTAGTCCAATAGGTATAGAGTGTCACTAGTGTCCAGCTCACGTCTCAGAGATTAAACCAACGTGTTTGTAAGAATGCAGGATATACAACAGGGCAATTAATTTAGTGTAAAATAATGGTGGTGATGGTGACCATGGATACCTGGACTCCCATGGTGTAATCACTCCATCATCTGGTCCTCCAATCAACACCAGCTTGTTGATTCGCAGGAAGTTCTTCCTCCACTCTGATGATTAGAGAGAGATACATTTATTTGTTCTGAGATTGAGAGTAACTATGTCTCTCCACATTTTATCGAATTTAAAACTACTTAGGCCAACAGTGTCAGTAGGGCCAGACTGAATCTGCAGTTTTATCAAATATACACTGCTCAAAAAAATAAAGGGAATACTTAAACAACACATCCTAGATCTGAATGAATGAAATAATCTTATTAAATACTTTTTTCTTTACATAGTTGAATGTGCTGACAACAAAATCACACAAAAATTATCAATGGAAATCAAATGTATCAACCCATGGTGGTCTGGATTTGGAGTCACCCTCAAGATTAAAGTGGAAAACCACACTACAGGCTGATCCAACTTTGATGTAATGTCCTTAAAACAAGTCAAAATGAGGCTCAGTAGTGTGTGTGGCCTCCACGTGCCTGTATGACCTCCCTACAACGCCTGGGCATGCTCCTGATGAGGTGGCAGATGGTCTCCTGAGGGATCTCCTCCCAGACCTGGACTAAAGCATCCACCAACTCCTGGACAGTCTGTGGTGCAACGTGGCGTTGGTGGATGGAGCGAGACATGATGTCCCAGATGTGCTCAATTGGATTCAGGTCTGGGGAACGGGCGGGCCAGTCCACAGCATCAATGCCTTCCTCTTGCAGGAACTGCTGACACACTCCAGCCACATGAGGTCTAGCATTGTCTTGCATTAGGAGGAACCCAGGGCCAACCGCACCAGCATATGGTCTCACAAGGGGTCTGAGGATCTCATCTCGGTACCTAATGGCAGTCAGGCTACCTCTGGCGAGCACATGGAGGGCTGTACGGCCCCCGAAAAGAAATGCCACCCCACACCATGACTGACCCACCGCCAAACCGGTCATGCTGGAGGATGTTGCAGGCAGCAGAACGTTCTCCACGGCGTCTCCAGACTCTGTCACGTCTGTCACATGTGCTCAGTGTGAACCTGCTTTCATCTGTGAAGAGCACAGGGCGCCAGTGGCGAATTTGCCAATCTTGGTGTTCTCTGGCAAATGCCAAACGTCCTGCACGGTGTTGGGCTGTAAGCACAACCCCCACCTGTGGACGTCGGGCACTCATACCACCCTCATGGAGTCTGTTTCTGACCGTTTGAGCAGACACATGCACATTTGTGGCCTGCTGGAGGTCATTTTGCAGGGCTCTGGCAGTGCTCCTCCTGCTCCTCCTTGCACAAAGGCGGAGGTAAAAGTCCTGCTGCTGGGTTGTTGCCCTCCTACGGCCTCCTCCACTTCTCCTGATGTACTGGCCTGTCTCCTGGTAGCACCTCCATGCTCTGGACACTACGCTGACAGACACAGCAAACCTTCTTGCCACAGCTCGCATTGATGTGCCATCCTGGATGAGCTGCACTACCTGAGCCACTTGTGTGGGTTGTAGACTCCGTCTCATGCTACCACTAGAGTGAAAGCACCGCCAGCATTCAAAAGCGACCAAAACATCAGCCAGGAAGCATAGGAACTGAGAAGTGGTCTGTGGTCACCACCTGCAGAACCACTTCTTTATTGGGGGTGTCTTGCTATTTGCCTATAATTTCCACCTGTTGTCTATTCCATTTGCACAACAGCATGTGAAATGTATTGTCAATCAGTGTTGCTTCCTAAATGGACAGTTTGATTTCACAGAAGTGTGATTGACTTGGAGTTACATTGTGTTGTTTAAGTGTTCCCTTTATTTTTTAGAGCAGTGTATATTGAGAAATAAATGGAAGCCAAACTAAATAGGCCTATTGCTACAAAATGTATAGTTTTGTTCATTATGCAGACAACGCAGTGTGAAAGGAGAAGTAAGGAACTTTGCTGGAGATTTTGTCTGGCCCTTATCAGTCAATGATGACTAATCTAATCTAGGTTTTCAGTTTTGGATGCTGAGATATCTGCAATAGGAATGAATTTCAGTACCTGTCATTTCACTGTGTGGTCTCTCTCCATTCAGAAGGGCCAGATAATTGCTGCTCTTCAGGAAGCGTTCTCTTTGGTGTGGGTCTGGTAGGACAAAACATTTTGGTGCAAGCACAAAGGAACAGTCATAAGCCTCTTTACTGTACTCAGACACACATCTACAAACAAATGTTCTGGTTCTCTATTTGTTTGACACTGAAGTTCCCCTTTAACAACCCAATTCTCTCTTACCATTCCAGAAGTTGCAGATGGACCATTTCTGTCCTACTAAAGAGTAACACACGTGAAAAAGACTGGCCTTTAGATAGTGAGGAAAAACCCATTTCAGAATTTCTGTGTCTGTGGAAGAAGCACAAGGAAAAGGCTAGTAAAATGTGTGTGGTGTGTGGAACATATTTAATTTTTTATTTAACCTTTATTTAACCAGGTAAGCCAGTTGAGAACAAGTTCTCATTTACAACTGCGACCTGGCCAAGATAAAGCAAAGCAGTGCGATAAAAACAACAACAACACAGAGTTACATATGGAATAAACAAAGCATACAGTCAATAACTCAATAGAAAAACTATATACAGTGTGTGCAAATGTAGTAAGTTATGGAGGTAAGGCAATAAATAGGCCATAGTGTAAAATAATTACAATTTAGTATTACGTTTTACGAGGGCATGTTTAGCAGCATGAGTGAAGGAGGCTTGGTTGCGAAATAGGAAGCCGATTCTAGATTTAACTTTGGATTGGAGATGCTTAATGTGAGTCTGGAAGGAGAGTTTACGGTCTAACCAGACACCTAGGTATTTGTAGTTGTCCACATATTCTAAGTCAGACCCGCCGAGAGTAGTGATTCTAGTCGGGCAGGCGGATGCAAGCAGCGTACGATTGAAGAGCATGCATTTAGTTTTACTAGTGTTTAAGAGCAGTTGGAGGCCATGGAAGGAGTGTTGTATGGCATTGAAGCTCGTTTGGAGGTTTGTTAACACAGTGTGCAATGAAGGGCCAGATGTATACAAAATGGTGTCGTCTGCGTAGAGGTGGATCTGAGAGTCACCAGCAGCAAGAGCGACACCATTGATATACACAGAGAATAGAGTCGGCCCGAGAATTGAACCCTGTGGCACCCCCATAGAGACAGCCAGAGGTCCAGACAACAGGCCCTCCGATTTGACACATTGAACTCTATCTGAGAAGTAGTTGGTGAACCTGGCGAGGCAGTCATTTGAGAAACCAAGGCTATTTAGTCTGCCAATAAGAATGCGGTGATTGACAGAGTCAAAAGCCTTGGCCAGGTCGATGAAGACGGCTGCACAGTACTGTCTTTTATCGATCGCGGTTATTATATCATTTAGGACCTTGAGCGTGGCTGAGGTGCACCCATGACCAGCTCGGAAACCAGATTGCATAGCGGAGAAGGTACGGTGGGATTTGAAATGGTTGGTGATCTGTTTGTTAACTTGGCTTTCAAATACTTTCGGAAGGCAGGGCAGGATGGATATAGGTCCGTAACAGTTTGGATCTAGAGTGTCACCCCCTTTGAAGAGGGGGATGACCGTGGCAGCTTTCCAATCTCTGGGGATTTCAGACGATACGAAAGAGAGGTTGAACAGGCTAGTAATAGGGGTTGTGACCATTTCGGCTGCTAATTTTAGAAAGAAAGGGTCCAGATTGTCTAGCCCAGCTGATTTGTAGGGGTCCAGATTTTGCAGCTCTTTCAGGACATCAGCTATCTGAATTTGGGTGAAGGAGAAGTGGGGGGGGCATGGGCAAGTTGCAGCGGAGGGTGCAGAGCTGGTGGCCGGGGTAGGGGTAGCCAGGTGGAAAGCATGGCCAGCCGTAGCAAAATGCTTATTGAAATTCTCGATTATCATAGATTTATCGGTGGTGACAGTGTTTCCTAGCCTCAGTGCAGTGGGCAGCTGGGAGGAGGTACTCTTATTCTCCATGGACTTTACAGTGTCCCAAAACTTTTTGGAGTTAGTGCTACAGGATGCAAATTTCTGTTTGAAAAAGCTAGACTTTGCTTTCCTAACTGATTGTGTATATTGGTTCCTGACTTCCCTGAAAAGTTGCATATCGCAGGGGCTGTTCGATGCTAATGCAGTACGCCACAGGATGTTTTTGTGCTGGTCAAGGGCAGTCAAGTCTGGGGTGAACCAGGGGCTATATCTGTTCTTAATTCTGACTTTTTTGAATGGGGCATGCTTATTTAAGATGGAGAGGAGAGCACTTTTGAAGATCATCCAGGCATCCTCTACTGACGGAATGAGGTCAATATCCATCCAGGATACCCGGGCCAGGTCAATTAGAAAGGCCTACTCGCTGAAGTGTTTTAGGGAGCGTTTGACAGTGATGAGGGGTGGTAATTTGACCGCAGACCCATTACGGACGCAGGCAATGAGGCAGTGATCGCTGAGATCCTGGTTGAAGACAGCAGAGGTGTATTTAGAGGGTAAATTAGTCAGGATGATATCTATGAGGGTGCCCATGTTTACGGATTTAGGGTTGTACCTGGTAGGTTCCTTGATAATTTGTGTGTGATTGAGGGCATCTAGTTTAGATTGTAGGACGGCCGGAGTGTTAAGCATATCCCAGTTTAGGTCACCAAGCAGTACGAACTCTGAGGATAGATGGGGGGCAAGCAATTCACATATGGTGTCCAGGGCACAACTGGGGGCTGAGGAGCAAGCGGCAACAGTGAGAGACATTTCTGGACAGGTGGATTTTTTTAAGTAGAAGCTCAAACTGTTTGGGCACAGACCTGGATAGTATGATAGAGCTCTGAAGGATATCTCTACAGTAGATTGCAACTCCGCCCCCTTTGGCAGTTCTATCTAGACGGAAAATGTTGTAGTTCGGGATGGACATTTCTGAATTTTTGGTGGTCTTCCTAAGCCAGGATTCAGACACTGCTAGAACATCAGCGTTGGCAGAGTGTGCTAATGCAGTGAATAACTCAAGCTTGGGGAGGAGGCTTCTGATGTTAACATGCAAGAAACCAAGGCTTTTACGGTTACAGAAGTCAACAATTGATAGTGCCTGGGGAGTAGGAGTGATACTGGGGGCTACATGGCCTGGGTTAACCTTTACATCACCAGAGGAAGAAGAAATGTATGCACTAACTGTAAGTCGCTCTGGATAAGAGCGTCTGCTAAATGACTAAAATGTAAAATGTAATGTAACAGAGGAACAGAGGAGGAATATAATAAGGATACGGCTAAAGGCTTTAAGAACTGGTCTTCTAGTGCGTTGGGTACAGAGAATAAAAGGGGCAGATTTCCGGGCGTTGTAGAATAGATTCAGGGCATTATGTACAGACAAGGATATGGAAGGATATGAGTACAGTGGAGGTACACCTAAGCGTTGGGTAACAATGAAAGAGATTACATCACTGGAGGTACCGATTGAGCCGGTCTCCGTGTGTATGGGGGGTGGGACAAAGGAGCTATCTGAGGCAGGTTGAGCGGGACTGGGGGCTCTACAGTGAAATAGTACAATAAGAACTAACCCAAACAGCAATAGGCTAGGCATATTGACATGGGAGAGAGGCATAACGCAATCATAGGTGTTATTCGAGAGGGCTAAGACAACAACTGGTAATGGCGATGAAAGTTTGGGCTGAGGCTAGACAGATAAACAGGATGGGGTACCGTGTAAAGGAACAGTCCAGCAGGCATCAGATGTGTAGCTGAGTTTACACACAGCTTGCAAAGTTTCACTTTTTATTTGAAATGTGAGATATTGATAGAAAAAATGAAACTTTGTTGCATGACAAAAAGCAAAACTTCATTGTGTTCGAATTTATTGGGGAAAATAATAAAAACAAGACCTATACGCAGGCCTTGCCTGATCAAATATGACTTCCGAGAAGAAAGTGACCATCACTGACCTCCATACTGGCCAGCCTGTGGTGATGAGAGGGAGATGAAGGACTGGACATTATGGTCAGGAAGTGTAGAAAGAAGTCCTCGACATATCAGACCACCTAGGAGAAGCAGGGGAAGACAACATTAAGCGGACAGAGCTATATCTCTATGTATTGTTCCAAAAATGCAAAATAACAGAGATAGAAAGACCTTGTGAGAAGCAGATAAGATGGACGCCGTTCTCTGCCTCCTGCATGATTGGATAGAGCGCCTTTTTGAAGCCCTGCACCTGCACCCACAGTGGCTTCAGGCTGGCCATGTTATCATACAGATCTATCACTGACACGTTGGTACCTGGATGGGCCTGTCAAAAGAATACATCAGCTTATATTGCAAAATACAAGAAAAACTATGTACCTGAAACATGTTATCCTATCATATTATTCTAATAAAAAGTATGAGCTGGCGCACACCCAGATACAAATATTTAGTGTAGAAGTGCTGACTAACAGGGAATAAACTGTAAGCTATAAAAACAAAGAGAGTCGCACACTCCATATGTAGAACCTCCCAGTAATTTATTGGGTAAAAAAACACCAACGTTTCAGCATCACTGCGCCTTCTTTACCCAATAAATTACTGGGAGGTTATACATACGGAGTGTGTGACTCTCTTTGTTTTTATATCTTATCATATTATAATATACATTATAAACTGGGTGGTTCGAGCCCTGAATGCTGATTGGCTAAAATACGTGGTATATCAGACCATATACCACGGGTATGAAAAAACATCTATTTGTATTGCTCCAATTATGTTGGTAACCAGTTTATAATAACAATAAGGCACCTCGGGTGTTTGTGGTATATTGCCAATATATCATGGCAAAGGGCTGTATCCAGGCACTCCACATTGTGTCATTCATAAGAACAGCCCTTAGCCATGGTATATTGGCCATATACCACACCCTCTCGGGCCTTATTGCTTAAGTATAATGATATGATGGGCCAATATTATAGGCTGAAAACGTTGTGTTTTCTCTTGGTATTGGGGAAATGATGGATGGATGACTTGAACATCTGCTTTTTTCTCTCTGGAGAATGTTTAACAGGACAATGGCCACAGGTTTTTAGAGGAATAGAATGTTATGTATGATATACATTTGTATCACAGGTGCACTAAAACAGGATCTTATAACATTCTCACTTCATGTGAAACTGTTTCCATGGATACTTTTTTGCCTTCTTTATGAGTTACTACGTGTAAAACATTTTGGTGGCCCAAAAACTATATTTTATCACTCATAGACTGTTTAAAGTACGCTCAATTTCTTTTTTCCCCCACATACATCTCAATGATCTAATCAGTCTCAAATTACATCATAGTTGTTTTCTTTTCTGTTTAATAAGTATATAATTACGGTTCAACGTGTGTTGTAGAGGCTTGGGCTCTCTGCATTTTGAAACGTACCTCTTGTATCAAACGACTCATCATAAGGAATTGTTTAGGGCCGTCAAAGAGGCCGTGAACAATGATGACAGGTTTGTACCCAAGCGTGTCCGCCAGGTTAACTCCACACAAGAGCAGCAGAAGTACATTGATGTCCAACGATGCTCTCATTTTCAATTAAACCACCGATAAATAAAAGTTTGATTCCTTCAGCGTGCAGGAGAGAACAATTGGTTGCATCACCCTAGCATAAATTCAAATTGAAACGGACATTTAAGTTCCAGTTTACTATGTTTACCTACTTTCATTATTACACATCTGTTGTGGGGATCGCGGAAGAAGACACTCCTTCTTCCTCCTTTATCATCTTAATTCAATGTCAGGTGCATGCTAGCCTCACTTGACTTTGAATGTTTGGTGCCATCAATTTAAATCACTGTAATTCAATGGTCACAACACACACTTGAAGGGAGGTTTACACTCCAGTCTGTGCCTAAATTCCACTCACAAAAAGGATTAGACGGGAAATAATGTAAATGGGTCGGGTCTTTAACCATTGAGTGTAATGCAAAATGCCTCATAAACTAATGGTATTAACGATGACCGATGTAGATAGCGGAACATTTTTTGTAATGACCCGGGCTGGGTAATAAAGGAAAAAGAGACGGAAACCAGGTGTGCAGGGCAGAACACAGGTTTATTCCTAAACTGGGCTATTGTTCAGGCCACAGTACACGCCGCTAAATTCCGAACGTACACAAATATACAATGTCAAATTTAGGGCAGACTCATAGGAGGAGATCAGGGTCCCGAATAGAAGAGAGAGAGATGAGACAGTAACCCCTATTTATGCATTTCAAAACCCCGCGGGATTACCCATCATACCCCCCAACCTTTCCGTCTGTCCTGGCAAATTTAACCCCTGCTAACACCCAATGAGAACAATAACACCCACGAACACAGAACACAATACCGGGTCGTTACAATATGTTTATAATGCAGGCTCTTCATTCAGATCCAGATGTGCCATCATTAGGACAAACAAAATACGCAGTGCACGCTTGTTCTGATTGAGTTGTTCTGAACACCAGCCACCAGGGGCCAGAATGCAGAATCCGACCAGAGACTTATTGACATACGTAATTCCGCTTCCGGTTATCGCACCATGGATGTAATTATCAGCTAGCAAAAAGTTGTGGATATGTTTTGCATAATAAGTGTCATTGAAACCAACATGATTGTTGTTAGTATTGAGAGAGCTAATTTTAACTTCGCTCGTTAGTTAAACGTCCATTTATTAGCCAGGCGTGAAGCAAATTAACCTAAACTGAGCTCGTTTTTTGCTAAGCTTGCTAGCTGCTGCGTGTTGTGCTGTTTTCAATATATCACCCCATCCCATGTTCATTGCGTGAAGGTTTGAAAACAAGGTAAGGTGGCTACCTAGCTACCATCTATGTTATGAGTAGTTTTCTCTTCAGATCTTCAAAGAACAAATAAAGGAGGGGGAAAAAAGCTAGAGGGCTATTGTTTCGAATGTAATGTCTTGAGATCATGCAGCGAATCTATTCAGTTTTATAATTAAGCAGTAACGTACGAGGGGGTGTGGTAAATTGTCAATATTCCATGGCTAAGGGCTGTTCTTAGGCACGATACAGCCCTTAGTCCTGGTATTTTGGCCATATACCTCAAGCCCCCGAGGTGCCTTATTGCTATTAGAAACTTCGAGCAGTAAAAATTAATGTTTTGTCATACCCGTGGGACATCAGACCATATACCACGGGTATGACAAAACATTTATTTTTACTACTCTAATAACGTTGGTTTGGAGGAAGAAGGGGGCAGCTTGCAAGCCGAAGAACACCATCCCAACCGTGAAGCACGGGTGGCAGCATCATGCTGTGGGGGTGCTTTGCTGCAGGAGGGACTGGTGCACTTCACAAAAAAGATGACATCATGAGGAAGTAAAATTATGTGGATATATTGAAGCAACATCTCAAGACATCAGTAAGGAAGTTAAAGCTTGGTCGCAAATGGGTCTTCCAAATGGACAATGACCCCAATCATACTTCCAAAGTTGTGGCAAAAGGGCTTAAGGACAACAAAGTGAAGGTTTTGGAGCCCTGACCTCAATCCTATAGAAAAATTGTGGGCAGAACTGAAAAAGCGTGTGCTAGCAAGGAGGCCTACAAACCTGACTCAGTTACACCAGCTTTGTCAGGAGGAATGGGCCAAAATTCACCCAACTTTTTGTGGGAAGCTTGTGGAAGGCTAAAAGAAACGTTTGACCCAAGTTAAACAATTTAAAGGCAATGCTACCAAATACTAATTGAGTGTATGTAAACTTCTGACCCACTGGGAATGTGATGAAGGAAATAAAAGCTGAAATAAATAATTATCTCTACTATTATTCTGATATTTCACATTCTTAAAATAAAGTGGTGATCCTAACTGACCCAAGACGGGGCATTTTTACTAGGATTAAATGTCAGGAATAGTGAAAAACTGAGTTTAAATGTATTTGGCTAAGGTGTATGTAAACTTCCGACAACTGTCCCTAGCACAGGAGGTTGGTGGGACCTTAATTGGGGAGGACGGGCTCATGGTAATGGCTGGAGCGGGATAAGCCATTATTATGAGCCGTTTTCCCCTCAGCAGCCTCCTGTGATACCTAGTACTCTGTCTACGTCTAGACCATAACTAACTGATTTTGTCTCCCAATTAGGCAACATGGCAAACCTAGAGCAATGGGTGAGCGACAGTCTGCACGACATCCTCGGCCTGAGTGACAGATATGTCGCCCAGTTCATGATCGGCTCCGCACGTAAATCCTCAAGCTCTCAAGACTTTGTGGCCCACCTCAAGTCGACGGGCACTATCGACATTAATCAGAGAGTGATCGCCTTTGCACAGGAACTGTATGAAAAGGTTAAATTATTTGCTTTCTTTGTATTTAACTGCATGCTTGTTTCTTATTTTGACCGTAGTTATTATAAGCGTCTAGTAATGACTTTCATCTATGTGTTTCAGATTCCTCGTAAACAAGTGGTTGAAAAGCCAGCCAGAGCGATAGAGCGACATGTCATGGAGATTGAGAGGAAGAATCGAACTTACACCCTACTGTCGGACAGCGAGAGCGACGGAGAGGTAGTGAGAGAGAGGGAGAAAGAGAAGAAGAAAATTAAAGACAGAGGCGATAAGAGAAAGCACCTCAGGAAAAGAGAGGCTAGTCAATCATCTAGTGAAGAGGAGACCCCTAAAAGGTAATCAACATGGAATGGGGTTTCATGTTGCTTGCTTGTTACACATTCTACCTGCTTTTCTCTCTTGTGTTGCTTTTTAGCTGTTGCATTTGAACTGTCGCCATGGACTTCAGGGAGATAGGATTCAGCTTCGGGAGTCTATGGTCTCGTTAACTGAATTACAACCATAAATACATTACAACAATGAAGCCAGTTACCCTAGAGTATTTTGATTGCTTTCATGCTGTGTAGTATTCATTTTTCAGCTGCCACTCCTCTGTGGCTTCAATGCCTGCTTGAACAAGCCTCCACTTAGATTGTGTGATTTGAGTTTCTAAAAGGCCCTTTCCCTTTCTCAGTGGTAAACTGGGCCATGGCGACCAGAAGGATGAAGAGGAGGAGGAGGAGTGGGAGAAGGAAGAGAGAGAACGCGTACTGGATCTGGAGGAGAGGGATGCCTTTGCCGAACGAATGAAACTGAAGGACAAAGACAAGACGAGGAACATCATGGAGAGAACAGACAAGAAGGTGGGATTAACTATCAATGATGGAACCCAACCCAGTCTATTTTACTTACTAGTGTACTTGTAGGTGTGTTTTGACTGTTGGCTAAATGTTTTACCATGACCTTTTCACCAGGGCTATGAGGAGGCTCAGAAAAGACTAAAGATGGCAGAGGAGGATCACAAGAAAATCGTGAGCACATGATTAAAATGCCCAGTAACTATTATCGTATAATAGACTAACGTCTAGGTATAGAAATACACAGTAGAAATAGAATTACTAGAACAGGCAGAGACCCTCAGACTCATTATATTTCTATGGTCACCACCTATCTTCTCCTCTTCTCTATAGCTGCCAGAGTTGAGGAAGGAGTCTCGCAGGAACTACTTGTCCAAGAGAGAGGCTGAGAAGCTGGAGGACCTGGAGGCAGAGATAGCCGACGAGGAGTACCTGTTCTCCACGGACGCGCTGACGGAGAGGGAGCGGAAGGAGCTGGAGTACAAGCGCAACCTCAGAGACCTGGCCAAGGACTACAAGAAAGCTGGCGCCAAGGAGAAGGAGGAGAGGAAGAACAGATACTACATGCCGGAGGAGAAGAGGAGTAAAGTAAGGAGGAGATAGTTGGCTGGTAATGGTCCTGCCATGGATAGCCAGTACTCTTGTTGAAATGGAGATATGTAAAACACTAGGATCCGGGGCTTGATTATAGATATCTTGCTCACTCTCTATTTCCCTCTTCCTCTATCTCTCCCCTCTCTCTACCTCCCTCTCTCCAGGATATTCCTCAGAGGGACATGGAGCTGGAGTTGGAGATGCCGATGGAGGGTGGAGGAGAGCAGGGCCGCTGGGAGGAGGAGAGGTTGAAGACCGCCTCGCTCAGCTTCGGGGCCAAGAAGGAGAGGGAGAAAGGGTTGAAGGCAGAAAGGGAGAAGTACCAGCTGATCCTGGAGGAGGATGAGATGATCAACTTTGTCAGCAGTGCCGTCATCATGAAGGGAACACAGGATGAGAAGGTGTGTTGACACTAAGTTTTATCATTAAAGCATTTGTTTCTGATAGGTTGCAAGGAATAGAGCTATAATGATGGATATTGTGTTTAAAGGCTAGTCGAACAAAATATTGCAATAATTCAAATTCATAAAATATTTTACATTCCAATCAACCAATACACACCTGAGCTTCTGTAGCATTTCTAAATGTGCAAATAACACATTTACGTTTCACAATGAACAATAAAGTACAATTCAAATATTGTCTTCATCTCTGTATGCTGTGTGTGTCTCCAGGAGCAAGCAGCCCTGTCCCAGGCTGAGGTCCAGAAGCAGTCCATCCAGGAGGTGAGACGCAGCCTGCCCGTGTTCCCCTACAGAGAAGACCTGCTCCTGGCCATCCAGCAGCACCAGATCCTGGTCGTGGAGGGAGAGACGGGCTCTGGCAAGACCACCCAGATCCCCCAGTACCTCATGGAGTCGGTGGGTACACATTACTCAAGGGCCACGTCCATAAACATTATTATGGGCACATTTCAAAGGGGTTGGAATAAAGCAGAAGACACATTTCCATTGGACGTTTTTAGTGCGTTTGACAAAGTAATCTTAAATCTTCAATGTTTATTCACTCTTTTCACTTAAAAAAATAAGAATAGTCGTTTTCCACCCTGATCCATTTTTGTCATTATGTTTTTCTGTGTATGTTAGCTTTGTTGACCTGTGGTCTGGCTTTACATCTCCTAGGGCTACAATGATGGAGGCATGAAGATTGGCTGTACCCAGCCCCGCAGAGTGGCAGCCATGTCCGTAGCATCCAGGGTGGCACAAGAAGTGGGCGTCAAGCTGGGTAATGAGGTGAATATCTCTCACTCTCTCTCACTCCGATGAAGCATAAATCATTCTTACTGTATATGGTAGAAAACAAACTCACCTTATTTGTCCAACCACCCTTTCCTTCCTCAGGTAGGCTACAGTATCCGTTTTGAGGACTGTACGTCAGAGAGGACGGTCCTCAAATACATGACTGACGGAATGCTGCTCAGAGAGTTCCTCACAGAGCCTGATCTGGCCAGCTACAGGTACCACTATATGCCCCGTCTGTCCTTATCTTTAGGCATGTTTTCCATATGTAGAGGTTTATGTTTAAAAGTGGTATATGATGTTTTAGAAAAATAAGAAATGAAACAATTCCCTGCCATATTGTTTATGGTCAGTATGAATAAGAAATGATCAATGATCCCTCTCTCTTTCTCAGTGTGGTCATCATTGATGAGGCCCACGAGCGGACACTGCACACGGACATCCTGTTTCGGCCTGATCAAGGACATTGCCCGGTTCCGTCCGGACCTGAAGGTGCTGGTGGCCAGCGCCACCCTGGACACAGAGCGCTTCTCCTGCTTCTTCGACGACGCGCCGGTCTTCAGAATTCCCTGGCAGGAGGTTCCCTGTGGACATCTTCTACACTAAGGTACCACTGCTGACAATCTGTATAGTGGAATGGCCTCAGGACAAAAGGTTGCATTCCCATTCTCCACCCTTCTCCCAAAGTGTGCACTTCCCACCATGGATTTAACATGAAAACTCCCTCCAGTCAATGTTTAAACCAGTCTAGAGCCTTTAAATCTGTGAAAGGAAGTGAGCAAGTGCGCTCTTTGAGACAAGTCGGAAGAAACGGAATGCAGCCAAAGGCATAACTTGTAATGAATATAAATACCTTTAGAATGTGAATCATTTCACTCGTGAGAAGTGCTGGATGATAATGTACGTCAAAGATGTAGGCCAAATATCTGTTCTTTTTTTGTACTCTTTGCTCTCTGTATCGGAGACGTCTGCTCCTTGGACAGGTCGACACAACTGCCTCGCCCAACATGACTTAATATATCATACTACTCTTACATGGTACATCAATTACACTCTCTCACAAGCTGATTAATGTACTCAAAGAGTAGGCCACATACTTTCTTGACTACATTGCTCCTGTATCTTGCTAATATTCCCCTCTCTCTATCATCATGCTCTAATGCAACTACTCTGCAACCTCTTGTAATCTCTGCAAATCACACTACATCTGCTATCCCGAACTCTGGTCTAATCACACTACAGTCTGCTAAACACACTACATCTGCTAATCCACTACACATCTGCTATCAGCTCAACATCACACTATATCAGCTACTACAATCATCTACACTCTGCTAATCACACTACATCTGCTAAATCACACTACATCTGATCCTAATCAATCACTACATCTGCTAAATCACACTACATCTGCTAAATCACACTACATCTGCTAAATCACACTACATCTGCTAAATCACACTACATCTGCTAAATCACACTACATCTGCTAAATCACACTACATCTGCTAAATCACAATCTGCTAAATCACACGACATGTACTAAATCAAACTACATCTACTAAATCACACTACATCTGCTAAATCACACTACGTCAGCATCCATCTTAAGTCTATTCATTCTGTATGCGGCTCTTTAATGTGCAGGGTGCCGTCTTTCGGATGGGACGTTAAACGGGTGTCCTGACTCTGTGGTCACTAAAAGATCCCCTGGCACTTATCGTAAGAGTAGGGGTGTTAACCCCGGTGTCCTGGCTACATTTCCAATCTGGCCCTCATCATGGCCACCTAATCATCCCCAGCTTCCAATTGGCTCATTCATCTCCCCTCCCCAGTAACTATTCCCCAGGTCGTTGCTGTAAATGAGAATGTGTTCTCGGTCAACTTACCTGGTAAAATCAATAAATGTCACATACATTTCTGCCAAAGTGAATGTCCTTACCGCTCTTCTGTCTCTTTCCACAGGAGGAGATTGAGACTTGCTGTGAGCTGCTGCAGGAGAGATGCAGGCGTCTGGGTTCTAAGATCTCTGAGCTCCTGGTGCTTCCCATCTACGCCAACCTACCCTCAGACATGCAGGCCAAGATCTTCAGCCCCACACCCCCTGGCTCACGCAAGGTGAGAGGACCTCTTCTGTCCATTTCAATTTGGGCCACTAGGGGGTGCTCTACTCCCAACAAAGCTCAAGGACCACTTTGGAAATATGTTTTATCCTCTGTGATCAAATAATGTTTAAAAATATGTATGCATTATTTTCTTTACCCAAATGGAAATCCAATCCAACCTGGGTTATTGTAGATTTCATGCTGCACTTATGTTAATGTAGTAGATTCTATTCTACTATTATGTAATTTGATCACTTCAGACATTATTCTTCAGATTCCTGCCTCCATGTTTCTCATTCTCTTGTGTTGTTATGTACAAACACATTATCTGATGTACAAAGTGTCCTCTCTCTGTGTCCTTAGGTGGTGGTGGCCACTAACATTGCAGAGACCTCTCTAACCATCGATGGGATCATATATGTCATAGATCCAGGCTTCTGCAAGCAGAAGAGCTATAACGCCCGCACTGGGATGGAATCTCTGATTGTCACTCCTTGCTCACGGGTAACATACTAGCTTTGGTTTTCAAACAAGCCATTTTGTTATTGTCAGAGAAAGTGTCATTCATGTGGCTCTTATCGGGGTTATTGTACTGTAGTTGTGGAAGATGCCTCTTGCCAGTATTTCAAACACCCGTTTCTTTGACTGTCTTTTTGTAGATTTTATGTTTGTTCTCTGGACAACATTCAGATCATTTGCTGACTCCATCTGTGTTTTGATCCACCACAGGCCTCAGCCAATCAGCGAGCAGGTCGTGCAGGCAGAGTGGCTGCTGGGAAGTGTTTCCGTCTCTACACTGCGTGGGCGTTCAAACACGAGATGGAGGAGTCCACCGTGCCTGAGATCCAGAGAACCAACCTGGGCAATGTAGTGCTACTGCTCAAGAGCTTGGGTATGGAACAAACGCTTTATAAAATATGTTAGTGATAAATCAGAAAACATGTTTTAAAAAGCACTGAAGTCCTCTTGAAGTAATCCACTTAAGTATAGTCTGTAGTTCACTATTATGAGTTTGACTGACTTGACTTATTCCTTTGAGCTCCTAGTGGAGCAAAGGGCCTGGGCCTCACTGTGAGTGTAGCAAACCCACGTGTCGATTTATTTTTAAATTAGAGTCGCATATCTTTTTTTACCCGACAGGAATTAATGACCTCATCCACTTTGACTTCATGGACCCGCCCCCTCACGAGACCCTGGTGCTAGCCCTGGAGCAGCTGTACGCACTGGGTGCTCTCAACCACCTCGGAGAGCTCACCAAGGTAACTAACGTCTGACTGTCTATCGAAACAACAGCACCATTACAATACTTTTAAATCGCATTGTCACCGTTCCCTCCTCCCTTCCTTGTTAGATCAGTTCAATAAGGCTTCTACAGCTATCCCATCTCAATGTAATGTTGGAAATAAGACCTATAGTGATCCTGATGTTTACATGTTAATCTAATAAGTTCAATGATTCATGTAAATCTAATAATGTTGAAACATTTAAACCAACACTGTATTCTAATTATATGAGCACCAATATGTTTTTTGTAAAACTACTCCACAAATGTGGCTCTTCTGAACAACAATGAATACGCTCTTGACATTTTTCTAGATTTATCCAAAGTCACGGAAATCATGAAATATGACTTCCTAAATTGCATTATTACGGTTTTCATGATTATACATATAAATGGCTGTATAATTATGTTTATGATAGAGAACAAGTTGTATATGCAAATGGTTGTTCATCTAAAAGGGCCAAGATATCCTGTGGCGTTCCATCCTTAGACCTTTGTTATTCCTAATCTATGTCAATGACCTTGCTGCTCTGTCTTCTACCATACTTCCCATTGTTTTGGCTGAGGGTACCAACTTCATTTTATTTACATTTACATTTACATCATTTAGCAGACGCTCTTATCCAGAGCGACTTACAAATTGGTGCATTCAACTTATGATAGCAAGTGGGACAACCACTTTTTTTCTTCTTTTTTTTTATGGGGGGGGGGGGTAGAAGGATTGCTTTATACTATTCCAGGTATTCCTTAAAGAGGTAGGTTTTATCACACAAGAATTTCAATTCACTGATCAACGAAGCCAACTCAGGCATGGACAAATTCTCTGAATGATTCCAGATAAACAAATGATCTTTAAATGTAAAAATAAATCCAACTTCATTGTATTTACTGGTAAGAATAAGAAATAAATATATATATATATATATTTTTTTTTTTTAAGAGCCAGAATCTCAATTGGTGGGAATGAAATGGAGCAGGTTTCATCCACTAGATTCCTAGGTGTTCTAGTTGATGAAAAGTTGTCCTGGAAAGATGATATTCACTTTGTGTGCAGCAAAGTGAAGTCCTTTGGTATCATCAGAAAGATGAGTGGTTTGGTTCATCAGGCTTGCTTCCTAGCTCTATACTACAGCTTCATTTACCCAGATCTCATTTACTGCAATATTGTCTGGGCCAGTACATATGCTTCCTACCTACACAAATGACTCATCACACAAAATAAATGTACAAGACTAGCCACCTCCTCTAACTACTTGGCTCCAACTGTCCCTCTTTTTAAGAAACTCCATATGTTGTCTATCTACAACATTAATCTACTCCAATTATGCACCTTCATCTACAAATACACATACCTCCCACAGACAGCCTACCTAAACACTTCAATGGTTAATTCAGGTTAATTCCCAAATCCATGCATACAACACAAGACACTGTGATAACCGTCACCCTCCCCACTGCCGCACCTCACATAGTACTCTGGAATTCCTATCTTCACATTGCCAAAACAACATCATCATCCCTCAATAACTTCAAGCGTAGATTAGGGGTCAGCCCGATGAACCAAACTACCCAGTAGTCTCCTCCATGTAGCCTAACTCTCTCTCTCTCTCACATAATCAAACATGTTTTTTCTTGTATACTGAGTATATCATGTACAGTTATAATTAGTATGCTTTGCTTAACTGATTGAACAAACTTTTTTTGTACTTCTATTTGTGTATTGGTTTTTGTGGTTTCCAACCACCTGCACATATTCTTTTTTTTCTGTTTTATTTTTATCTGTACTGTTTTGTCCTTCCCTTTATTATTTGGTACGAAAAATAAAACCTAAAAAGTGAAAATTACCTCTGGGAATTAAGGGAGGAGATACAGTGGGGAGAACAAGTATTTGATACACTGCCGATTTCGCAGGTTTTCCTACTTACAAAGCATGTAGAGGTCTGTAATTATTATCATAGGTACACTTCAACTGTGAGAGACGGAATCTAAAACAAAAATCCAGAAAATCACATTGTATGATTTTTAAGTAATTAATTTGCATTTTATTGCATGACATAAGTATTTGATACATCAGAAAACCAGAACTTAATATTTGGTACAGAAACCTTTGTTTGCAATTACAGAGATCATACGTTTCCTGTAGGTCTTGACCAGGTTTGCACACACTGCAGCAGGGATTTTGGCCCACTCCTCCATACAGACCTTCTGCAGATCCTTCAGGTTTCGGGGCTGTCGCTGGGCAATACGGACTTTCAGCTCCCTCCAAAGAATTTCTATTGGGTTCAGGTCTGGAGACTGGCTAGGCCACTCCAGGACCTTGAGGTGCTTCTTACGGAGTCACTCCTTAGTTGCCCTGGCTGTGTGTTTCGGGTCTTTGTCATGCTGGAAGACCCAGCCACGACCCATCTTCAATGCTCTTACTGAGGGAAGGAGGTTGTTGGCCAAGATCTCGCGATACATGGCCCCATCCATCCTCCCCTCAATACGGTGCAGTCGTCCTGTCACCTTTGCAGAAAAGCATCCCCAAAGAATGATGTTTCCACCTCCATGCTTCACGGTTGGGATGGTGTTCTTGGGGTTGTACTCATCCTTCTTCTTTAGTTTAGACCAAAAAGCTCTATTTTTGTCTCATCAGACCACATGACCTTCTCCCATTCCTCCTCTGGATCATCCAGATGGTCATTGGCAAACTTCAGACGGGCCTGGACATGCGCTGGCTTGAGCAGGGGGACCTTGCGTGTGCTGCAGGATTTTAATCCATGACGGCGTAGTGTGTTACTAATGGTTTTCTTTGAGACTGTGGTCCCAGCTCTCTTCAGGTCATTGACCAGGTCCTGCCGTGTAGTTCTGGGCTGATCCCTCACCTTCCTCATGATCATTGATGCCCCACGAGGTGAGATCTTGCATGGAGCCCCAGACAGAGGGTGATTGACCGTCATCTTGAACTTCTTCCATTTTCTAATAATTGCGCCAACAGTTGTTGCCTTCTCACCAAGCTGCTTGCCTATTGTCCTGTAGCCCATCCCAGCCTTGTGCATGTCTACAATTTTATCCCTGATGTCCTTACACAGCTCTCTGGTCTTGGCCATTGTGGAGAGGTTGGAGTCTGTTTGATTGAGTGTGTGGACAGGTGTCTTTTATACAGGTAACGAGTTCAAACAGGTGCAGTTAATACAGGTAATGAGTGGCGAACAGGAGGGCTTCTTAAAGAAAAACTAACAGGTCTGTGAGAGCCGGAATTCTTACTGTTTGGTAGGTGATCAAATACTTATGTCATGCAATAAAATGCTAATTAATTACTTAAAAATCATACAATGTGATTTTCTGGATTTTTGTTTTAGATTCCGTCTCTCACAGTTGAAGTGTACCTATGATAAAAATTAGACCTCTACATGCTTTGTAAGTAGGAAAACCTGCAAAATCGGCAGTGTATCAAATACTTGTTCTCCCCACTGTATACAGTGGGGACAAAAGTATTTAGTCAGCCACCAATTGTGCAAGTTCTCCCACTTAAAAAGATGAGAGAGGCCTGTAATTTTCATCATAGGTACACGTCAACTATGACAGACAAATTGAGAAATTTTTTTTCCCGAAAATCTCATTGTAGAATTTTTTATGAATTTATTTGCAAATTATGGTGGAAAATAAGTATTTGGTCACCTACAAACAAGCAAGATTTCTGGCTGTCACAGACCTGTAACTTCTTCTTTAAGAGGCTCCTCTGTCCTCCACTCGTTACCTGTATTAATGGCACCTGTTTGAACTTGTTATCAGTATAAAAGACACCTGTCCACAACCTCAAACAGTCACACTCCAAACTCCACTATGGCCAAGACCAAAGAGCTGTCAAAGCACACCAGAAACAAAATTGTAGACCTGCACCAGGCTGGCAAGACTGAATCTGCAATAGGTAAGCAGCTTGGTTTGAAGAAATCAACTGTGGGAGCAATTATTAGGAAATGGAAGACATACAAGACCACTGATAATCTCCCTCGATCTGGGGCTCCACGCAAGATCTCACCCCGTGGGGTCAAAATGATCACAAGAACGGTGAGCAAAAATCCCAGAACCACACGGGGGGACCTAGTGAATGACCTGCAGAGAGCTGGGACCAAAGTAACAAAGCCTACCATCAGTAACACACTACGCCGCCAGGGACTCAAATCCTGCAGTGCTAGACGTGTCCCCCTGCTTAAGCCAGTACATGTCCAGGCCCATCCGAAGTTTGCTAGAGTGCATTTGGATGATCCAGAAGAGGATTGGGAGAATGTCATATGGTCAGATGAAACCAAAATAGAACTTTTTGGTAAAAACTCAACTCGTCGTGTTTGGAGGACAAATAATGCTGAGTTGCATCCAAAGAACACCATACCTACTGTGAAGCATGGGGGTGGAAACATCATGCTTTGGGGCTGTTTTTCTGCAAAGGGACCAGGACGACTGATCCGTGTAAAGGAAAGAATGAATGGGGCCATGTATCGTAAGATTTTGAGTGAAAACCTTCCATCAGCAAGGGCATTGAAGATGAAACGTGGCTGGGTCTTTCAGCATGACAATGATCCCAAACACATCGCCCGGGCAACGAAGGAGTGGCTTCGTAAGAAGCATTTCAAGGTCCTGGAGTGGCCTAGCCAGTCTCCAGATCTCAACCCCATAGAAAATCTTTGGAGGGAGTTGAAAGTCTGTGTTGCCCAGCGACAGCCCCAAAACATCAATGCTCTAGAAGAGATCTGCATGGAGGAATGGGCCAAAATACCAGCAACAGAGTGTGAAAACCTTGTGAAGACTTACAGAAAATGTTTGACCTGTGTCATTGCCAACAAAGGGTATATAACAAAATATTGAGAAACTTTTGTTATTGACCAAATACTTATTTTCCACCATAATTTGCAAATAAATTCATAAAAAATCCTACAATGTGATTTTCTGGATTTTTTTTCCTCATTTTGTCTGTCATAGTTGACGTGTACATATGATGAAAATTACAGGCCTCTCTCGTCTTTTTATGTGGGAGAACTTGCACAATTGGTGGCTGACTGAATACTTTTTCCCCCCACTGTAATAGGTCAAATCTATTCCATCACCATGAGACAGGTGAATGTCTTTGTTCTAATACCTTAGAAAGGTGAGAATATTTGATGTGAAATTTAAGTCGCTCTGGATAAGAGCGTCTGCTAAATGACGTAAATGTAAAGGTCATGTAATGTGTGTTGTGTTCCAGTTGGGCCGCAGGATGGCTGAGCTGCCGGTGGACCCCATGCTGAGCAAGATGATCCTGGCCTCAGAACAGTGAGTCTCTATGGCGATCCTGGCACTGGCTTGGAATAAATGATCATCCTGGAATAAATTATTATTATTATTCTGTTACCTTGCTCATCATTCCCCTCTCTCTCCTTTCTCTTTTTTTCACTCTTTCTCACCCTTTCCTCTCTCACTCAATATTATTGAGTGCCAATTATTCAACAGGACATTAAATACCTTTTATGTATTTCACTGAACATTCCCATCTTCCTCTGTCTCTCCACAGGTATAAGTGTTCTGAGGAGGTGTTGACCATCGCGGCCATGCTGTCTGTGAACAACTCCATCTTCTACCGGCCCAAAGACAAGGTGGTTCACGCCGACAACGCCAGGCAGAACTTTGTGGTGCCCGGAGGAGACCATATGGTGCTGCTCAACGTCTACACACAGGTCAGGAGGATTGGGTTTGATAGTTAGGATAAAGATGTGATACTACCCCACTTTGTTGTTTCCACTTGTTTCATGTAAGGTTTCAGGGTAGCAGTTCTGGGTCATATTCATTTGGCACCAACTGTACAAAAACGGATTGAAACATGGAGGGGCTACCTGAACTGTCCCCAGGACAGAGTTTGGGAAACGCTGTTCTATGTTTTGTTGTCAGTCTGTGATCTTGACTGCATTATTTGTCCCTCAGTGGCTGGAGAGTGGCTACTCCACCCAGTGGTGCTACGAGAACTTCATCCAGTTCCGCTCCATGAAGCGGGCGCGGGATGTCAGGGAGCAGCTGGAGGGCCTGATGGACAGGATCGAGGTGGAGGTGTGCAGCTCAGGCGGAGACATTGTGCCCATCCGCAAGGTCAGTGTGACTGAACGCACCTTAACCTTGTTAGGCTCTGACAAAACAGAGTAAAAACTAACGGACAACTAGGAAAAGCTCAAACCAAGTTTATTCACCCAATGGGTCAATCAGCTGAAAAGACAAATACATGTTCCCACCAGCACAAGTGTATATGTATCCCCACTCTAAGTGGTGTCTCCTCCCGTTCTCTAAACATTACATCTTTATTGCTAGGCAGGAAGTTAAATTATGTGGGTAATAAACTGTTCCTTCCCCTTCATGTGACCTGACCTGACCTCGGCGGCCATTCCTCACTAATCCACCCTTATCTGACCCCACCATATATAGTTGAAGTCAGAAGTTTACATACACTTAGGTTGGAGTCATTAAAACTCGTTTTTCAACCACTCCACACATTTCTTGTTAACAAACTATAGTTTTGGCAAGTCGGTTAGGACATCTACTTTGTGCATGACACAAGTAATTTTTCCAACAATTGTTTACAGACAGATTATTTCCCTTATAATTCACTGTATCACAATTCCAGTGGGTCAGAAGTTTACACACACTAAATTGACTGTGCCTTTAAACAGCTTGGAAAATTCCAGAAAATGAAGTCATGGCTTTAGAAGCTTTTGATAGGCTAATTGACATCATTTGAGTCAATTGGCACGTAGCTTAGTGGTTAAGAGCGTTGTGCCAGTAACCGAAAGGTCGCTGGTTCTAATCCCCGAGCCGACTAGGTGAAAAATCTGTCGATGTGCCCTTGAGCAAGGCACTTAACCCTAATTGCTCCTGTAAGTCGCTCTGGATAAGAGCGTCTGCTAAATTACAAAAAAAAAAAAATACCAATTGGAGGTGTACCTGTGGATGTATTTCAAGGCCTACCTTCAAACTCAGTGCCTCTTTGCTTGACATCATGGGAAAATGAAAAGAAATCAGCCAAGACCTCAGAAAAAAAATTGTAGACCTCCACAAGTCTTGTTCATCCTTGGGAGCAATTTCCAAACGCCTGAAGGTACCACGTTCATCTGTACAAACAATAGTATGCAAGTATAAACACTATGGGACCACGCAGCCGTCATACTGCTCAGGAAGGAGACGCGTTCTGTCTCCTAAAGATGAACGTACTTTGGTGCAAAAAGTGCAAATCAATTCCAGAACAACAGCAAAGGACCTTGTGAAGATGCTGGAGGAAACAGGTGCAAAAGTATCTATATCCACTGTAAAACGAGTCCTATATCGACATAACCTGAAAGACCACTCAGCAAAGAAGAAGCCACAGCTCCAAAACCGCCATAAAAAAGCCAGACTACGGTTTGCAACTGCACATGGGGAAAAATATTGTACTTTTTGGAGAAATGTCCTCTGGTCTGATGAAACAAAAATAGAACTCTTTGGCCATAATGACCATCGTTATATTTGGAGGAAAAAGGGGGTGCCTTGCAAGCCGAAGAACACCATCCCAACCGTGAAGCACGGGGGTGGAAGCATCATGCTGTGGGGGTGCTTTGCTGCAGGAGGGACTGGTGCACTTCACAAAATAGATGGCATCATGAGGAAGGAAAATGATGTGGCTATATTTAAGCAACATCTCAAGACATCAGTCAGGAAGTTAAAGCTTGGTCGCAAATGGGTCTTCCAAATGGACAATGACCCCAAGCATACTTCCAAAGTTGTGGCAAAATGGCTTAAGGACAACAAAGTCAAGGTATTGGAATGGCCATTGAAAATGTGTGGGCAGAACTGAAAATGCGTGTGCGAGCAAGGAGGCCTACAAACCTGACTCAGTTACACCAGCTCTGTCAGGTGGAATGGGCCTAAATTCACCCAACTTATTGTGGGAAGCTTGTGGAAGGCTACAAGAAACATTTGACCCAAGTTAAACAATTTAAAGGCAATGCTACCAAATACTAATTGAGTGTATGTAAACTTCTGACCCACTGGGAATGTGATGAATGAAATAAAAGCTGAAATAAATCATTCTCTCTTCTATTATTCTGACATTTCACATTCTTAAAATAAAGTGGTGATCCTAACTGACCTAAGACAGGGAATCTTTACTAGAATTAAATGTCAGTAATTGTGAAAAACTGAGTTTAAATGTATTTGTCTAAGGTGTATGTAAACTTCCGACTTCAACTGTACATTCCTACTACATATAACCATTAACTTCTGGTGTAGCAAGTATTTCCAATTACAACCCAACAACTGAAACCCCACTGTGGCCCTTCTCTCCATAGGATACCTGATGTCTAACAATAACATGTTCTGACAGAATGTAAACCCCCTGCATTCCCCTCTCTCCCTCAGTAACATGAATAAGGATATTTCATATTTCCAATTTAGAAGTAAGAACCCATCAACCTCATGACCATAAACACACCTTAAAACCGCTTAACCATAAACACACCTTAAAACCACTTGACCATGAACACACAATAAAACCGCTTCATCTAGTTAACCATGTATTTTTTTTAAACACCCTCCTAGAGTGTAGACCAGTGTTTCCCAACTCCAGTCGTCGGGTACTCCCAAACAGCACACCAGATTCTACTTGTCAACTTAACATCAAGCCCTCCATGTTGAATCAGGTGTTTTTGTCTGGGGCTACAACTAAAAGTGTGCTGTTGGGGAAACACTGACCTAGACCACTTTGTTGCACTTCTAATTTGCTGTGTGAACACTTACCTGACACCAAGCTCTTTGTTACATGTGTAGCCAATGTGTGAATATGCTTCACACTATATCTGTGTGAATGCCCCTTTAAACCACTGACTGTGCAGATTTAGATAGCACTGCGCTAGCAGCAGTATTCAATGGAGATGCAAGCCTGTCACTTCACACTGGATCTGAGGGACTGAATGGACCCTTTATAGGTGATGGGATTAGTTAGGAAATCTGTTCCCAAGTATTCCCACACATAAATAGAGAGGCATATGTGATCGTATCCCAGTGTAATCAAGGTTTGAAATGATTCTGTTTTTGTCATACTATATCTGTTTGGGATTCTTGCGGTCAATGTTCAGTGTACAAATTATTTATTTAATAACAACAATTATTTATTACAAATGATTTATTATTTATAACTATGTTCCGGCCCCCCGACCATCCGCTCAAAGAAAAATCGTCCCACGGCTGAATGTAATTGGGGACCCCTGTGCTACACCCTTCTCACCATCTCAGTAACAACATCATCACTCTCACTCATACATCCTCTCTCTCACTGATACTTCATATAAAAATATGTATTTTGACCTCAATGGGACAACCATGTCAAATAAAGGTTAAATAAATTCTCTCTCCCTCTCTCAGGCAGTGACGGCAGGGTATTTCTACCACACGGCACGGCTAAGCAAGGGGGGCTACAAGACGGTGAAGCACCAGCAGACGGTCTACGTCCACCCCAACAGCTCCCTGTTCGAGGAGCAGCCCCGCTGGCTCATCTACCACGAGCTGGTCTTCACCACCAAGGAGTTCATGAGACAGGTCTGGGATCAGTACTAGTAGACTTGTGGTCATGTTTGTGTGTATTTTTCTCCGTGTGAGGCAGACCTGGAGTCAGAGGACAAAGTAAAACTTTAGGGGAGAGTTGTTGCCGTCTTGCCACTTGTTGTTGTTGGCAGACTGAATACGATTTAAGGGGAAGGGCCGTGCTGTTATTCTTACATTACTTTGAATGAATGTAAAGATTTTCCCCCCCTTTTATTTAAACCTCTTTCTCTGCCTCTCAAGGTGATTGAGATAGACAGCGGCTGGCTGCTGGAGGTGGCTCCCCACTACTACAAGAACAAGGAGCTGGAGGACAGCAGCAGCAAGAAGATGCCTCGCAAACAGGGCAAGGCCAAGGAAGAGCTGGGCTAAGGATAGGGCAAGGCCAAGGAAGAGCTGGGCTAAGGATAGGGCAAGGCCAAGGAAGAGCTGGGCTAAGGATAGGGCAAGGCCAAGGAAGAGCTGGGCTAAGGATAGGGCAAGACCAAGGAAGAGCTGGGCTAAGGATAGGGCAAGACCAAGGAAGAGCTGGGCTAAGGATAGGGCATGGCCAAGGAAGAGCTGGGCTAAGGATAGGGCATGGCCATGGAAGAGCTGGGCTAAGGATAGGGCATGGCCAAGGAAGAGCTGGGCTAAGGACAGGAACTAGAAAAGACAGAGACTTTCTGCCCTCAGAGATAGACAGCCAAGCAGGGCTGCCATAAGGAACTGAAATCAAATCGTTAGGGGCCCTTGAGCAACAAAACAAAAGGAACTGGATAAAAACTCACATGGTTGTGGGCTTATTTATCATAAACCACCTATCAGAGCTAGACTAGCTTGATGATAAGGAAATGTTATGCACTTGGACTGTCACTGAGTTTTCTGTGTCTGGTATGATGCAGGGTCCGGGGTGAAGTTTTCCCATAAGTACAGATCTAGGATCAGCTTCCCCTCCCCATGTCCTAACCATTAGTGGGGGAAATACAAAACTGACCCAATATCAGCGTCTAGGGGTAACTACCTACTCCACGATGCAGAAACAGCAGCAAGCGAGGCAAGACAGATCAAAACAAATGACTACTCCAAATGACAGGGGCTACTGTTTTGTATGTAATGGCCCGTGACTACTAGAGAGTTTGCCTATTTACTTTCCCTAAATAGTTAACTGTTTTGCCCAATGTCTGGGTGTTGTTGGGGTTGTAAATGTATTTTTTGTCCCAATTACACCTAACAGACTGACAGCCAACAATGCTGTGTGTGTTTGACTTCAGTGTGGTTCCACTATCTCCTCCTCTTTTTTTCTATTGGAATAAACTTTTTACAGGCACTTGTCCTGTGACTAGCTTAGGCGCTAAGTGTGTGTTTTTGTTAGCATGGGAGTGTATGACAGTTTACATAGTTGCTAACACAAACATTTGTCATTGCCTGTCCCCATGTATTCATTAACAGTATGATAGGCCATACATAAAACAAGCCTACTTCTTCTGGCCTTTGATTTCCTTGTATGAGGAAGTTCAGAGTATCAGGGCTATATTTAGGCTGCTGCTTTGCCTGTTGAATGGCACGGGATACTGTTTTTCTACCAGTAACATGTAAATCCTGGGATCAGGGTTTGTTAGTTGAAATGTATGTTTTGATGGGTTGTTAGTATTTTATGGGATCAGCCAAAGGATATAACAAATACTATTTGGTTACAGTATATGCATTTCAAACAACTGAAGCATGATGGGATCTCAGGATTATGTGCACATTAGTTTGACTATAGTGGCTTTGAGAGTGTTTTAAACTGAATGAATTATTTAGAACACTAACAATCTGGCTGATGTTCATTGGACTTTTTAAACATAATGTCATAGAAACCGCAGAAGTTTCTTCTGCTGTAGTTAGTGGGTTGTTTATTGTTTTCTGTGAAGTTTGCTAAATGAAATGAGAAATCAGGATTACATGCACTTCTTTGGCAGATTTTTCAACCCTTTAAACATTAGTTTACCTAAAAGGCATTGTGAATGAAATTATTTACACATTTTTAGTTCTGGGTGAGGTTAATTGGAACTCAATGTTTTCATATAAACCGCATAATGGTGTTGCTGAATCATTGCTGATAGCCTTGAGTGCTTTTGGGTGGATCCTGTTCATCTTGTCATAATGGTAAACCTGCATTTGAAGCTTTAGTCTAATGCCACAAAAAACACTGTAGGTATGACAAGTAAGCATCATGACATGAGTTGCAGTGCAGTGTACTGGTCGGTGCACTGCTTCAAGACCCTAGTGGAGTTTTCCATGCAGCTGGTCACTTCCTTGTCCCACAGCAGACAAGGAAACAAACACATTCCACATTCTAGTCTGTAGAATTTCAAACAGTAATTTGGAATATGGGATTTCAAGTTGGATGATAAACAACTGTAGTGCCCATTTGAAATAAATGAGCATTAAGGACATTTTAATACAGTTTGATGTAAAGATGTCATGAAAGATTTGAATGTTTACACATGCAGACATGGAAAACACTATCTGGCAGCGGAACCCAGACTACCCACATTGTAGTTCTACAGGTACAAGAAACTACAAATACACACAATGAGATACAAACACATCCCACGATAACAGTATTGAGTTGACCCTCACTTTCCACAGACACTGAAGCAGTGGTTTAAATACTACTTAAACTGGTCCGACTGGTCAGACGAGAGGGAGTGACAGACCGCAGATGGAAAAGGGAGGTATGAGGGAGGAAAATAAAGAGGAGGAAATACCTTCCACAGATGTACAGATAGAGGGAAAGGAGAGCCATAAACAGCTAAGAGAAGAGGGGGAAACCAGGAAGAGATGAGAACACGAGGATTAAGGTCCACTTGGCATGTTAGTGTCTCAGTGTGTCTCAATGGGAATGCAGTGGACTCACTGAATGGGATATTCTCCACTGGGAAAGTACTCTATGAAGGACCATCTCTGACGGACTGGTACATGTCAGCTACCTCCACAGGTAAGTGTTCAGGGTCATGATGAACTGGTGATTCGTATCACTATTTGCACATAGTTTGCAATGTTGTTGATGACTGTTACAACTAATGCAACTTTTGTTGAGTAACTGATACAAAATGCCATTGTGACTCTACTAGATAATGTGTTAAAGTATGTGAATTTAACATTTCAGTAGCTCAGCATTTTCAGCTCTACATTTCAGAACACCAAGACTGAACATGTTCCTGGTCAATAAGTCGTACAGACCATTGGCTATGTCTTGTTTGTCGATGGCTCATCCACATCCACAAGCAAACAGACGGCATGGAACCTACCATGACAACTTAAAAATAGCACTGGCTTGTTGTGTAAATGGAATTCTAGTCAATAGATTGTATGGCAAGTAATGAGTTACAGTATATTCATAAACTAAACTATATTTCCCTGTCTTTACCTATTTGAGATCGACAAGGTACTTTTTGTTGTTTCATGGCTAGAAATGAACTCCCTTTACTCTTTCTGTTGTCTGAACTAAATTACCTCTCTGTAACAAACAAATCGCCTTATCTCACCGACAACCACATTCCTCCACAGCTCCTCGGAGAGACGTGAAAAACCAGAACTTCACTGACGTCACTCTCCATCTGACTCCAGCCATCACAGCTACAACTACCACAGCACGTCTGCCTGCCTCTGTCCACCATGAGTGACGACAGGGAAAGACAGGGCGCCGATGGAGGCTGCGGGGCCAAACAGCCGCCCAATGTCAAACCCAAACCTGACAGCAAAGACCGCATCAAAAGGGAGAAATCCACCAAGGTGCGTAGGTCCATGAGCACTGACTCCGAGAGAGGAGGGGGATCTGGGAGAAGGAGGGAGAGAAAGAGAGACAGAGGGTCGAGGAGGGAGCGTGGTAGGAGTGAGGAGAACAAGAGACAAGACCGGGATGGAAATGACAGCAACCAGAAGGAGTCTGACCCCCACGAAAATGACATGGAGGACACTGAGTGCGTGGTGTGCTTCTGCAAATACGACAACGTCTTTAAAACCCCCAAGGTGCTCTCCTGCGGGCACACTTTCTGTCTGGAGTGCCTGGCCCGGATCAATGTGACCTCCTCAGAGCTCAAGTCTCTTTCCTGCCCTGTGTGTCGAGAGCTCACCAAACTGCCCCACGGCCGCAACCTGCCCCAGCTGGGCAACAACCAGGACATCTTCCGCAAACTCCCTCCAGAGATGCAGAGGGCGCTGTCCGTGCGCTTCAAGCGCAGCAAGGGCAAGCTGGTCGTCAAGAAGCCCCCTCCTGGTACTACTAGCCTGGCCAAGTCCAGCCTCACCCTGCCCACTCTCAAGAAGCAGGACCAGCAGGCCTCCAGTGACCTCCAGCTGGGCACCATGGATCAGGGCCTCGCCAATGTCGTGGACGTGGGTCGCCCCCCTAGCAGGGTCAGAGGTCGCCTGCGCAGGATGTTCCGCTCGGACCGGTGCTACTACATTGTGATGGCGTTCATCATCACCATCACTGTGGCGCTGATGCTGATGGGCATCCTGGCCTTCATGGTCATGCCCAATGTGGTCCTCAACGGCAACAAAACCGCAGCAGGGGAATTCCAACCAACCACCGCCCAGTCAACCCTGAGGAAAAGAGGGGATGGTGGTGGGATGAAGGAAGTAAGAACAGAGAAGGAGAGAATCACTCAGATGTTTTGAGAGGACAGTGATTGTCAGTGATCCAAATATCTGTCATTTCATTTTCTTCACTGATACTCGGTTATGAAGAAAATATGAATGAACTGAAAAGAAAGGTGAACCTGAAAGCACTAGAGCACACTCAACTGGGGTCAATACATAACATGCTGTGACAAACTGATTAATGAGGAAATAAAGGACCATGTTGTTTATGAAGGACAGATGCACAAGAAATACTCATGGGAAAAGTGAAGCAAGAGTTATTTTTTATCCACCATTTTGTCTTCCTTCCTGCAGTATACACAACATGAACATGGAACATTTACCCTAAATGTAAACGGGACAGCTATTGCAGTGAAGTTAGAGAGGACAATTAACATTGTCTGGGGAAATGTAATTCATTATAAAGTCATGGACCATGTATTTGCACTGAAGTCTGCCTTGGAGAATTATTACAAGTTAGAGATTATTTGATTACACTGAGCATTCTCTTATTCTTTACATTGCAAAGTAAAAAATGTCCGCTGAAGATTTTTGTTTTACATTCATAAATGTCTAACTAATGAATATTTACATAAACAATATGAATATTCATATAGAGTTCAAATAAGAATGATACATTTGTTAAAATAAAATAAAATGGAATAAGTCTCTTTTGCCATAGCAGGGGTATCCTACCACCTTGAAATGAATGACATGTCCAATAGGACCAGGGCCATGTTACATGCCGTTGCCTTACAGTAAATCCAAATGTGCTGATTTGATTTCTGATAAGATCTTTGCCTGGCGGAACGTTCTATGGCATGTGCACCTTGGTCGCAACTTCCTCTTTTAGTCCCATTAGAAAATCATTTTCTTTTAGTTTTCTTTTCTTTTTCGTTAATACACTATTTCCTGACCGGTTCAGTGTGTGTGTGTGTACTGTTTTAACGTTTTACTGAAAGCTACACTGAGTATACAAAACATTAAAAACACCTGCTCTTTCCATGACAGACTGACCAGGTGAAATCTATGATCCCTTATTGATGTCACTTGTTAAATCCACTTCAATCAGTGTAGATGAAGGGGAGGAGATGGGTTAAATAATCATTTTTAAGCCTTGAGACAATTCAGACATGGATTGTGAATGCGTGCCATTCAGAGGGTGATTGGGCAAGACAAAATAATTGAAGTGCCTTTGAACTGGGTATGGTAGTAGGTGCCAGGCACGCCGGTTTGTGTCAAGAACTGCAACACTGCTGGGTCTTTCACGCTCAACAGTTTCCTGTGTGTATCAAGAATGGTCCACCACCCAAAGGACATCCAGCCAACTTAACACAACTGTGTGAAGCATTGGCATCAACATGGGCCAGCATCCATGTGGAACACTTTTGACACCTTGTAGAGTCCCCGACGAATTGAGGCTGTTCTGAGGGCAAAGGGGGTACAACTCAATGTTAGGAAGGTGTTCCTAATGTTTGGTATACTCAGTGTATGCGTCAATGAAACAGTGTCACTCATGATTAGTTCTGGTTGTAGTAACTATGTTTTCCAATATATGGTTGTCAGTGTGACAGACAAACCTGTCTTTCAGTGCACCTTGCATGCAAGTAATTCATAATGGAAAGTAGGCGGTGACATTTGAAAGCATGACTAACCGCATGTGTTGTAAAGCATACAAGCATTTTATTAATTGTTTAAGGAATATGCTCTTAATCATTAAAATATAAAATTTGAATGGTTACCTAAAAGTTAATATTGTGGTGAGGGCAGAAACAATAAAAACTTTGCTGATGCTAGGGCGACTTCATGACCTAATCTGGCTATGCAAGTATATCTTCGCCTTTTTTACAAGCAGGTGTTGGCATTGACATAAGTCTATTTCAACCACTGTTCACCAGCCTATGTAAATATCCCAACCTGTATTTAATTTGATGTTTTTATGGTAAATGAATTATGGTACATTATTCTTATGGTAAACACATTAATTATTGGTTCCCACTTTATAGGCCTATTTAGTAATGCTAAAGAAAGTAATTACATGCACATACTGTAGGCAGGTACATTGTAATTACATAGCATTGTTCTCTCTCTCTCTGTGTGTGTGTGTGTGTGTGTGTGTGTGTGTGTGTGTGTGTGTGTGTGTGTGTGTGTGTGTGTGTGTGTGTGTCAATTATCCATAGGCTATTTTATTATAATACATTTAAAACCGTTTTATGCAATCTATTTCAATTCCGTGCGGGGACCAAACCTCGTTCCCATTCCTCTCAAAAAAGTTTGAAGCCTATGCATTTTCTGGACATTGACCCACCCTCATTGGCAAAGTCCACTCACGACCCCGGCCCGGACGGAGCTTTTGCTTGGGTGAACCAGACCCCGGTCCAGAAAGACCCCTGACGCAAACTGGATATAGGCCTAACCGTGCGAGTGTTCAGGTTGAATAGCTATGTCGCCAAACATGGATATGTTTTCCTCTTGAATTACAGTGCTTGCATAAGTTTATGGTAGATATGTGACTGAATATAATTAACGTTGCGGACAGAGTCACCACTAGAATATCGACAACGATGGCTTCTACCCCTTCTGCTTCTGCTTTGTCCGCTGTTCTACGGTGTTGTGGGAATATCCTAGCCAGGAATCAAGCAAACAAGAAGCGGCCTGGCACCTCGGGATACAGCCTAGGACTGGCTTGCGGAGCGGTATATGACTCCGTGCGGCCAAAACGAACTCCCTCAATATGGAAAGTCATTTTTTCAAGGAACAACTACCTGAGTTTGGAAATGGAGTGTCTGTGGCATATAAACCTGAGTCGAACGGCAAGACGAGAGATTATGAGTCTATAAATTATACCTGTCAAGCAAAGATTTCGGAGCCAAGAATTTGCGCGCCAGGAGCTCCTTGAATGTGCCAAATGGCCAAAATGAAAGATTGGCCCAAAATGAAATAATTTAAAATGACATTACTCGTAGGAACTATGAGAACATGTTTTTGGACAAAATCAGAGAAACCTCCCCTGGCGTTATGAATGGGTCCATAACTTTGCATAATAAGGAAATAGAGGAAAATATGATCCCTGATTTTATTCAAAACTGTTGGTCTACTCTGAAGAACAGATGCTTATTTTTCACCCTATTTGTGTCCGAAATAATGCATGGGAAACTGGGAGTGTTCTGTAGGTCCAGGCCAAATGATGTAGGTGAAGCTGCAAGGGTGGAACAGACCACACACCTGATCAGAGGAAAAAGCACCTACTGTACTGTTCAACAGGTGAGTGAAGAACAATGAGATTTCATAATTAAACCTCTGCCATAGACTACTAATTAAGCCTCTTCCATCGACTACTGTGCCTGAACCACTGACAAGTGGTGTGCTGACAAGTACACCATACCCAATGAAAACCATACCCTGATGAAATGACACATATGTCCAAAACAATATGCATCAAACTGTAGCCTATTTTTGTTCCATTTTGCAGGGTGAGTCATTGAATGGACAAAGTGGAAATCCCTTTGATGAACAGCTTTTGATTGACACCTCCCAGTCTCCTGAACAAAAAACCTGAGGGCAGGCACAACTTAGGGCCTGAACACCAGTGCACACACACACACACACACACACACACACACACACACACACACATATGCATAGGCGACTCTCCCAGGCCCCAGAGTGGAATGTGAAAACACACTGTAGTGTACATGCTGTTTTAATATTTTCAAAGCACTTTGTATGGGGAACTGACTTCCATAAAGGCGATGAACTGTAAGCACCTGACTTTGAGACACGCTGCATGATGACATGTTTTCTTATCAGTTGATAAGTCACTCAGTTGTTTTGACAATTGCTTTGCTGTATGAAAGCCAAAGATCTCTGTTAGCTCTGATGATTATTAGAAATAAACCAAAAATCTGACAGAATTTTTCAATATTGTTCAGGGAATAATCATGCTATAAACTCCATCAAATAAATCTAACACCCTTTTGATTTAACCTGATACTTGAAATTGTTTGTGGTCTTTTATTGATCCGCAGGTTGCGTTGTATGTACACTGAGTGTACAGAATATTAGGAACACCTTCCTAATATTGATTTGCACCCCCTTTTGCCCTCAGAACAGCCTCAATTAGTCATCTGAATGGAACATAACAAGTGTGTCAAAGCTTCAAAGAGATCCTTCACCTGTTCCTCCCATCTTCCCACTGTTGTGGTTACAAGTGACTGGGATCATACTTTGCTGGACCACTCTTGCCCACGGCACTGTGATTGCAGTACACCTCAACCGTTTATGCCTCCCTACGTCCATTTTACTTTCTGTTAAAGCACCTACTGCTTTTTTTCTTGCCCTTCCACACTCTGTGGAACTACTTTAAAATACATGCCATTGTTCAAGGCTGTAAAAATTCCTCTTCTACCTGTCTCTTCGCTCATGTACCAATATTGATATGTGGATTTAACAAGTGTCTATGTCATGGAAAGAGCAGGTGTTCCTAATGTTTTGTACACTCAGTGTATAATTTCACCCCTTATGAAATACAAAATGTTCCATGTATTATCATGGACACAAAGGAGTTAGGAATCTATTATCAAACGCTAAAGGTGCAAACAAATGGGTGTGTGATAGGCTATGAAATGGCTATGTAAGCCTATCAAGTGACATAATGATGCCAGGTTGCCTTACAAGAATGAGATATAGGCCCAGTGACAACTTTCTTCTGTTGATTCTAGACAGGTGTCAACTGTGATTGTATAGTAACATGATATTTATCTTTATTGGCCTGAAGCCACATTTTGCCTTTTTGCTGAATAACCAAGAATAATGGCATATTTTGTGATCTAGAATGTAATAGCCTATGCAAATTGAGATGATCCTGAAATGTATGACAATTGACTGCTTGTTGTTTCCATTAGTTACTGGAAATGCAATGGTAAGTAGGCCTATGATCAATAAAGGCCTACAGCCCTTGTGCTGAATGCAGTATTTTAGCATTTGTAAACAGGAAAAACTCCTGTAAAAATAAAGGATTATTTTTACCATGTAAGACACTCATGAAATATGAAAATATCTGGAATATAAATATTTTTGGGGAAAATAAATTAACATTAAGAACATGACAAAAAACCTTTCTCCTAAATACATGTATCTAAGATAGGTTTAAGACTAGTACACAGTGTGATACAGTTTGATGACTATGAATTTTACTGTATTTGGACAGCCCTATTTGGTCCAGTTGGATAAATTCTCAAGGTGACGGTTAAGGCGGGAACTTCCGGTTGAAAATTAGCTATCCGGAAGTCTGCACTCTTGTATCTTGAGAAAACAAATGGCAAGAAGGAAACTGTCGAAATTAAGTTGATTTGATAATAAAAACAATCAAAATCAAAGTGTGACAACGACGATATATTATTTCCTCTTCACTTGCTTATTGATCCTGCATATTGTCATCGAAGAGGTTAGTGAAACGAATTAAGAAATGGCTACAGAGACCGAATGTGTTCTACGTTAGGAAGCTGGAGGTAAGTGCTAATTTCTGGGAATGAAATGTTCTGTCTAACATTAGCTGCCAAGCAATTCGGTCGAAAGATTACCAAGGTCCAATATAGTTATCAAACAATGGATGAATTACTCAGAAAAGAAAGTGTCGCATTTCGGGGGTGCGTGACGAGAGCTAGCTACAGGTGATATACAAATCGATTAGCCTGTGAATGTCACCTTTCCAATATGCCTTTCCATTCAACTATCTACAGTGGGCCTATAGTTCATACTTTTATACTCGATTAATGTAAGTGACGGTGACTTTGTTAAATGACTCTCTTGAACCCTGTGTTTTATCTATATCCATTTTATCATTTTATTATCAGATTGACATGGATGGTATGAACTGAAGACCAGCGGTTTCATCCTCTAACCAGCTCACCTACCTCCTGTCCAAGATGAATCCAGCTCTCCCTCAATTTTTCCCTCATACCTTATACATTTTCCTTGTCTTTTTTTGACTCTGGCTTTACCTCATTCTGTTAACCTGCTTATGTCTTCATTACTTTAATACAATAATATTTAAATTAACCAAGTAACCTCTCCACATGTCCTTTTTGCGTTCTGCATTCCTTTGGCGCAACTTATGTTTTTACAAACCCAGTCCTCCTGACTTCCTTTCCCTCCTAAGTTGTTGGGCCATGCTCCGTAAGAGAGGTTCTGCCATTCTCTGTGGTGCTTTTCTCTTTGTCGCCTGGAATGCCATCATGGTCCTCTATCTGTGGGGCCGACCCCTGTCTGGTCGAGAGGAGAGGGAGATGGATGGAGGACGAGGAGGGGCTGATTTGGCTGGGGATGTGATCCACATGGCAGAAGCCTTTGAGGCAGAGCTTGAAATGCAGAGAAAAATCCTGCTTCAGATACAGGGTCATCGGTCACAATGGGAACAACCCAATGAGAATGGCGCCAGCAGAGGTGGCCCCACTCAAATGGTCATTCCCATCTTGGTTATAGCCTGTAACAGGGTTACTGTCAAACGCTGCCTGGACAAACTCATAGAGTACCGCCCCTCAGCTGAACTCTACCCAATTATAGTCAGCCAGGACTGTGGGCATGCGGAGACTGCACTGGTGATTGGTTCTTATGGCAGTCAGGTAACTCACCTGAAACAACCAGACCTGTCAGATATTGCCGTGAGACCAGAACACAAGAAGTTCCAGGGCTACTACAAAATCTCCAGGCACTATCGCTGGGCTCTCAACCAAGTGTTCAACTCTCTTTCACATTCCTCTGTTGTTATTGTGGAAGATGATTTGGAGGTAATAATTTAATCTACTCTTACTTGAAATATGCATTGAATGTGATAAAGTGAAATGTTAAATCCACTTGTTTTGTGCTCATCATTGTTTACATCCTCTCTAGTTGCCAGTTGAACAACTAAAAAAACCATTGTTTTCCATTCTTTCACTAGGTGGCACCAGACTTCTTTGAGTATTTCAGATCCCTTCACCCGATCCTGAAATCTGACCCGTCTCTGTGGTGTGTGTCTGCTTGGAATGACAACGGTCGGGACGGCTACGTCGACCCTGGTAAAGCAGACCTCCTGTACAGGACAGACTTCTTCCCTGGGCTGGGCTGGATGATGCTCAAGGAACTCTGGGAAGAGCTGGAGCCCAAGTGGCCTGGTGCATTCTGGGACGACTGGATGCGTAAGCCAGAGCAGCGCACTGATCGAGCCTGTATTCGACCCGAAATATCCAGAACTTTAACCTTTGGACGGAAAGGTGTGAGCCTTGGCCAATTTTATGACAAATACCTACGCTACATTAAACTGAATAGTGAATTTGTGCCTTTCACCAAGCTGGATCTGGCTTACTTGAAGGAGGAGAAATACAAGGAGATCTTTGAGAAGCAGGTTTACAGTGCGCCTTTGGTCAAATATGAAGAGGTCCAACAGGGACAGTTAAAAGGAGCAGGGTCCATTTTGTCTGCACTACTCAAGCAAAGATGGTTTCAAAGTGTTGGCCAAAAACCTGGGCGTGATGGAGGACTTGAAGTCAGGGGTCCCACGGACAGGGTATCGGGGAGTGGTCAGTTTCCTGTCAAGGGGAAGGAGAATCTTCCTGGCGCCCCCTCCGGGATGGAGCAAATATGACCCAACCTGGAGTTGATGACAAACACAAAGGACTGAAGAGGAAAGGGCTCTGCACATTACATCTAGTATTATGGCAATGGAAGTGAGACCAAAGAATACCAGATGTGGACCTATGACTTTAAGCTATAGTGAGATCGTTATGACAGATGCCTATCCTCTCTCTTCCATTTCTGATGTTTGATTTTCTCCCCATACTTCTCAGGTTTTTTCATACACTCAAATAAATATATTTTTGCAATGTGGGGTTGGGATAGTAAGGTAGGTAGAGATATGTCATTATTTTCAGATATTTTTTATATACTCTAATCATGCACATGAAATTCAATGCAACATCCACTTTGATTATTCTCAATCTTGTATGCAATTTCTGGGAGCCTCTGTTACTAATCTATTTCAGATTAAAAAATATATGATCTGTGGTGTGGTCAATAATGGTGGTGGTCTACTAGTGATTTGTCCTAAAGTATAATTGCTTCACAATAAAAAAACATTTCATATTTTGGAGAACTGTTTTGACAATATTTTAAGCTGGTTAGAATAGTGCTTAATGTTTTTCCCAAAGAGACAGCTACTGAAGTGTGTATTTATTTAAATGCAAGACACTCATCACAAATTCTGTATGTTATGTACTTTCGGGAATTAAATTCTACCAATCAACTGCTGTTTGTGACATATTTGTTTGTGCCTAGGTTCCTTTGCCATATTAATATAGACACTGCGTATACAAAACAACTCAATATTAGGAAAGTGTTCCTAATGTTTGGTATACCCAGTGTATATATTTTTTTAATTAATGACCACCTCACATAAGGCTACTAAATACTGAACAATTTAAACAATTGCCCACCCAATCCCCCCCCCCAATTTCCCCCAAAACACATAAATATTGGACTATAAATTAATTGTGCCTTCCTGTATTATAATAATGCTAAAATATTTATTATATTCTACTTAGCCATGTACTTTATGGTCGTATTCTTATCTTGTATTATTTCTTATTGTTGCATTGTCGAGAAGGAACCTGCAGGTAAGCATTTCGTTGGATGGTGCATACCATGTGTATCCCGTACATATGTCTAATGGTTTACCATTTAAAATGAATTAATTACTTAATTTGTTATTAGGGATAGACTTTAACCTATAAAACAAAATGTTTACCGACTGCTTCTGCAAAAAGCTTGCCCAGTTTGGAGACTTCTAAAAGCAAGTTGTGGCTACGGAAGCCTTATGAGTTCAAACCAAAATACGAGGTATGGCTACGGAACCCTTAAGAGTTCAAACCAAAGGAAGAGGTAAGCGTTCTCTATTTACCTTTTGTTTTGCTAACTAAGAGCAGAGCCGAGGTTAGCTAGCAAGCAAGCAAGCGGTGGAGGGAAAGCTAGGTGGGAGAGATGGAGGAGAGACTACTGGTGATGAAAAAACATAATTATTTATTGGCAATTAGATTTAATTTCAATGTCCGTTATTTTCAGTCAATTCCCTTTTAAATGATGTTTTGTTTTCATGCAACGTGCTAACGTTTAGCTGTAGAGCTAGCTACTGTACAGGTAGTATCGTCACGTTCGCCTCCTGTTGCTAAACTAGCGGGATTGAATGATAGTCTGGCTTTGCTCTCTGTCAAAATAGTTTTTTTCCCTATGGTCCTAAACAAATTCTCACACATACAAAACGCAGTTAGTAACTGTGTAGAACACATAGCTAGTTGGCTAAAAAGAAAAGCAAAGGTACCGTTATTTGGTCAACTAAGTTAGCTAACGTTAGCCTGCTAACTGGGCCTGGAATGGAGCCAGGTGATTTGCGTGTGAGCCCAGCAGGCTCCGGAGACCCCGAAGTGGGTGAATGGAGGGAAGAGACCCCTGGTGGGGATGCCGAGGTGAAGGGCGGGGAACCAAATGACAAGGAAATTAATGGAGATACAGCTGAAACGGTGCTCAAAGAGAAAGAAACCTGCGAGGGAGAAGAGTGTACAGCGAAAGAGAAGAACGAAGGTGAACTACACAGCCCATATGAAGAGGAATTGGATCCCAGAATTCAGGTGAGGAAAGATTGGCCGAACCCTTATAATAGATTTTAATCTCAATGGGGTTTCCTGGTCTATGCTTATAGCTAAAGGTTAACAAAATGAGTTGCATGCATGAGTAGATAAACTGCAGTCTTGTATGGTCAATTAGCCTACTGTTGATCATTCAACAGGGGAGTGATGTTTTGCTCAGTCCATAATGGCTAATTCAGGAGAATTAAATCAATGTTTGTGCACATGCCACTCTTCTTTTAAATATTTTTTAGTTGTTATAATATTTACTCACCTTTTCTCCTCAATTTCGTGATTTCGATCTTGTCTCATCGCTGCAACTCCCCAACTGCCTCGGTAGAGGCGAAGGTCGAGTCATGTGTCCTCCTAAACATGACCCGCCAAACCATGCTTCTTAACACCTGCTCGCTTAACCCGGAAGCCAGCTGCATCAATGTGTCTGAGGAAACACCGTTCAACTGAAGACTGTAATCAGCCTGCAGGCGCCCAGTCCGCCACAAGGAATCGCTAGAGCGCGTGAGCCAAGTAAAGCCCCCCAGGCCAAACCCTCACCTAACCCGGACGACGCTGGGCCAATTGTCCACCGCCCTATGGGACTCCCGGTCACGGACGGTAATGATCGAACCTCAGGCTGTAGTGACGCCTTAGACTGCTGCGCCACTCGGGAGGCCCCATGCCACTCTTTCTGATATCATGATGTGATTAATCTATGTTAATCTATGTTGAAATAAACAGGGATTATCCACCAAATGTAACAGTGGTGCCAAGAGAGCTAATATTAACTGATTGTGTTGTTACAAACCAACTATTAAATCTGCCTTCTCCTGTGCTCCCTCATATATTTTCTGTTTCCAGGAGGAGTTGGAACACCTCAACGAGGCCAGTGTAGAAATCAACCAACTAGAACTGCACTTGGATGTAAGTAGATATCATCACCTCTCCCATGATAAATCTGGCCCAATACATCACCCCTTTCCGTACTGATCAGGTTTTTCCAAAGAATCAATCGTCAGTTCATTTTCAATTCCTATAACATGCTTTAAACCCATTCTTAATCTGGAAAATATGCTTTAGATTAGCAGAAATGCCCATTACAATGAAATCTGATTAGGAATTCCTTTTGTACATGTGTAGGATGCCAGATCGGGTTACAGGAAGATCCTCACAGACTCGGCCAGAAAACTGAACGCCCACAGCTCCCAGCTTGGTACCTGCATCGAGAAGGCCAGGCCCTACTATGAGGCTCGTCGACTTGCCAAGGAGGTACTGTTGTACATGCACTGTGTGGGATTTCATGGCATTTGCAACAACACATTTCAAGAGTTCATCTTTAAATGAATCAAAATATGGGAATCGATGCAGTATTTGCCATTCACCTGCTTGTCCCACTTTTCTCAAATCTCAACAACAGTTTAATTGTTTGTCCCCCGTGATTGGTTGCTGTGCAACTGCATGCCCTGTTTTCTCAGTATCTGATTGGCTGTCCCTCCCACAGGCTCAGCAGGAGACCCAGAAGGCGGCGCTGAGCTACGAGCGGGCTGTCTCCATGCACACGGCTGCCAGGGAGATGGTTTACGTGGCAGAGCAGGGCCTCATGGCCGACGGCAAGAACACCCTGGACCCCACCTGGCAGGAGATGCTCAACCATGCTACCTCCAAGGTAACAGGGGAAACCCCAGCTACCGCTATAACTGCATCAATACAAAATAAAATGTTTTCATCAGCTAGTATGTGAGCGAGCTGATATGGTATTCATTTAATCAGTATTTCCCTTACAATCCCCACCCCACCGCCAAGTAGCTATGTTCCCCCATGACAAAAATTTGTTTAAATTAGTTTGGCAGTTAGCCTTGTTTGGCAACCCCAGCTGCCAGTGTAACCAATATTCCAGGTTGTGTTGCATTCTGTATCATTGTATCATTGCATCAAACGTGATCAATGTGTAAGCTATTTGAGGTGGCTGATACGGTATACATTGAATCAGTATTTTCCTTACCATTCCCCCACCCCCCGGGTAGCTATTTTCTCCCGTGCCTAAACTCTTTTGAATTGGATTGGTTTCAATGAGCTAGGCAGTTCGTTTTGTTAGGTTGGTTGGGGGTTAGGATACTGATTGGGGTGTTTTCCCATCTAAACATTTGTGTTGTTGTGTGTTCAAGGTGAACGAGGCAGAGGAGGAGCGCCTACGCAGCGAACGGGAGCACATGCGTGTCACCCACTCTTGTCAGACAGCAGAGGCTCGAGTCCAGACCCTGCAGAAATCTCTCAAGAGGGCCATCGTTAAGTCCAAGCCTTACTTCGAGCTCAAGGCCCAGTTCAACTACATACTTGAGGTAAATAGATATATAATATACAGTGCATTCGGAAAGTGTTCAGACCCCTTGACTTTTTCCACATTTTGTTACTTTACAGCCTTATTCTAAAATGGATTAAGTTAATTAATTCTACACACAATACCCCATAATGACAAAGCGAAAACATGTTTTTGTACATTTTATTAAAAATTAAAAACAGAAATAGGCACACACCTGTCTATATACGGTCCCACAGTTGACAGTGCATGTCAGAGCAAAAACCAAGCCATGAGGTCGAAGGAATTCTCCGTAGAGCTCCGAGACAGGATTGTGTCGCGGCACAGATCTGGGGAAGGGTACCAAAAAATGTCTGCAGCATTGAAGGTCCCCAAGAACACAATGGCCTCCGTCAGTCTTAAATGGAAGAAGTTTGAAACCATCAAGACTCTACAAACCGAGCAATCGGGGGAGAAGAGCCTTGGTCAGGGAGGTGACCAAGAACCCAATGGTTACTCTGACAGAGCTCCAGAGTTCCTCTGTGGAGACGGGAGAACCTTCCATAAGGAAAACCATTTCTGCAGCACTCCACCAATCAGGCCTTTATGGTAGAGTGGCCAGACGGAAGCCACTCCTCAGTAAAAGGCACATGACAGCCCGCTTGGAGTTTGCCAAAAGGCACCTAAAGGACTCTCAGACCATGAAAAACAAGATTCTCTGGTCTGATGAAACCAAGATTGAACTCTTTGGCCTGAAAGCCAAGCATCACGTCTGGAGGAAACCTGGCATCATCCCTACGGTGAAGCATGGTGGTAGCAGCATCATGCTGTGGGGATCTTTTTCAGTGGCAGGGACTGGTAGACTAGTCAGGATCAAGGGAAAGATGAACAGAGAAAAGTACAGAGAGATCCTTGATGAAAACCTGCTCCAGAACGCTCAGGACCTCATACTGGGGCGAAGGTTCTCTTTCTCCAACAGGACAACGACCCTAAGCACACATCCAAGACAATGGAGGAGTGGCTTCGGGACAAGTCTCTGAATGTCCTTGAGTGGCCCAGCCAGAGCCCGGACTTGAACCCGATTGAACATCTCTGTAGAGACCTGAAAATAGCTGTGCAGTGACGCTCCCCATCCAACCTGACAGAGCTTGAGAGGATCTGCAGAGAAAAATGGGGGAAAACTCCCCAAATCAAATTGTATTTGTCACATGCCCCGAATACATCAGGTGTAGACCTTACAGTGAAATGCTTACTTATGTCACGGCTGTTGAGAGACGGGTCAGACCAAGGTGCAGCGTGGTATGCGAACATGTTTATTAAACTGAATATACACTGACAAAACAACAAAAGGCAACGAAACGTGACGTCGGAAGGCTATACACAAACAAGCCAAACTCACCGAAACACAAACAAGATCCCACAACCCAGGCAGGAAAACTGGCTGCCTAAGTATGATCCCCAATCAGAGACAACAAGCGACAGCTGCCTCTGATTGGGAATCACACCCGGCCAAACATAGAATCTAAACAGAAAACTCACACCCTGACCCAACCAACCAGAGGTCTATCGATCAGGGCGTGACAGTACCCCCCCCCCAAAGTGCGTACTCCGGCCGTACCAACCTGACTCATTAGGGGAGGGTCCGGGTGGGCATTCATCCTCGGAGGCGGATCCGGCTCCGGGCGTGACGACCTCTCCCTCTCTGCCTCCCCGTTGCGCCCCTGGTCTGGTCTGGACCTCGGCGCGATGCTTCCCCTCTCCTTCCTCCCACGATGCACCAAGCCCTGTCTGGACCCTGGTGTGGGAGACCCCAAACCTGGAGAGGGGCTGACAGCTGGGCCTGGATCGGCAATCCTCCCGCGATGCACCAAACCCTGTCTGGACCCTGGTGTGGGAGGCCCCGACCCTGGAGAGGGGCTGACTTCTGGGTCTGGAGTGGAGCCGCTGACCGGAGCTGGACTGGGCACCGGTGGAGCGGACTGCTTTGGCTCTGGAGTGGAAACCGTTGACCGGTGCTGGACCAGGCCCCGGTGGAATGGGCACGGGCCGTGCCGGACTGAGAACACGCACCACTGGCTTGGTGCGGGGAGCAGGAACGGGCAGGGCCGGACTGGGGACACGCACCATTGGCTTGGTGCAGGGAGCAGGTACAGGGCGTACCGGGCTGGCGACATGCACCACTGGTTTGGTGCGAGGAGCAGGGACGGGCCGTACTGGACTGGGAACACGCACCACTGGCTTGGTGCAGGGAGCAGTTATGGTCTACGGAGCTTTGCACACGCCCCTTGTTTTGGAACGAGCATTCATGACTGCGCCTACCGACTGGAACACGCTACCATAACTTGGTACGAACGCAGGCACGATATGTAACCGGGCGGAACTGTACGTTAGAGATCTCTGACTGTAACATACTTTTAAATCTCCACGCCCAGTCACTCCTCCAGTGAGGACTCCTCCTGAGCCCCACGAGTGCATGGTCGAGGCTCTTCTTATCGATCCCGCCCAACCGTTTAGCCCCCCCCAAAAAAAGGTAATTGGGGCCTCATCGCAGCTTCCTCCCAAGCGCCTTTGTGTTCCCCTCTCTGGGGAGTTCTCCATCAACCCGGGTCCTCCACCAGCCAATTCCCAGGTAAAATGACTTCCAGCACCTGGGACCAGGTGTCTGCTCCTGGCCCGTGCTTGATCCATTTTTGGGGGGATCTTCTTACGGACCGTGAAAGACGGTCGACCAAGGTCACCAATCGCGTGTATGCGCTTACAAGCCCTTAACCAACAATGCAGTTTTAAGAAAAGTAAGTGTTAAGTAAAAAATAGATAAGTAAAAATAAAAAAACGAATAATTAAAGAGCAACAGTAAAATAACAGTAGCGAGGCTATATACAGGGGGTGTCGGTACAGAGTCAATGTGAGGGGCACAGGTTAGTCGAGGTAATATGTATATGTATGTAGAGGTAAAGTGACTATGCATCGATAATAAACAGAGAGTAGCAGCAGGTTAAAAAGAGAGGGGGGGTGGGGGGGGGAGACAATGCAAATAGTCCAGGTAGCCATTTGATTAGCTGTTCAGGAGTCTTATGGCTTGGGGGTAGAAGCTGTTAAGAATCCTTTTGGACCTAGACTTGGCGCTCCGGTACCGCTTGCCGTGCGGTACCAGAGAGAACAGTCTATGACTAGGGTGGCTGGACAATTTTTAGGGACCTTCCTCTGACACCGCCTGGTATAGAGGTCCTGGATGGCAGGACGCTTGGCCCCAGTGATTTACTGGGCCGTATGCACTACCCTCTGTAGTGTCTTGCGGTCGGAGGCCGAGCAGTTGCCATACCAGGCGGTGATGCAACCAATACAGGTGTGCTAAGCTTGTAGCGTCATACCCAAGAAGACTCGAGGCTGTAAACGCTGGCGAGGGTGCTTCAACATAGTACTGAGTAAAGGGTCTGAATACTTATGTAAATGTGATATTTCCGTTTTTTATTTGTAATACATTTGCAAACATTTCTAAACCTGTTTTTGCTTTGTCATTATGGGGTATTGTGTGTAGATTGAAACAAAAACAATTCATTCCATTTTAGAATAAGGCTGTAACAAAACAAAATGTGGAAAAAGTCAAGGGGTCTGTATACTTTCCGAATGGACTGTATATGATATATAACAGTGGAGGCTGCTGAGGGGTGGACGGCTCATCATAATGGCTGGAACGGAGCAAATGGAATGGCATCAAACACATGGAAACCATGTGTTTGGTATATTTGATACCATTCCACTCCAGCCACTACCACGAGCCCGTCCTCCACAATAAAGGTGCCACCAACCTCCTGTGATATATAATATATGTTGCAATTAATATATATGTAATTTCAAACTGTTATTGTAAGAAAAGCAGGGAAATGATTGATACAGAGCTGTCATGTCCATCCATGATCGCTCCTGTCGGTTATTGTTCGCTCTTTGGCCTCAAACCAAGGAGGAAGTAATGTTGTATGTTGCTCTGTCTTTTCCCTCCATCATATTGGGTTTTCTGTGACTTCAGGAGCACAAAACCAAAGTGATGCAGCTGGAGGAGCATGTGACCAAAGTGAAAAACCGTTACTCTGTCGCCCTGCGCAACCTGGAGCAAATCAGTGAGGCCATCCACGCTCAGCGGGGGCGGGGCCAAACTGAAGGTGGACAAACCACGGCCTGTGGTGGGCGGAGTCCCCCTATTGGGGCGGAGTCGGACAGTGGGGTGTGTGGTGCCGAGGGTGGGGCATGTGGAGGAGGGGCAATAGAGACTGACAGGGTGGACAGAAGTGGAGTGGCGTATAAGAAAATTGGGCTGGTGGAGAAATACAGGGAGAACGGGCGAGAGAGGCCCGAGACACATGGAGAGAGAGCAGGGTCAGATTCCCTCTCTGTCTTCAGTCTGCAGACCATCGCTTCCGACCTGGAGAAATGTGATTCCATCGAACACCTTGGGGAATTTAGCGATGTGGGCAGTCTGCCTGGGGAGGATGGAGAGAATGAGAGGGAGGAGAGAGGGGGAGGGAGGGAAAGAGAAAGAAGGGAAGGACAAATGCAGCGCCAACAGCACTTCCTGAAGCAACATCACAGGAGCTTCAGCTTGTGAGAGCTGTCTTCATCGCTTATAGTTTATCAATTGAAAAGAAAGTGTCCGGTCTAGCTAGCTGATTATCCTGGCAAAAGACCAAAATATATGATATAAAATATATGATGAAAATCAGATCTGCTGTAACTAAAGTAACACATTTAAACAGGGGTGTATGATACTCAGTAGTAACAAAGCACAGGTACGTTGGCAAATAAGACCTGACAATATAAGGAGCCTGACAGGTTTTGCATCATATTACAACACTACTGAAACTCCTAGACCGTACATGCCTCTGAGATTAGCTGCTTTACTTCCCTTATTCTGGCAATAAGGAAACCTTAGACACGTATGTCCTAGTGCATGAAGGAACAATCTAAGTAAGAGACTACAACGAACATGACTGAATTTATGGTATAAGTATGTTCTTCTTGTGCAACAGGAAAGTACGTGCGAATTCATATTAACGTCACCATTTGTTATTAGTTTCGCACTGTAAATATTATTTTAGTACATCAATTCAAATGTGTATTGCAAAAAGCGCAAGAAGAATAAGTTTTTTTTACTTATTCTGGAAACCTGGTTTCAGGGTTTGAATCAATAGGACCCCAAAACGCACTAAAGAGGGTTACAAACTCCCTTCTGACAACTTCCTTGATGATAGAGAGCACTCCAGACTATTTATTGTGTACTAGTATTCAGGGCTAAAAGATCACGCTGACATAATATTATGTTTTACTTGTTAACATTTTAAGCCCATAATTTTAAGATCCTTTGTTTTGTATTTTTAAAAGAAAATAATTTCCCAATAATATTTTTTTTCTTTAGAGCCTCTTGGGTCATAAACGGAAGTGTGCCTTGCCCTTGACACAGTACGACGCAAACAGACAGTATAGCACTGGCTGCAACAGCATACTGTTCAGATCTGTGTATACAGTATTAAACTGGTCAACAAATGAGAAATACTCCCATGAAGGACATGCTTTTGACCATATGATTCATTTGAAATTTGAATAATATATTATTCATCCTAACACTGGTTTGCCTAGACTTGTTTTATTTTTTATTTTTTTATTAATTTGAATGTTGTCTGTGTACTGCTTTGGCAAAGTGGAGGGTACAAGAAATGTATTCAAGAGATTAAATGTAAGTTTGTGTGTTATTACAACATTATAGAGAAAATAATGACATTTACAGATTTATTTGAATATTTGAGAACGTCTTTGTATAGTTATTTTAAAGGGATCTTATTTAATGCTGGTTATCTGCTGTATTCCTGATTTGACCTCTCTGTCCCGCTCTTTATATCCTTCCAATATATCCATCTCCTCCCCTCATTCTCTTAACCATAGAAATAGAATGACCAATAATAGTAATTGTATTTCTATGCTTTCAACCCTTCGATCATTGTCCATTCGATGTCTTTCTCTTTATTTATTCGTAAAGTCTCTGGTGCAGTAGTGTAATGTCACCCAGCTATATAGTACAGTTCACTGTTGTTATTTACATGTATGCAATATCATACAGTTAAACAATAAAATAAGAGGAATCTTGACTTTTTGCCATTATTAGACCCAATATATCTGTCTTATATTCATACTGTACTTCAACACTATCTAAGGATGAAGATGTGATACTAAATGACAGATTTAGAAGAAGAGGAGAATGTGGGGTTTGCAGAAAAAGCGAGAGGGTTGGGAGGAGACAGGAAAAGAGATGAGTTATCTTTTATCCCCCTGCTTCAATTATTCAACGGGGATATAAATATGAAGGAGACGGGTGCTCTCGGAATAGATGTCAGGAGGAGGGTGAGAGAGAGGGGTACCAAAGCCTGTAGTATAAGAACATCTCTGTGTTTACTAACGCTGAAAATAGAGGCTCAATGTTGTAAAATCGACTTATGCCTGCTTCATTGACCTAGGATCTGAAGGCTTTACAAAGGCTTAATACTGGCATTATAAAGTGCATATATTGGGAATCTTCCATATTGCTTTTTTTTTGTATAAATACTCACCGATTAGGATAACTCCATAACGCTTATCATAAAATTAAAGCTCTTAGATTTGCCATGATCACGATTTGCTGGTGTGGGCCAATACCTGAACATACATCTGGGAAAAGGAGATTTGTGCGTGAGAAAACGTACGTCTCTCCATCATCACGTCGTGAATTAGCTGGAGATTGTAGGGAGGGAGAAAAAAAGGGAGGGAGTGTGAGGAATCTGTGTTTAGTCGTACATGGGGAAGCGATTGTATATAGTGCGTGTATTTATATGTATATTTTTCGTTTCTGACTTTTCACCATACGAATTTGAAGTAGATGGCAATAGACTGATTAATACGGTTGTTTTTCACATTCAATGTATAGCCTATGCATGGGGACCGGGTTGCACATCTATAGCCATAAAAACATAGCCATACAATACGTTGCAGAGAAGCACATTTTACCCAAATAATTCGACATTTGGGTGTTCCCAAACGCAACCGACGGACATTCGGTCATCTTGATTGAGCGCGTCGAAAGTATTTGTAAGTACACATGATTACATGCTATAATCTCTTACTCAGTGTGCAACCTAAACAATCGTATATAATTCTAAGGAAGCAAGCTTGCATATATTTGACTGTATTATATTTGTATTCAGATGACAGGCCTACTCTAGCCTATGTAAATTGTATTCTCGTAAATTACTTTAGATTGTTTTTTATTATCGAGCATAATATAACACACAGTCCCACCTATTAATTACGTGAGTTTATCTTTAGATATATTTTGCACGTTTTCAGTGAATTTATTTAGGCTATGGGAATGAATGGCATGCTAGAATTGACATGAAATCTGAACTTCTCAAATCTGAATTGTGCAAACAGATATAGGGCTGGCCTTCCTCGATAGGCCGTTAAGGATTCCCGGCCGTGTCAACACGACCAGCAACTACCGGTAGCCTACTGTTGGTGGCACCCTCAGAGCGACCCTCATTAAAGCGTTTGTAGGCGATATCAGTCCAGTGCACGTGTCTCGATATTTAAATCCACCTGGACACCATTGTAAACATATGGCTATTTTTGCATTGCTTTAGCATTTTTCTAATAGCATGTCAGATGTGGCTTGCTTAATAAATAATCTACGTTTTGGTTTTTGGCTTAGATACGTATCTGTGATGTCGCGGGTGCTGCTGTCCACCGTCCAGAAATATCTGTTTCTCTACGCTCGTCCCAGTTGGAATCTTTTGTTCAGATACATCCGCTGTCCATGGTTCTGAAAATAGTTTTCGCTGCACCTAAAGCTATAGCGCAGCTTGTTGATTTAATATAGGCCACTGACATTACCATAATATTTATGAAGCTGGCTAGCTTGATATATTTTAAGCTCTGATCCATACCATGCTCACACAGTTTGCTTTTATGTATCTCAGTATGTGAGGAGTGTCTCCCACTGTGCTCTCTCTCTCTCTGTCTCTCTCTCGCTCTCTGTCTCTCTCTCTCTCTCTCTCTGTCTCTCCTCTCTCTGTCTCTCTCTCTCTCTCTCTCTCTCTCTCTCTCTCTCTCTCTCCGTGTCTGTCTCCTCCTGCATGCTCTTGTAAGTGCTCTATAAATACACCGTCATGCTAATGAAGTATCCAACAGTGTCTGTCCATCTTCCTCTACTCCCCTTCCCTTCCTTCCCACCATCTGTCTCACCGTGGAGCTTTCTACACCCTGTCCTCTCTCTTTCTCTCCCCTCCTCTCTCTCTGTCTTTCTCTCTCCATCTCTCTGTGTGACAACATGATGAAGTTGCATTCATTATTCAGCGCAGCAAATGAGTGGCTATATTTAGGTGTATTTATACTTTATGGCTGCTGTGTTGGCTGTGTTAGCACTGAGAGCACACTGTTGGACTGAGTGAGTGATCTTGACCTATCCCACTCCACTGTGGGAAGAGCTCATAAATCTGTACATTATGCACAGGGTTATGGCAGAGTAAGTTCTGCTCTCATACTGTCCCTATACAGCGCATGGAGCCAGTACATATTAGTAACAACTAGTGGCAGAAGCACTACTCACTGAACTGCTTTAGGTGAGGTTTTTGTTACTAGATGAATAGTGTACATATGAAGGTTGGTCTATGTCATTGTTTGGTCACTGGTTTAGATGGATACATGGATTGTCCTTGTCAATGGTTATGAATTATGTGTTTGATAAGACCCTTCCCATTAGGAATGTTGGTTCCTCCCATGCACTTAAGGTTTTTGTTTTACGATATAATGACTGTACTACTGTATAAAGGCTGTTTAGAACTAACTTCCCTCTCTCTCTTCCTTTCATTATCTTCTTATTTCATCCTTTATCTCTCTCCTCCTCCTCTCCTCTCTCCATCTCATGCCTAGCTTTTTCTTATACTCTGTACTCTTCCATCTCTGTTTCCTACTCTCTCCTCTCCTCTCTCTTCTGTCTCTTTTCTCTCTTCACCTCTCCCTTCCTCTCCCTCCCTCCAGATCCAGTAATGGCACAGCTATTGTTTCTTATAATTATGTATGCTGTGCCATCTCTTGTTGTGGCCATACATAATTCAACAACTGGAGGTAATTATTGTGTTTGTGTGTGTACACGTGCGTGCACATGTGTTTGTGTAAGTGTGTTAGCAGTTTGAAATACCATAGAGATTGCTAAATGAAGCATCATCACAATGTTGCTGAATGCATGGAGGAAGGCTTTAGATGGAGTGATGATTATAATTGGAGTGTGATATATCTCATGACTGTAATGTAGACTACTGTAAGTCATTATTCTTCCACTCAGAATGTCTTTCGCTCATCTCCTTTTTAGGCTGTGCCATCATCCGTCCTCCCAGAGATGGAGGCATCCGCTACAGAGGCCTGACACAAGAACAGGTACAGTACTCTCAATACCATCACAGTACACTCAATACCATCACAGTACTCTCAATACCATCACAGTACACTCAATACCATCACAGTACTCTCAATACCATCACAGTACTCTCAATACCATCACAGTACTCTCAATACCATCACAGTACACTCAATACCATCACAGTACTCTCAATACCATCACAGTACTCTCAGTACCATCACAGTACCCTCAATACCATCACAGTACTCAGAATACCATCACAGTACACTCTTAGAAAAAAAAGGTGCTATCTAGAACCTAAAAGGGTTATTCGGCTGCCCCTATAGGAGAACCCTTTGAAGAACCCTTTTTGGTTCCAGGTAGAAACCTTTTGGATTCCATGTAGAACCCTTTCCACAAGGGTTCTATCTGGAACCAAAAAGGGTTCTCCTGTGGGGACAGCCGAAGGACCCTTTTGGAACCCTTTTTTTCTAAGAGTGTACTACCGCTGTTATCACTGTACTATCACTACTATCACAGTACTAACAAAAGCCCTTACATTAACTCCTTTAATCATATCTAACCCTAGATAAAGTACAAATAGCTCATATAGTTGCTTGTCAATTCTGACATTATCGCCCCTTTTGTTCTTGGCCATATCTAGTGGCTACCATGTTGTTATTGTCCTAATCATAGCAATGCATTGAAGCCTATCAGAAGAATAACTAATTAGTCAGGTGATGGACATATACAAAGACATAGCTAAACATCAATCTACGTAATCTATTTCTGTGTGCAGATCCGCAATGTGCAGATCCTACCAGTAGACTACGAGATAGAGTACATCTGCAGGGGGAACAGGGTCATAGTGGGCCCTAAGGTCAGGAAGTGCCTTCCCAATGGCACATGGACCGACATCACACTGCACAGCAGATGTCGTAAGTACTCTCTCTTTTATTTACAGCCTACCCGTTTGACTTCATTGTTACTCTATTGTCACACTCTAAGGGTAAGTTCCTCTTCAATGCCTGTCAGAGTGAATTTCACAATGTGCAGAGTGATTCCTGGATTGACTAGATTATATCACTGCCACTACTTAAGGATATCTCTGATGTATCATTGATCATTGTGCACCACTCTGCTCTGTAACGTACCCTGTTCATTTCATCAACAATAACTATGATGAAAAATATTTTTCCTGATGAAAACGAATGACGATAACGAGAAGCCATAACAAAATGAACAAAAACTGTAACAAATTAGTTTTCATTTTAGTTGATGAAAATGTGATGATACGAGAATTCCACGTGAGACTAATAGACATTCAATTTGACATGAAGCTCCTTTTAATCTGTTTTGTCCAATCATAAGCATGCATGCCTTTGCAGAATATGTAATGCAATCCTCTCATTGGCAGAATTAAAGTATTTCAGTTGCACGGTCTGATTGAGCTGGTAGTCCCCTGTAGCTCAGTTGGTAGAGCATGGCGCTTGCAACGCCAGGGTTGTGGGTTCGTTTCCCACGGGGGGGCCAGGATGAAAATGTATGCGCTCTGGATAAGAGCGTCTGCTAAATGACTTAAATGTAAATGTTTCTGCCCAGCTCTCACACACGTCACTCGTCAATCTTTTTAACTGATGCATAGCCAGCAGGCCACGACACTTCAATTTTAACTAACCTTAACTAGAAACAATAATGTTTAATCTTTCTTACTTTCATGTAGGCTATTTTTGCTTTGATCACATCAGATTGGAAGCTCTATTTTCCCATGTGCGCTGTTCTTCATCTGTGTTGACGCTCTCACGGTCAGCAAATGCCAGTGCAGTTTATTTCAGATTGGAAATATTAATGCTATTTGCTTAATATTAGGAGTACAGTAATCTCGCCGACCAGCTGGCTCTCTTTCTGTCGAACCATCTGGTTTCCGAGCGCCTCAGAACGGTACTTGACAGGAAGCCTATGGCAAGAGCGGACGAAAAAAACACAGGTTTTAATTGGCTGATCTCTCAGTGCCATCACCATCTAGCGCAAGGTTCTTCAATTCCGGTCCTGGATTGCCGAAACACTTCTGTTTTTTATTTCTACCTGGTAGTTAATTGCACTCACCTGGTGTCCCAGGTCTGAATTAGCCCCTGATTAGAAGGAGAGGATAAAAAACAGAGGTGTTTCGGCCCTCCAGGACCGGAATTGAAGAACCCTGATCTAGCGCAACCTCCCCCTATGTGTGCTGCAATCGGGGGCCATTATTTTTTTTGTGTTCGTGTGCAACAAAGACAACTCGGTTAACTCGTGCAATATGGATATTCCAGAGTCTGCTATATCTGAAGTATGTCAACAGAATTCAGTGACATCCGTGTACATCATATTACAGGACGGCTAGCAGAGTTCCGCAGGCTAGCTATAAGCATGAACAGCGATCGGTTCCTACTACCTCGGCCTCTGGGGAATTATTTCCTTGATGCACCATAACAAACACTTTTCTGCCTCGATTTGGAGCCACGCCTCATAGTCGTGTGATTCACTCAGAATTTGAATTGATTATCATGTCACTCAGTAAATCCCAAATGGTCCCCACTGTTTCCAGGCTCTATGCGCCAGCAATTCGAGCCAGGAGACGAGGTTAGGAGTACAGTAATTATTCTGGCATTGTTGGAAAGCTCAGATTCTCCCCTTTTAATAGGAATCACTGTTATTTACCCCCATCCCATGGTTATGATTGGGGGAAAAGAGATGTATGCCTAAATTGTTTAAACTGTAGTCAAGGCTTTGTAGCCTATATGGTAAATCATGGCTGGCATTGGTTACAATCGGCCACAATAGCAATGTGCCAGCTATATTAGGGGATAGTAGGTCTAGTTGGACAAGTCTATCTGAATGTGCACATGATGAAAGTTAAATATTAATTATTTAATGGGAAAGAAATACACTGACTAAAATGTGACTAAAATGAATGTGACTAAAACTAGACTAAAATTGTCCAGATTTTGACAATTGATAATAACTAAAACTAACAATGAATGAAATGACTAAAATGTGACTAAGACTGAAATATATTTGAAGACTAAAACTAAGACTAAAACTAAATTTAAAAAAGCTGCCAAAATTAACACTGGTACCTTAGTAGTCTAAGTTTCTACTCTGTTGCCAACTCCTTATAGAATTGTCATGCCATATACAGTGCATTCGGAAAGTATTCATACCCCTTGACTTTATCCACATTTTGTTACGTTACAGCCTTATTCTAAAATTGATTAAATTGTTCCCCCCACATCCATCTACATACAATACCCCATAATGACAAAGCAAAAACAGGTTTTTAGACATTTTTATTAAAAATATAAAACCTAAATATCACATTTACATAAGTATTCAGACCCATTACTCAGTACTTTGTTGAACCACCTTTGACAGTGATTACAGCCTCGAGTATGATGCTACAAGCTCGGCACACCTGTATTTGGGGAGTTTGCCCATTCTTCTCTGCAGATCCTCTCAAGCTCCGTCAGTTTGGATGGTGAGCGTCACTGCACAGCTATTTTCAGGTCTCTCCAGAGATGTTCGATCGGGTTCAAGTCCGGGCTCTGGCTGGGCCACTCAAGGACATTCATAGACTTGTCCAGAAGCCACTCCTGCGTTGTCTTGGCTGTGTGCTTATGGTCGTTGTCCTGTTGGAAGGTGAACCTTCGCCCCAGTCTGAGGTCCTGAGCGCTCTGGAGCAGGTTTTCATCAAGGATCTCTCTGTACTTTGCTCCGTTCATCTTTCCCTCAATCCTGACTAGTCTCCTAGTAATTACCGCTGAAAAACATCACCACAGCATGATGCTGCCACCACCATGCTTCACCGTAGGGATGGTGCCAGATTTACTCCAGACGTAATGCTTGGCATTCAGGCCAAAGAGTTCAATCTTTGTTTCATCAGATCAGAGAATCTTGTTTCTCATGGTCTGAGAGTCTTTCGGTGCCTTTTACTGAGGAGTGGCTTCCGTCTGGCCATTCTACCATAAAGGCCTTATCGGTGGAGTGCTGCAGAGATGGTTGTCCTTCTGGAAGTTTCTCCCATCTCCACGGAGGAACTCTGGAGCTCTGTCAGAGTGACCATCGGGTTCTTGGTCACCTCCCTGACCAAGGCCCTTCTCCCCAGATTGTTCAGTTTGGCTGGGCGGCTAGCTCTAGGATGAGTCCAAACTTCTTCCATTTAAGAATGATAGAGGCTACTGTGTTCTTGCGGACCTTTGATGCTGCAGAAATCTTTCGGTACCCTTCCCCAGATCAGTGCCTCAACACAATCCTGTCTCGGAGCTCTACGGATAATTCCTTCGACCTCATGGCTTGGTTTTTGCTCTGGCATGCACTGTCAACTGTGGGACGTTATATAGACATGTTTGTGCCTTTCCAAATCATGTCCAATCAATTGAATTTACCACAGGTGGACTTCAATCAAGTTGTAGAAACATCTCAAGGATGAACAATGGAAACAGGACGCACCTGAGCTCAATTTCGAGTCTCATAACTAAGGGTCTGAATACTTATGTAAATAAGGTATTTCTGTTTTTTATTTTTAATACATTTGCAAACATTTCTAAAAACCTGTTTTTGCGTTGTCATTATGGGGCATTGTGTGTAGAGTGATGAGAAAACAAAAATATTTAATCAATTTTAGAATAAGGCTGTAATGTAACAAAATGTGGAAAAAGTCACGAGGTCTGAATACTTTCCGAATGCACTGTATGTTCCATAAGGAGTTGGCAAGAGAGCAGAAACAGACTGACAGTTAGTACATGTCATGTAAATATGACCGCTATCATTCCCACTAACCTTCCTCCCTCTACTCTGCCCATCTCTCTTCCAGTGCTGCTGTGCCCTCGTGTGTGGACGTCCCTGGAGAATGGGAGGGTGGCGTTGAAGCCCCCTGGGCCACCGGTGGAGGGCACTGTGCTGCACTACAGCTGCCATGCTGGCTTCATGCTGGAGGGCAGGAACATCACACACTGCACCAAGCTGGGCAAGTGGGACTCACCCAAACCTGTCTGCCTCTGTAAGTGTGGAATGGAATCCCAATCTATTCATGTTATTCAATTGTGATGTTGGTGTTGATATTAAATGTTTTGGTTTAGTTTATAAATGGAAAAACAACACATACAGTGCATTCGGAAAGTGTTCAGACCCCTTGACTTTTTCCACATTTTGTTACATTACAGCCTTATTCTAAAATTGATTAAATTGTTTTTTCCCCCTCATCAATCTACACACAATACCCCATAATGACAAAGCAAAAACAGGTTTTTAGAATTTTTAGAAATGTATAACAAAACCCCCCCCAGAAATATCACATTTACATAAGTATTCAGACCCTTTACTTAGTACTTTGTTAAAGCACCTTTGGCAGCGATAACAGCCTTGAGTTTTCTTGGGTATGACTCTACAAGCTTGGCACACCTGTATTTGGGGAGTTTCTCCCATTCTTCTCTGCAGATCCTCTCAAGCTCTGTCAGGTTGGATGGGGAGCGTCGCTGCACAGCTATTTTCAGGTCTCTCCAGAGATGGTCGATCTGGTTCAAGTCCGGGTTATGGCTGGGCCACTCAAGGACATTCAGAGAGTTGTCCCGAAGCCACTCCTGCGTTGTCTTGGCTGTGTGCTTAGGGTCGTTGTCCTGTTGGAAGGTGAACCTTTGCCCCAATCTGAGGTCCTGAGCGCTCTGGAGCAGGTTTTCATCAAGGATCTCTATGTACTTTGCTCTGTTAATCTTTCCCTCGATCCTGACTAGTCTCCCAGTCCCTGCCACTGAAAAACATCCCCACAGCATGATGCTGCCACCACGCTTCACCGTAGGGATGGTGCCAGGTTTCCTCCAGACGTGACGCTTGGCATTCATGCCAAAGAGTTCAATCTTGGATTCATCAGATGAGAGAATCTTGTTTCTCATGGTCTGAGAGTCTTTAGGTTCCTTTTAGCAAACTCCAAGTGGGCTGTCATGTGTTTTTACTGAGGAGTGGCTTCCGTCTGGCCACTCGGGTTCTTGGTCACCTCTCTGACTCCAATCAAGATTGCTCAGTTTGGCTGGGCGGCCAGCTCTAGAAGTGTCTTGGTGGTTCCAAACCTCTTCCATTTAAGAATGATGGAGGCCACTGTGTTCTTGGAGACCTTCAATGTTGCATAAATTTTTTTGGTACCCTTCCCCAGATCTGTGCCTCGACACAATCCTGTCTCGGAGCTCTACGGACAATTCCTTCGACCTCTTGGCTTGGTTTTTGCTCTGACATGCACTGTCAACTGTGGGACCTTATTGTGCCTTTCCAAATCATGTCCAATCAATTGAATTTACCACAGGTGGACTCCAATCAAGTTGTAGAAACATCTCAAGGATGATCAATGGAAACAGGATGCACCTGAGCTCAATTTCGAGTCTCATAGCAAAGGGTCCGAATACTTATGTAAATAAGGTATTTCTGTTTTTTATTTCAAAAAAACTGTTTTCACTTTGTCATTATGGGGTACTGTGTGTAGATTGATGAGGGAAATGTTTTATTCAATCCATTTTTGAATAAGGCTGTAACGTAACAAAATGTGGAAAAAGTCAAGGTGTCTGAATACTTTCCGAATGCACTGTATACTCCATGGAAACATACATAGACAAACCAACACCTTCCTAATATTGAGTTGCACACCCCCCTTTGCCCTCAAAACAGCCTCAATTTGTTGTTGCATGGACTCTTGAAGGTGTCGAAAGCATTCCACAGGGATGCTGGCCCATGTTGACTCCAATGCTTCCCACAATTGTGTCAAGTTGGCTGGATGTCCTTTGGGTGGTGGACCATTCTTGATACACACGGGAAACTGTTGAGAGTGAAAAACCCAGCAGCGTTGCAGTTCTTGACACACTCAAACTGGTGTGCCTGGCACCTACTACCATACCCTGTTCGAAGGCACTTAAATATTTTGTCTTGCCCATTCACCCTCTGAATGGCACACACACAATCCATGGCTCAATTGTATCTTTAACCTGTCTCCTCCCCTTCATCTACACTGATTGAAGTGGATTTCATGAGTGACATCAATAAGGGATCATAGCTTTCACCTGGATTCACCTGGTCAGTCTATGTCATGGTACATTGATATATTGTGAATATAGTTTCCATGCATTTATTCTACAATGGTGTATATGCTTTGTTTTGTGTGCAAATCATAGGGGTATATAGGTACAAATGATAAGCATTTAGCTTCTTTGGGTGAATGTCAATTTTATTTCCTTGAATCCTTGCATCTTCTTGCCTCCTTCTCAAAACACAACGGCGGAGAAGATCAGAGGTTCCTCCCCTCGGTTCCTCTCATCATTTTCAGAAGGAGACAAGAAGGGAGGATGTGAGAAATCCAGGAAATACAATTTACATTCACCCCCGTTCTGTGTACTTCTCTTAAACAGGAAGTTCTGCCACCTGGTGGACACAACCCATATTTGATTAATAATTGTGAATGATTGTGTAATACCCCATGAAAGTGACATCAATTTTACATCTGTGTTCTCATTTTGTAGGCTAAAAATGGGCTTCAAATTTGCATCATCAAATTTATTAAAACATGGCCATTTAATGTATATGCTTTCGTATAAATTTACTTCAATGTATTTGACGCCCAAGAAGAAGCACGAAACCGAGAATTTACAACCATTTCATTTGGACTACACACATGAACTACAACTCCCACCAACCAGCTGTATATATCTCTATTTCGACAGCTTGCAGGTCTCCATTGTTCTTTTTTCATTTTTTTATTTTTTTTGGTTCTGGCTGGCAAAATAACCCTGCGGAATCTAATATACAAAATATCAAACGGCCTGTAACTAACAGGTTCTTATCATCCTGTAAATCCTCAGATTGACAGGCACACTCCAGCATGCTAACATAACTGCAGGAGATGTAGTTCAAATGAGACTTTTCTAACTTACTTTGCGAGCGTAAACTATTTTTATAAAAGGCATGAATCCACAAATACAATTGTATACACTGAACCAAAATATAAACGCAACATGTAAAGTGTTGGTCCCATGTTTCATGAGCTGAAATAAAAGATCCCAGAAATTTTCCATTAGCACCAAAAGCTTAGTTCTCTCAAATGTTGTGCACAAATTTGTTTACATCCCTGTTAGTGAGCATTTCTCCTTTGCCAAGATAATCCAACCACCTGACAGGTGTGGCATATCAAGAAGCTGATTAAACAGCATGATCATTACACAGGTGCACCTTGTGCTGGGGACAATAAAAGGCCATCCTAAAATGTACAGTTTTGTCACACAACCCACTGCCACAGATGTCTCAAGTTTTGAGGGAGCGTGAAATTGGCATGCTGACAGCAGGAATGTCCACCAGAGCGATTGCCAAAAAATTGAATGTTAATTTCTCTACCATAAGAGAAATTCTCCAACGTCGTTTTAGAGAATTTGGCAGTACATCCAACCGGCCTCACAATCGCAGACCACGTGTAACCACGCCAGCTCATGACCTCCACATCCGGCTTCTTCACCTGTAGGGTCGTCTGAGACCAGCCACCCGGACAGCTGATGAAACTGAGGAGTATTTCTGTCTGTAATAAAGCCCTTTTGTGGGGAAAACCTAATTCTGATTGGCTGGGCTTGGCTCCCCAGTGGGTGGACCTGGCTCCCAAGTGGATGGGCCTATGCCCTCCCAGGCCCACCCATGGCTGCGCCCCTGCCCAGTCATGTTAAATCCATAGATTAGGGCCTAATTTATTTATTTCAATTGACTGATTTCCTTATATGAACTATAACTCAGTAAAGTCGTTGAAATTGTTGCATGTTGCATTTATATTTTTGTTCAGTATCTATATTTTCAATGACTGCGTTTTCCTGAATTTTATGATATAATCTTGAAGCCCATTCAAGAGATTTTGGGACATGATCCGGAAGTAAAGCGGAAGTGGCCGTCACTTCCACAGGGTATACAGACATTACAGTAAAGTAGGATACAGTGGGCCTACATACTGATGGCAATGTAAGGAGCATGGAGGACTGTAATGTGTAATGAGTAACGTGTATAATGCATCAATCCGCGAAGAATTGCATTCACATATGCTACCTGTCACCAAATCATGTTTACTATTAACAAATGTAATTTTGTCATCTCTATTTGCTTGCCACAGATGACAGAAACTACAAAGGTAAGATAGATTGGTTTTGCTTGGGTTGTCTATGTACAGTGCGTTCGGAAAGTATTCAGACCCCTTGACTTTTTCCACATTTTGTTACGTTACAGCCTTATTCTAAAATTGGATTAAATAAATCATTTTCCTCATCAAGCTACACACAATACCCCATAATGACAAAGCGAAAAACAGGTTTTTTAGAATTTTTTACATAAGTATTCAGACCCTTTGCTGTGAGACTCAAAATTGAACAGGTGCATCCTGTTTCCATTGATCATCCTTGAGATGTTTCTACAATTTGATTGGAGTCCACCTGTGGTAAATTCAATTGATTGGACATGATTTGGAAAGGCACACACCTGTCTATATAAGGTCCCACAGTTGACAGTGCATGTCAGAGCAAAAAGCAAGCCATGAGGTCGAAGGAATTGTCTGTAGATCTCTGATTCAGGATTGGGTTGAGGCACAGATCTGGGGAAAGGGTACCAAAAATGTCTGCAGCATTGAAGGTCCCCAAGAACACAGTGGCCTCCATCATTTTGAAATGGAAGAAGTTTGGAACCACCAAGGCTCTTCCAAGAACTGGCCGCCTGGCCAAAACTGAGCAATCGGGGAGAAGGGCCTTGGTCAGGGAGGTGACCAAGAACCCGATGGTCACTCTGACAAAGCTCCAGAGTTCCTCTGTGGAGATGGGAGAACCTTCCAGAAGGACAACCATCTCTGCAGCACTCCACCAATCAGGCCTTTATGGTAGAATGGCCAGACGGAAGCCACTCCTCAGTAAAAGGCACATGCCAGCTCGCTTGGAGTTCGCCAAAAGGCACCTAAAGACTCTCAGACCATGAGAAACAAGATTCTCTGGTGTGACGAAACCAAGATTGAACTCTTTGGCCTGAATGCCAAGCGTCACGTCTGGAAGAAACCTGGCACCATCCCTACGGTGAAGCATGGTGGTGGCAGCATCATGCTGTGGGGATGTTTTTCAGTGACAAGGACTGGGCGACAGGATCGAGAGAAAGATGAACGAAGCAAAGTAGGGACAGATCCTTGATTATAACCTGCTCCAGAGCGCTCAGGACCTCAGACTGGGGCGAAGGTTCACCTTCCAACAGGACAACAACCTTAAGCACACAGCCAAGACAACGCAGGAGTGGCTTTGGGACAAGTCTCTGAACGTCCCGATCGAACATCTCTGGAGAGACCTGAAAATAGCTGTGCAGCGACACTCCCCATCCAACCTGACAGAGCTTGAGAGGATCTGCAGAGAAGAATGGGAGCAATTAGCTAAATACAGGTGTGCCAAACTTATAGCATCATCCCCAAGAAGAGTCGAGGCTGTAATCGCTGCCAAAGGTGCTTCAACAAAGTACTGAATAAGGGGTCTGAATAATTATGTAAATGAGATATTTCCGTTTTATATTTTTTATACATTTGCAAAAATCTCACAAAAACGGTTTTTACTTTGTCATTATGGGGTATTGTTTGTAGATTGATGAGGCAAAATAAATATTTAATCAATTTTAGAATAAGGCTGTAACGTAACAAAATGTGGAAGAAGTCAAGGGGTCTGAACACTTTCCAAATGCACTGTATGTAAAAGCTCAGTGAAACAAATGTTGCAAAAAGTTGCAATGCCTCTGTACAGCACCAGAGGGCAGTGGTACATCATTTCTAGAGCAGGATGCCTTATGCTGACCAGTAATTCTACTGGTGATGGATTTACACTGATTAGAATTAGAGCCAAGAGTAGAAATTACACAAAATATGCTATAGCTACAATCTCACTACATTTACTCAGTTAACTATCGATATAAAGACCCACTTCATTTGTCAGTATTTATATCATTACTGAGGGTAAATTGTTGTCCTTTTGGCGTTGACAAGATTATTATTTGTTTCACAGTTTTGTTAAAGATTATTGCTTCATTAAAGAGTCGAACTATTATATGCCTATTGTAAGACTCCGATTCTCAACACCTCTTTCAGATCGTACAATTTCACAAATGATTATTTAATGATTATTATCAACCATTAACAACAACATTACTCACTCATTTCAACATAGTCTTCTCCTGCACCAACCTGTCCTATCAGTGCATAGAAAGCACATTTTCTTCCAAAATCTCCATGAAATGTGAACCAGACTTATTCTCTCCTTTTCATCTCTCATTCTCTCTCTCATTCATTCTCTCTCTCTCTCTCTCTCTCTCTCTCTCTCTCTCTCTCTCTCTCTCTCTCTCTCCTCTCTCCTCCCTCTCTCTTCTCTCTCTCCTCTCTCTCTCTCTCTCGTCTCTCATGCTCTCTCCTCCCTTCCGTCTCTCTATTCTATCTACAACACCAGTCGCCTGGTATCGTATCTCCCACTTCACTCTCCGTCTCCACACTTTCTCTCTCTCTCTCTTCTCTCGCTCTCTTCCCCTCTCTGTCCTGTTCATTCTACGTTTACTCAGTGGGTGTGTGATGCACAGTGACTTACTGCCTTCTCAGCTGGGTAAAGGTTAACACCCAGGCCTGTCTGTGTCTGTGTGGAGGTGTGTGGGTGTGGGTGTGTGTTAGCAGCAGTCAGAGGAAATCAGAAAAAGCATTCTCTCTTCCGTGATCTTAAGGCCCTTGTTCTTATAGGTTAACCAGAATAGGGATGCCTGTATAACACTGGATTCCACCACTAATACAGTTGGTATAATAGATAGCTCTGGCAGAGGTGTCGCGACAGTGGTTGGTTTCTAAGGCTGTGGGCGACATTTGAGTCACACAAACGAGCACAGAGCTGTAAAAAAAATACTGTAAAACTCATTATAATCCGCAGCGTGATTTAATTTGAAGCTTTTCTTCAACGATGTGCCTTATAAGGAGGAGATTATTTAACCAGAGTTAAAGGAGCAATCTGCAGTTGCTACATCCACTTTTGGACAGAATATCGCTTATAAATGCCTCATGACCTTAGTTCAAATGTCATACCGCATCAAAACCCAAAATACAGTATAATCTTGTTTTTGTCCATTCTTTATAAACAATGTAATTGTAAACAAACACTGTATAGCCTAAAAACATAAAACTATAATTGTAATATCATGGATAGTCAGTCCCTGCATCCATAGCTCTGTCTATGAATTTGAGAGTGGTTACATTTCTCCAGCCCCATCCCTCAGTTATTTACCAAAACCAGTGGCGAGGTGAACACTTTGATTTTGTTTTTGTTTGAATTGCAGAGTGCCATTTTAAGTAAACTGTACGCTGCACAGCATGCACGCAATCCAATTGAGAGTTGCAGTATTTGGAACTAGCGTTGTATTATTTGCCATACCGTCTATTCAAAATGTATTTTTTGCACAGTGCTCTTGTCGTGATAAATGTCGGCCCTGTATGTGTTGTTCAGTGTTTGCTGGCATATAGATGGGCGCGTAATGGAATAGCATTTCAATATCAGGTGTGAATAATAGATGGCATGCTGCGGAGTTCCGGGGGGATATAGATCAGACAGGTGATCTATTGAGAGAGACAGATAGAGAGAGAGAGGAGTTCTACGTCAATGTGGGCTACAGATGGCTCAATGGCTCAGTGGGTTGGAGGTTGGAACATACACAGTGTTGGCTGGCAACACAAGGGCTGTGAGTTGAATTGACACTTGTGACAAGTATACTGAATAACAGTTAGTAGCTTTGGGTCTGCTATTGACTATTACTGTATTCAGATGCAATTCAGTAGTATGTCCACCACTGTAATTGTATTTGAGGTGGAGGAATGAAGGTGGCTATTTCTCCATCACACAATCTATCCCAATGTACACCGAGAACCTAAAACCAGCCTAATAGTTGAACAAAGGTGGGATGCATTTATCATTGGCTTTACTCTCGAGTCCCCAGAGTGCCAGTAGCTATTGCCAACGAGTCATGTGTTACATTTTAGCCATGGAAGAGTTGGAGTCATAGGAGGGTAGCATTATTGACTAATTCTATAATTCTATTATAGCTGTTTCTGATTCTGTTATGGATATTGACCTACTGGGGGTGTGAGAGCCCTATCTAAGAGCTGACAGTGAAACGGTGGTTGCGTCCCAAATTGCACCCTATTGTTTATAGGACACAACTTTTGACCAGAGCTCTACTTAATAGGGAGGCATTTGGGACGCGGACAGTGCTGCATTGGCTGATTAAAGGGCAATGAGAGGAGGCTTTAAAGTGGACAGACGGTTCAAACAGCAGGTATGCTGTAGCCTGTACAGTAGCAGCTCTTGGCTATACATCACACAGACTGACTCCAGGTCTGCTTAGATGAAGGGTAAAGGAGAGCCAGGAGATTGATGCACTGACTGGTCCACGGCTTTTGCGGATTTCTCAAAGTAGCCCCTGAGGTTTTTTGTAGTGGCTTGTGGGTGGGTGAATGAATGTCCTTTCATTGGTTATTGAGAAACAACTGAGAAGCATGTGAGGCATTGTTGTGGTTGAAATCGATTTGGCTCACTGTCAATCTAAAGACTATGTTGATTTGATATTCCAATATTTGATTTCTATCAGTTTACACTCTATTTTCCCAGGTAAAGTTAATATAGTCATTAGATATTGATCTGAATAATGTATTGTTGCAAAAGGAGAATTAGAGAGTGACAGATACCGATAGTTTCCAATACTCTTTGATTGTAGAAAGTAGGTGTTGCACACACACACAATTTAAAAGTTGGTCAATAGCCCAACCCCCCCCCCCCCCTCTCTCTCGATGTCTCTACACATTCGCCGACTAGCAAATAGCAAATATCATCAGAGCTGTCCTTGCTCATACACGCATGCACACACACACACACACACACACACACACATAGCCTCTGCTGCAGTGGATGATATACCCTTCGCGTCTCATTTCTGGACACTTCGTTTCATCCATACAATTGGAAATACGGGTCGTTGCACGGACAGATTATGAAAAAATCCTGAAATTACGCACAGTGCGATTTGCTTTTATTAACCAGAGAATAAGAACATTTCAAACGTTATTCGTAATCGGGAGCTCATTTTCTGCGGTCTGACTGGTGGCGCGCATACCTTTTGGTGCAAAATCGTGGTGATTATGAATAATTAGAAATAACGGACTTGTATTATTCGTTGCTGGACAGACAGTTTAAGGACATACAGTTTTAATGTCTGTCCAATATTCTCCATCGCGATGGATGGGGAAACTATCCTGCCTCATTAGCTTTTACAGCACTTGTATGAAACCATTCAACTTATTTGCTGGACCCAATTAATTGGACACCTCATCATTATTGAAATCTGCCTGCTGAACGACAAAAAGAGGCAAACATGGTTTCCAAACAAGTTATACCCTATTTATAAACCCAACATTCAACGTTCATAAAAACATTAACTATTTGCGTTGTATATCATGCGCCTCTGCACTGACAAATTATCAGTCGAAACGATTAGCCCACTGAAATAATATGAAGAGCAGGCGAGCTAGGCTATTTCTTATTATAGGCTAACAATCTTTCACTGTCTGTTAGCGAGGCGAACACGTGAATCCACTTTTTGAAGAGCGCAAGGTTCTTGCAATGAAATGCTATTGCGATTCATTGCAAATTCACCTCAAGGCTCTCTAAACTTTCATTACAACATAATATCCTTTAATTATTCTAATACGAACCCAACTCCTCTGTAACATTTGGATATTGCTCCAATTCAATTTCCTGACCATGGCGGTAATTGGAAAAAGTCTGCGGCAATTATCGAGTGTTGCGTCCGGACATATTGCACTTCGAGCATCGCTCACCTTACTTCTCCTCTCCTGGCCTTGCCCGTCCCTAGGCAAGAAGAAACTCTACATCGGAGCTCTCTTCCCAATGAGCGGCGGTTGGCCGGGCGGCCAAGCATGTCTCCCCTCTGCGCAGATGGCTTTGGATCTGGTGAACAACCGAACGGATATTCTGCCGGATTACGAACTGGAGCTGATATACTATGACAGTATGGTGAGTAGATGTTGGATCAAATAGATCAATTGTTGTGTTTAAAAAGTGAAAGTCGCAGAGGAGAATACAACTGTATCTTGTTTTTTTACAAGTCTCTAGACCAGTTGAAATTAAATTAGACCAGTTTGTCTTCATGATATATGAAATACATGAACACTTCATTTCTATTTCAGTTAACAGCCTTTCTTCTTTACATATGTCTATACATTGTTAAAACTTGCCAACATGATATTGATTTCCTGCAGGCATACTCTTTTTTATTTATTGCCCTTGTAGCAGGTGGGTGCAATAATCTAACAACTCAGCAGCATACTTATTTAATAGTGTCAAGGGAGTTGTGTGCCAAAATCCATATTATATTACCCCTTTTAGAATTGTAGCACAGTTGCCCATTTAATTAAAAAAACAGTAAACATGTCATCAGTAAACATGTCATCCCCCACAAACGATGCAGCACCCCCCCTCGGGCCAATTGAGATATCACACGCAACTAACGCATTTCAGTTAATTACTATAGCTCCCGCTTTAGGCCAATCAGTGTAATTTTGTCAATGCCGGATCTCAATGGCAATTGACCCAAATGTCGTCGAAATCGCATGTGGCTAAAGTACGAACTAACATACTTATGGAAGGAGACCGATCCACAGTCCCCTCACCGATTTCATGGTGGTGGACGATAAACTAAACTAATGCCAAGTCAGACACTGATATTGGCTTGCTGAAATTCAGCACCAAGGACAGCGTCAGTGCTGGTATAGGAAAAGTGAACTTTCGCAATGAAACTGGACTACCACTACGCATCAGCTGGCTGCTAGGAGGTGATGTGTCTTAACAATAAAAAAGACCAATGTCTATATGTCATACAAAGCACAGGGGACATTTCTTCAGTGGACAGAATGCAACTGCAGAGGTCTCCTTGGGATAAAATGTGACATATAGCTGACTATCACTGACCGTCACTGTCCGATTTGACCACTAGCTGACCACCAAGCTCCAATTACTAACCAGGAAATGATAGCGTCAAATATTTGTGTTATTAAATGAACGAAACACCCGCTGCTTGTCTGTCATCAATCATTCATCATATAGGCATTTTCAAATGTCAGCACTATTCACTGGCTACACATCTATATGTTTCCCACTGTTTCTGCCCTAGTTATTGCCTCCTACTTCGTCATTAGCTTTAACACACAGCCATCCTCCCCACTGGGTTTCCATACCAATCATACTGCAGGACAGATGCCTCCACTACACCCGGGCATACAGCACACAGGCATGAGACAGTTAACTGTGCTGTGACTGGTTAGGGAGCGGTACTCGCTTTGTTCTGATTGGTGTAAAAGGCTCTGCATTGGAATCCCATTGTAAAGAATAGGGAAGAGGGGAGAGGAGAGGAACGTTGTCATGGCAACACAGTTAGCATTGAAACAAACAAGCTAAATATTTTTCACCTTTCAATTAGATAAGACTATGGATGAATAGATATGGAAGATTTATCCATGTTGAGATTCAGGGTTTGAAATTCATTTACAGAACATGAAGTTAGGCTGTGGACATATCAAATATACTGACTGTGTCACGGATTCAGCCGAGGCTGCCCCTCCTCCTTGCTCGGGCAGGCTTCGGCGTTCGTCGTCACCGGAGTACTAGCTGCTACCGATCCATGTATCTATGTTCAACTTGTTTTGTCTTGATTGGTCACACCTGTTTCCCATTATGTAGTTATGTCTTCCCTATTTAACCCTCTGTCTCACACTGTGTGTTGTGTGTGTTTGTTCAAGTTTTGGTTGTCGTTAGTGTGCGGGTTTGTTCCCTCCCTGCGTGGAGGTTGTTGTTCGTTCTTTTACCTTCGACTAAAGTACGCCTTTTGATTAGCTCTGTGTCCTGCGCCTGACTTCGCCTACCGCATTACACTGACGCCTTGACAGCTTTGTGAATCAATGGTACTGGCCATATAATACATTCTAAAATCTAGATATTCAGAATTTATGGGATTAATTTCACCCATTGGTTGATTTATGGTTCTCTTTTTGTTTTGACAAACCAATAGATTTACACCTTTGTAAAGACCAATACATGACTATAACCAAATCAATGAACATGTCAGACAGTGACATTTTCTTGAACATAGCCTGCATCTGTGTGCTAGTGTACAGTTATTGCTAATTACACTTGGGTTTGATGAACACTTTAAAGATCAGTGGATTGTGAACCTTCACACCTGGCTGAAATATTAATGAACAGCTTATGGCATTAAGAGTTAAATTATAGGAGATGGAATTGAATACAGCTACTATTTATTTTCAGTTATTATCCAATCAACAGCTTGTTTGGTCAACTACCAAATATCACACAGGCAATCATAACACACTCTGTTTGAGCATGAGATTTAGAAATAAGCATCAACATCGTCCAATTGTTTGTCTTCTTAATTGCATTACAAGATCTAGGATTGGGATATCAATTATGAAGAAGTACTCATAGAGTGGTCTTGGCTTGAATGTATAAGGATGTTCAATATTAGAATGTGTTCATTTAAAGGCTCACAATAGTAAAATAGTGTGGTCCTCTGTAGCTCAGCTGGTAGAGCACGGCGCTTGTAACGCAAAGGTAGTGGGTTCGATCCCCGGGAACACCCATACACAAAAATGTATGCACGCATGACTGTAAGTCGCTTTGGATAAAAGCGTCTGCTAAATGGCATATTATTATTATTATTAAAGTGAAGCTTTAAAGTGTGATCCCGTTTGCCTTGGAAAAAGATGGCTCATCAAATATACCATTGCAGAATTAGACACTGAATAATTAAACATTAAGAAGATTTTAGTGTAGATGAACTTCAACACTTATACAGTTTATTTGTATTGCAGCATATCTCTATCTATCTATATGGGTAGATCACTGCTTGTTTGTTTGTGTGGTGGTATAGGGAGAGAACATTAGACTATTTACAGCACATTGAGATCTATACACAGACACACCACTCACCCGCTCCAGACTGTTGCCATGGTTATATCAAAGCGAAGACTGATAACTTTGATCAATTATTAACTGTGATGGAGGGAGACCGGTAGAGAAATGGCGTGATGAGGTGCTCTCTGTGTAGGGCGCTGTCTTTCGGATGGGACGTTAAACGGGTGTCCTGACTCTCTGTGGTCACTAAAGATCCCCTGGCACTTATCGTAAGAGTAGGGGTATTAACCCCGGTGTCCTGGCTAAATTCCCAATCTGGCCCTCGTACCATCATGGTCACCTAATCTACCCCAGCCTCCAATTGGCTCATTCATCCCCCCTCTGTAAATGAGAGTGTGTTCTCAGTCAACTTACCTGGTAAAAAATATAAATAAAAGTCTCTCACTTCCCCGTTAATTGGCAGCTGGAACATGATAGGACTCAAAATCATTTATGTGTCCACACACATGCATTATCTCACACACGTATCAAATTCATGTATGCAACATTTAACGCCATGACTCAAGTGGTTTTCGGACACGTGTGAAGTTTCACATGTACATTTTCCATGTGTATTTTTTTTCATAGTTTTTTTTTCACCACTTCCAGTCTCCCATCCAGGACTGACCCTGCTTAGCTTTAGAGGGAAACTAACAGTGGGATGCAGGGTGCTATGGTGCTGGAATGAATGTTGCAAAACATTTTTTTTGCGTTAATTTATAATTAATTTGCGCTCACATTTAAAAATGATTTCCTTGCAATATTATGTTTTGCTATCAACATTTTTGGGTTTATGTTTTGGAATACTAAGAATGTTGTTCTCGACTTCAGAAGTTTTGTTTGATATTAATGGCACAAAAGTAGCTCGCTCACTAGAGGATTGCACCATATAGCAACGCTGTTACTCTATTAAAAGTGTTTAAAGTGACAATCCTTAATTCAAATATTAACAAAGTGCCACAGTTTCGGTAAAAAGCTGAAGGATGGAGCTGGAGAAATGCAACCACTCTTATATCCATAGACTACGCTATGGATGCAAGTACTGGTCATCCATTATATCAAAATTATAGTTTTAACTATGTTTTCTAGGCTATACAGTGTTTGTTTACATTTACTTTGTTTACAAACATTGGAGTAAATGTGGAGTTTTCTTGCATGTGAAACTGCAAATTAGATTGTCCCTTTAGATGTGGAATTGCAAGTGAAAAACTATCACATGTAAAAAATAAATAAAAGATATGCAGTTTCATATGTGAAAGAAATTCTCATTTTCACATGTGGAATTGCAAGTTCATATGTGAAAAACAATCATGTGAAAGTGAGATTTTCACGTGGTTGTCTTACATGTGAAACAGCAAATGTGATTTTCACATAGTGCTGTTTTTCATGTGTCAAACGGCATATACGATTCTTACATGTGAAAGTTTGTCAAATTTGCGGTTTCACATGTAAAATAGCCGTTTTCACATGTTGAGCTTAAATTTAACATGAAACCATATTTTCACATGTATTAAATGTAGAGTTCACATGTTAACGCCACCTTTTCAAATGTGAGGAGAATAACGTTTTCACCTCACATGTAAATTGTAGTTTGACGTGAAATTCTGCGGTTTACATGTGAAGTGAAAACGTTATTCTCCTCACATGTGAAAAGGTGGCGTTAACATGTGAACTCTACATTTAATACATGTGAAAATATGGTTTCACGTGAAATTTAAGCTCAACATGTGAAAACGGCTATTTTACATGTGAAACCGCAAATTTGACATCTGTTTTTTTTTTGTAAGGGCAGGCATCCCCAGGAGTTCTCCAGGGCAGAGAAAAGGTTATGACCGCCTGACATGTTATCAGATGTGACAGAATAGCAAAACGTCACTTTCTCTTCCATTATGATCAAGTCGACTCGGTGGTATCATGATATCTAGATCATATCATACAATCAAGAGACAGTAGCAATAGACGACAACGTTTTAACACCATTGAAATTAACAGGCAATTTTTGCATCCAACACATTTGCATCTTGAGTGTGCTATTTCCATCTCGGAAAATGAACAGAGACAAACCAACACCCAAATTAGGGCCCATAATGTCCATTGTTAAATCACAGTTTTCCACAACCGGATTGCTTGTGACACTCAACTGCAATGCATGGGAGTTCTGTCTCCTCTCTCTCCCCCTCCACAGTAAATCATCATTAAACTTGTCAGGCTTATTTAGATGTGGCCTCATTGAGGACTGGAATAGGGATGGCTTATTGGAAACCTTGGTGACAGGCCTGTGATGGATAATTTGTTCATGATTGGAACACCTCAAGCTTATTTTACATTCATTTGAGGCTTTGAATGTGTTCTGTTTGTGATATCTCCCTCCCTCTTTGTGCATTCATATTTTCTTCCTATCGCTTTTTGGACAGTGGTGGTGAATTTTAACTCTCTCTGTGGCCATCTTTCCTCAAATTTTTATACTGAAGCTCAATAAGGCTGAATATGGATCACTGTTCTGTTCGTCTTTCTGTTTCTGATATTCTTCTTTCTTCCTCCCTTCTCTCTCTCTGCCTCTCTCTCTACCCCTGTTCTCTACCCACCCCCGACTTCTCTCCCACATCGAGCACCGGCGCCGCGGCGGCGCGCAGTGGCCCCCTCTTCTCCATTATATCCAAATGAGGAGCACGTAATCGACCCCCTGCTCCGAAGCGTCCCATAGAGCACCGCATATCACACGCGCCCTTACATCTACCCTATATGGCCCGTAAGCTCCACGTCCTCCATGCAGTCTCCACCGCTCTTACCTTCATGCCCACTCTCTCCCGGTCATCGACCAAAAACGAGCAAGTCAAGCGCAACACGAGCTCCAGGGGCAGCGACCACTAGCGCCAGGGCAGCGCCACCGCTATAACGGAAGAGACCAGAGCTCAATGATCAGACGCCCCCTCTCCCGCATCTCACAATCTCTAACTTCACCTCCCACACAGTAATCCGCCGTAATCTGCCCCCGAGTAGCCAAGCATAGCAAACAAGCGAAAGGAATCGCCACAGCGTGATCAAGGAAGAGCAAAAAAAAGAGAAAGGAAGAGAAAAGGCGAGAAAGGAAGAAGACAAAAGAGAAAGCGACCAAGAAGAGGAAGGAAGCGACAAAGAGAGAAGGAAGAGCCAAAGGAGAACGGCAGGACACAGAGAGGAGGGAGAGAAAAAGAGAGAAAGGAAGAGAACAAGAGCGAATAGGAGAGAAAAAGAGAGGAAGCAGACGCACACACAAGCAGCAGAAAGGAAGAGAAAAAAAGGAAAGGAAGAGACAAAGAGGAAAGGAAGAGCCACAGCGAGCAAGCAGAGAAAAAGAGAGAAAGGAGGAGAAAAAGAGAGAACGGAAGGAAAACGAGAAAGGCAGAGAAAAAGAGAGAAGGGAAACGAAAAAGAAAAGAAGGAAGAGAAAAAGAGAGAACGAAGAGAAAAAAAAAAAAAAGAGACAAGAGAACAAAAAAAAAAAAAAAGAGAAAGCAGAAGAAAAAGAGAGAAAGGAAGAGAAAAAAGAGAAATGGAAGAGAAAAAGGAGGAAAGGAAGAGGAAAAAGAGAGAAGAGAAAACAGAGAGAAAGGTCATCTCCCCCTCTCTTCCTTCATCTCCCCCTCTCTCCCTTCATCCCCCCCTCTTTCTTTCATCTCCCCCTATCTCCCTTCATCTCCCCCCCTCTCCCTTCATCTCCCCCTCTCTTCTTTCATCTCCCCCTATCTCCCTCACATCTATGTCCCCTTTTATCTCCCCCCAAATCTCCTCCATCTCCTCCTCCCTCAATTTTCCCCCTCTCTCATCCTCTTTCTCTCTCTCTTAGTGTGACCCGGGTGAGTCTACCAAGTTGCTCTATGACCTGCTCTACACGGAGCCCATCAAGACAGTCCTGATGCCCGGCTGCAGCTCCGTATCCACACTGGTAGCAGAGGCTGCTCGCATGTGGAACCTCATAGTGGTGGGTAGCTACTGTGTGTGTGTCCCATTCTCTCTTTCTCTATATCTATCTATCTATATATCTATCTATCTATCTCTATATCTCTCTCTCTCTCTCTCTCTCTCTCTCTCTCTCTCTCTCTCTCTCTCTCTCTCTCTCTCTCTCTCTCTCTCTCTCTCGCTCTCGCTCTCGCTCTCGCTCTCGCTCTCTTGCTCTCGTAATCTCATTTCGCTCTTAATTTAACCTTAAACTTTAGCCAACCTTTTTAGCCCAGTAATTAATTGAGAACAAATGAAATCTCCCTATCTATCCATTTCTCTCCTTCATGGAAAAACTATATCTCTTTTTGTTTTTCCAATCTCCTCTTTACTCCCTCTACTTGTCAGCAACTAGTGCCTTGGGCCTGTCTGCTCGATTTCCTCCTTTCTCTTCCTCTCAGCCTCCTTGTTCCCACTCTAACTGTCGATCTCCCCCACCCCCTCTCTCTCTCTCTCTCTCTCTCTCTCTCTCTCTCTCGCTCTCTCTCTCGCGCTCTCTCTCTCTCTCTCTCTCTCTCTCTCTCTCTCTCTCACACGCGCGCACACACACACACACACCACACACACACACACACACACACACACACACACACACACATATAAAGGGATCAGGCTCTTTAGTGAGTGAGTGTACACCACCACCAATCTCCACACACTTATTTCTGTCCCTGTTCAGCCCTTAGGAGGAGTATCTCTCTGCATGTCAAACAAGCCTATCAGAGAGGGAAAACAGCCAAGGATCAAACAGACCAGAATCAAGGGACTTCTGGCTGCTCCAATTGGCAGGCTGTATTCGGATCTCCCATAGCCTAGCGTAGCAACTCAGTCTACATTTAAAGGCAATCCCATTGACCCAATACAATAAAAAAGTTCATACCGGCACATCCTGTAAAATGTTTTAAAACATTTAGCAATGGAAAACAAAAATGTGTCTTTCTAATTGGACTAATCCAGTTAATCCCTCCCTGTTTTAGTCCATTTGGTGCAAAATGAACACGACCCTGAAGCCACTCATTTTGAGGCTAGTGTTTGTTTCAGGTCGTGAAAAGAGCACATTGGATTACTTCTCTTCTGCTTCCTGCAAAGTGGTATTTTATGAGCCTCTCTGTGCCCTGCCGCTTTGCTCCATTTCGTTCTATTTCATTCTCCTGTGTGTGTCACCCCTAATGCAGGAGCTATTTTCCACAGGCTGATACCATCGTCCCCCTGACTGCATCCCATTGTGAGCTGGCAAATTCTATTCTACTCTACTGTCACTAGCTGTATTGTCTGCTGTCCATGTATTGATAGCTCCACTACCTCTACATACACCCAGGGATTTGTTAACCCTGGGACTCAATATTGTACATGACATTTGACATTTATCATCAGGTCTCCACCTTCTTCTTCTCTCATTCCCTGGTGTCAGGGGCCGATGCTCTGAACACTAAAGTCATAGGCATGATATATATAGATATAGAATATTAAACCCCCCTCACCTCTCAATTCAATTCAAATCAGTGCAATAAGCTGTATTGGCATGGAATACATTAGTACTGTATATTGCCTGGCTGTATAGTGTTTTGATAGTTGTAGAATATAAGGAAATACATGTTTATCTCCCTCCCTATCTCCCCCTCTCTCTTTCTCAGTTGTCCTATGGCTCCAGCTCTCCAGCCTTGTCCAACAGGAACCGTTTCCCCACCTTCTTCCGCACCCACCCCTCGGCCACCCTCCACAACCCCACCAGGGTACGCCTCTTCCAGAAGTGGAAGTGGACTAAGATCGCCACCATCCAGCAGACCACGGAGGTCTTCACTTCGGTCAGCTCTCTCTCTCTATGTCTCTCTCTCTCTCTCTCTCTCTCTCTCGCTCCCTGTCTCTGTCTCTCTCTCTCTCTCTCTCTCTCTCTCTCGCTCCCTTCTCTTCTTATCTCTCTCTCTCTCTCTCTCTCTTCTCTCTCTCTCTCTCTCTCTCTCTCTCTCTCTCTCTCTCTCTGTCTCTGTCTCTGTCTCTCGCTCTCTGTCTCTCGCTCTCTGTCTCTGTATCTCTCTGTATCTCTCTCTCTCTCTCGCTCTCTCTTCTCTCTCTCTCTCTCTCTCTCTCTCTCTCTCTGTCTCTGTCTCTCACTCTCCTTCTGTCTGTCTCCCCCTCCCTCTTTCTCTCTTTCTCTCTCTTACTTCCACAGCCCCTTCTTCAGTGACTCTCCCACATCTTAATGAGCAAATGTGTGTGTGGGAGTGGGTGTGTGTGTGCGTGTGACTTACAGTGAGCTCCATAATTCATTGGACAGTGACCATTGTTTTGTTATTTTGGTTCTGTACTCTAGCACTTTGAGTTTGAAAGGATACAATGACAATGAGCGTGAAGTGCAGACTGTCAGCTTTAATTTGAGGGTATTTTCATACATATCGGATGAACCGTTTAGAAATGACAGCACCTTTTGTACATGGTCCCCCCATTTTAAGGTACTACAAGTTTTTGTTAAATTGGCTTCACAGATGTGTGTCGTTAGGCAGGTGTATTAATTTGTGTCGTTAGTGAATGCAGGAGAGCTGTTGATGAATAGTAATGATTCTAGACTTTGCTATTGCCTTTGGAGGTTGTTATTGGGGTGTGTGACAACATGAGGAAGACCAGCAGTGTCGATGCAAATGAAGTTGGCCGTCATAAGGCTCAGAAATGAAAATCAATCATTCAGGAACATTGCAAAAACCCTGGCCATGCCCAAGTCAACAGTTTTGTTCATCATTAACAAGAAAAAAACAACCGGTGAACTCAATTATGTCAAAAGACCCAGTAGACAGAGGAAGACCACTGTAGTGGATGACCGGAGAATACTCTCTATGGTGAAGAAAAAACCCCTGATAACAGCCCAACAGATCAAAAACACTCTCCTGGATGCAGGTGTAGATGTGTCAAAGTCTACCATACGCAGAAGACTACACCAGCAGGACTACAGAGGGTACACTACAAGATGCAAACCACTGATAAGCCTGAAGAACAGAAAGGCCAGATTACAGTTTGCTAAAAAGCAGCTAAAAGAGCCCCAAGAGTTCTGGAAAAAAGTATTGTGGACAGATGAGACAAAGATTAACATGTACCAGAGTGATGGAAAGACAAAAGTGTGGAGAAAAAAAAGAAATGCCCATGATCCAAAGCATACCACCTCATCCATGAAACATGGTGGAGGGGGGTGTTATGGCTTGGGCCTGTATGGCTGCCAGTGGAACAGGCTCACTTGTCTTCATCGATGATGTGACTGCAGACAGAAGTAGAACAATGAATTCTGAAGTCTACAGAAATATTTTATCTGCTCAGATAAAACCAAATGCCTCCAAACTCATTGGACGGCACTTAATCATGCAACAAGACAATGACCCTAAACATACTGCTAGAGCAACAAAGGGGTTTTTGATGGCCAAAACGTGGAAAATCCTTGACTGGCCGAGTCAATCACCAGATCTGAATCCAATTGAACATGCATTTTACATGCTGAAGAGGAGACTTAAGGCAATAAGTCCCCGAAACAAGCAGGAACTGAAGATGGCTGCAGTACAGGCCTGGCAGAGCATCACCAGGGAAGATACCCAGCGTCTGGTGATGGCGATGCATCGCAGACTTCAAGCAGTCATTGCATGCAAAGGATATGCGACCAAATATTAACAATGATTACTTTATTCTACATTATGTTAAACTGTCCAATGTTTTTTGATGCCCGAAAATGGGGGGGACTATGTACAAAAGCTTCTATAATTCGTAAACGGTTCATCCGATATGTATGAAAATACCCTCAAATTAAAGCTGACAGTCTGCACTTCACCCTCATTGTCATTGTATCCTTTCAAACTCAAAGTGCTAGAGTACAGAACCAAAATAACAAAAGAATGGTCACTGTCCAGTGAATTATGGAGCTCACTGTATATGCAGTATGATAGTCTTTTAAGTATTCAATCCCACAATTGATCGTGGATTTCTGAAGTAATTTGTTGGAATATTGGTGGTGAGAAATATTGATCAGGCAATACATCTCTCTGAGTGACCGGGTGGATAATGTGGAGGTTAATGATCTCCCTCTTCCTTGATCTTTACATTTCTCTATCTCTCTTCTTTCCCTACATCTTCTCCCCTTCTTGCTTCCTCTTTTTTCTCTCTCTTTTTCTACCTCTCTCTCTGAAATTATCATCCTCTTTCTCTCCCTCTGTCCTTTATTATCCGTTTTCCTCTTTCCTCTTTTACTCTCATCCTCTTTCTCTTTCTCTGTCTATTTCCATTTCTTGTGCCTTTCCTCTCCTTTTCTCACCCCTTCCATCTTTCTTTCAATCTCTACCCCTCCCTTCTCTCTTTCCATCTTCCCCATCCCTTCTCTCTTTCGTCTTTCCTTCTCTGTTCTCTCTTCCTTCTCTCTTTCTATCTACCCCTTCTCCTCTTCTCTTCTTCTCTCATATAGACTCTGGATGATTTGGAGCAGAGGGTGAAGGAGGCTGGGATTGAGATCAGTGTGAGACAGAGCTTCCTCACCGACCCGGCTGTCGCTGTCAAGAACCTCAAGGTGCTTTGATTAAATATTCAATGGGGGGCTGCTGTTGCTCTCCCCTGTTCACAGCTGCGCCTGTTAGCGAAGTGAGGTGACTTAATACAGGAAATGAATGCTGGAGGCTAATTAGCACAGCCAACTACCAGCCAGTCTGTGAAGTGCCGAGCTAGCTAGCTAGCTAGCAGAGTTGTACCATAGAATTGGAATAGTCAAAGTGTAAAGGCTTGTATCATTATTATTGAACTATGTGAATGTATTTTCATTACGATGGCTTAAATCATTACGCTTGCTGTCATTGAATAGCGCCAGGATGCCAGAATAATTGTGGGGCTCTTCTATGAGACGGAAGCCAGGAAAGTGTTTTGCGAGGTGAGTGTTTTTCCTTGTTTGACCTCAAGTTATGTTAAGCATTAAATCATTGGGCTATTTATAGTTATTGACCTCCATAGTATCTTGAACATCTATCTGAATTCATTCTTATTTATACTGTGGTGATGATGTAGCCTTGAGAAGCAAATCAAATGTATACGTAATAAAGTTAAAAGACTATTAAGTGTGTCATCTTCTTCTTTACTCTCTCTGCCTTCTTCTCTCTCTCTCTCTCTCTCTCTCTCTCTCTCTCTCTCTCTCTCTCTCTCTCTCTCTCTCTCTCTGTCTGTCTGTCTGTCTGTCTGTCTGTCTCTCTCTCTTTCTCTCTCGCTCTCTCTCCCTCCATCCTCCAGGTATTTAAGGAGAAACTATATGGCAAGAAATATGTGTGGTTTCTGATTGGCTGGTACGCTGATAACTGGTTCAAGATCAAAGACCCGTCCATCAACTGCACCATCGAGAACATGACCGAGGCGGTGGAGGGCCATGTTACCACGGAGATCGTCATGCTCAACCCCGAGACCGTCCGCGGAGCCTCCAACCTGGTGAGAACATCTGGGCTGGATCTAGCACTGATCCAGGAACAGGTCCCCCGTGTCCATGTAATGTTATTGATTATGATCCGCATTCCAACCTGGTGAGCAACATCTGCTCTCCATCTGGTCATGTTGTCCCTTCAATTTCACACGCTGCCAGCTTAGCTGTTGATTAGCTTAATATACCTTCTTCTTCTACCTGCAGAGCAGTGGCTTGATGTGCTACTGCAATAGTACACTCTAGGGGCCCTTTAGGCTTTTCCACACCGCATGTTCTTAGCCCAGGGCAGAGACATATATTTAGACATTTATATGGCTATCCCTAATAAATATTCAACTTAGGTGACAATGGAACTCTGTGATTGGCTAGCCCCAAAAAGCTGGCGTAAAAGCTGTCTTAGCCCTGAGCTAAGTACCTTTTGAGTTCAAAGGCTAGTAATACGTAACCATTTCACAGTGCTTGAGGCTCCAGTATTGCCTAAATCTAGTTGACCCTGATGCAACTAACATAGTGATTTTAATTATGGAAATGTCATACTAATGAGTTTGATGGACAATAGTTCAGATTGAAAGCCACATGAACGGTGACCCTCATATATCAACTCCTCCCCTTCCCTATGTCTGGTCCAATCAGACCTCTCAGGAGTTCCTGGGGGCGTTGATGAACCGGCTGGGGGGTAAGAATCCGGAAGAGACGGGGGGCTTCCAGGAGGCCCCTCTAGCCTACGACGCTGTCTGGGCCCTGGCCCTGGCCCTCAACAAGACTGTGGCCCCTCTGAAGGCCAAAGGCCGCAGGCTGGAAGACTTCAACTACAACAACCATGACATCACAGCAGAGATCTACCGCGCCCTCAACACCAGCTCATTTGAAGGCGTGTCTGTGAGTACAGGAGGGAGGGTCATCCAGTAGCATATACCTGGGGCATGTTCATTAGGGCACACAATGTTCTAAAACCTTTTGCAATGTAAAACGTAAATTAGTGTTTCTTATTATACAAGACCAGGTAGTCCAACCCTGGTTGGAGGGTTAACACACCTCTGATTCAACTACTAAACTTATCATCAAGCCCTTGGTTAGTTGAATATGGTGTGTTAGCAATGGGTTGGAGCAAAAGCCTGCATACCCTATTTATCCCAGGACCGGATTGAAGAACACTGCACAATAAATGGTACATGTGTAATCTATTTATTGGCTCATTCAATAAGGCTAAATGGATGACAGTAGATTTCTGACTTGATGTAGCACTTCTTTTTCTCCTTCAGGGTCATGTGGTGTTTGATGCCCAGGGTTCCAGGATGGCTATGACCCTTATTGAGCAACTGCAAGGTAAAATCATCTATCACCATTTCAACCATATTTCAGCCTTTCCTTGTTCTGGACATCCTACAGTAGTTTTTCATTGACATTCTATTGCGGTGCGACTGAATGTCAGTCAGTCCAGTCATTGGTCAGGATCATGGCCGTCTGTTGACACTTAACTTCCTTTCCATCCATTCTCACTCGTGTCTATTTGAGAGCAAAGCATTTTTGCATGTGCAATTATAGGAACATGAAACGAACTGCACAGCTAGCGCCCTATAGCTGTGCAGTTTGTTTCATTGTCCTATAATTGCACATGCAACATGTGTTGATTTATAAACGTGTGGAGTCAAGTCTTCAGTCTAATTGGAACAGGATCGAAGCTAAGGTGGTGGATTATTACTTTTCGGAGCCCTAGTGGATGATAATCTTTTTTCTTCCTGCATGCACTGGGTTGCATTTCGCGTGCTACAGTGCTAGTGACGAGGTCGGGTAAATTGGTTTATACATTGAAAGCCCTGACTTGAATTTGTGAATTATTCTGTTCTAATCAGTATTCATGGTTAAGGGTGCCACATACTGTTTCTCTCACACTGTCTTTCTTTTCCTTTGGATCTATATCGGTCCTTCTCTCTGTTTCGTCTCTCTCTTTGTTCCACCTTCCCCTCTTTCCTTTTTCTCTCTATTTGTGGATTTTAAATTCTCTGCAATGCACTTCGATAGCCTTCTTTTCATAATGATGTTTTGACATTTTCAAAGTGTTCTATTGTTTGTTGTAGTTTGAACCCATCATAACCCAAGGACATTATGTAGGCAGGAAAGAAAGATGATTTGAGAAGATGTTAATTGAACTCTCTCTCCCTCTCGCTCGCTGTGTAGGAGGCAGTTATAAGAAGATTGGATACTACGACAGCTCTCAGAAGAATCTCTCCTGGTTCGGCAATGATGTGTGGATAGGTGAGGCGGAGTTGATTACATTGTCTTTGTCAGGCTTCCTGTGTATGTCTCTCTGTGTGTGTGACTGTCTCACTGTGAGTCATCTATGTAACTATCTATCTCTTTCCCCTCACATTAGACCTACTGTTACGCCTTCTCTTTCTCGAAGCCTGAGCTGCCTCCATCCATAATTTCTATGTCAGACGAATCACCACTTCTGGCTTTAAAAGCAATCATTTGGACCCTGATCCTCCTTCACCCATAATTAGTTTACACCCGCAGCCCAGTGACCAGACCATGGCAGTCAGGAAAGCCTGAACCCACCCACACTTTTTCACTTTGGGGGAAGTTCAACATCTAACACAGCCACAGAGCTTGACACAGAAATGCTATTACTGTTGATTTGCTTCAGCCACCAAGACAAATGTTGTAGTTCAGTTGTTTACTGGTCCAGCCCTCCCTTGAGAGGTGACACACTTGTGCCTGGGCTCAGACTTACTGCACTGCTAATCAATCCTGCATGCTGGGAGCCCAGAGAGAGGGCACCGTTGTAGACTTTTAAGGAAATGATTTGTTGCCAAGGCTTAGCTTAGCCTCCAAGGGGAGCGGGGCCAATGGGTCCAATCAGAGACGGCTGTATGGTGACCTGTATCTATCTCTGTCCTTCACAAGGCTGACTTACTGTAGGGCTGAGTTTGGTGTTCTTACTGTTCTGTAGTGTGACGAGTGAGCTTGGTGTGATGTAGGTTTAGGGAGGTGAGGATGGTTTGTTCCAGAGGTGATGGAGTGGAGTCTAGTTTTCTGGAGTTTGCTATAGAGGTGACAGAGTTGAGTTTAGTTGACCTAGACAGTCTTAGATAAAAAGGGTTCCTTTCAGCTGTCCCCATAGGATAACCCTTTTTGGTTCCATGTAAAACCCTTTTTGGTTTCAAACATTTTGGGTTCCATATAGAACCCTCTGTGGACAGCCGAAGAACCATTTTAGATTCTAGATAGCACCTTTGTTCTAAGAGTGTATAGTAACAGAGGTGAGTCTAGTTTACTGGAGAGTTACAGCCCAATGTGCAAAAACTGATTGAATTAACGTTGTTTCCACATCATTTCAACAACATCAACAAACATGTGATGACATTGAATCAATGTGGAAAACTCATGGATTTGCAAAAAGTCATCAACGTTTTTTCACCCAACTTTTAACCTAAATCCAGTGACATGGTGAAATTATTTTTGATTTCATGTTGAATTCACGTTAGTTGACAACTCAATCAAATGTAAATCAAAACTAGATGTTGAACTGACGTCTGTAACCAGTGGGAGAGGTGAGGTTAGTTTGATATAGAGGTGACGGAGTTGAGTTTGTTTTGTTATAGAGGTGACGGAGGGGAATCTAGTTTGCTATAGAGATGATGGAGTTGAGTTTAGTTTGTTCTAGAGGTGACGGAGATGAGTTTAGTTTGTTCTACAGGTAACGGAGGTGACTTTAGTTTGTTCTTAAGGTAACGGAGGTGAGTTTAGTTTGTTCTTGAGGTAACAGAGGTACGTTTAGTTTGTTCTTGAGGTAACGGAGGTGAGTTTAGTTTGTTCTTGAGGTAACAGAGGTACGTTTAGTTTGTTCTTGAGGTGACGGAGGTGAGTTTAGTTTGCTGTAGAGTGACAGAGGTGAGTTTAGTTTGTTCTACAGGTAACGGAGGTGAGTTTAGTTTGTTCTTGAGGTAACAGAGGTGAGTTGGGTCTGCTGTAGAGGTGATTGTTGTCAGTCTCTTAACTTAACTCTCCTGTTCTCCATTCTGTTTACCCCTTGTCGTCTTCCTCCCTCACTTTCTCGCTCTTTTCACATTCACCCCTAACAACCACTTCAGCTCAGCTTTCTTCCTAATCGCTGTGGCAACTGTTACAGAGCTCGGTCTCCATGGCAACACCCTGTCCTGATTCCTTGATCAAGGACGGAGGAAGGTTTAAACAGTGCAAACACACCAGCTGACAGGGCAGTGCTTTCTCTCTCTTCAATGCACACAAAAACACACACACATCTTCAATCAGCCGTCACTCTGTTCGCAGACAGGATGTCTCAGATGTCACTTCATGCAAATCGGTGGTGTGATATCGCAGAAACCGTCAAAACAAATGTGGGCGCCCTGGTATTGTGACACCCCTGGGGCTCGACACTGTGTCACCCTCTTCCTGACATGGACACGTCACCACACACTGACACAAGTCCACTGTCACTTTCACCAACCCTACTTAAGGACACAGTGACAACCACACTCTGAGCAGCTGTCAGGATCTGCAGGCAGGGCTGGATTTAGACAGACAGGAGGAAACACAGGGAAAACAGAGAGACAGATAAAGTCAGTCGCTGCACTTTCAACCATCCCCAACCTTGAAAGAACCAATGCCTATTTTTTGGTTACTTTTTAATTATGCACATGTTTTCAGATAATTAGGGTGAACACTCTCAACTTCTGTACCTGGTTGGTCATTGAATTAAATCAGTGAGAGCAACACAATGTTGTATACTGGTTACTGTGCAAATTGATTGTGCCAATTTCATTTGATCCTTTAGGTTAATATCTGTAGAGGTTACTGAGCATAGGGCCCTCCCTGATTTTCAAATTCTGACTTTGATCTTAATTCAAAACATAGACTGTCCTTTTCTGAGTGACATCAAGTACAGTACAGTAGACAGGCCTAATCTGCCCTTAGACCTGTCTGTCTCTTTAAGGCATGGATGGACTAACCTCTGTCCTGCCACTCTCTCTCTCTCTCTCTCTCTCTCTCTCTCTGTCTGTCTTACGCTCTGTCTCTCTGTCTCTCTTTCTCTACCTCTCTGTCTCTCTCTCTCTCTCTCTCTCTGCCTTTCTCTCTCTCTGCCTTTCTCTCTCTCTGCCTTTCTCTCTCTCTGCCTTTCTCTCTCTCTCTCTCTTTCTCTCTCTCTCTCTCTCTCCTCTCTCTCTCTCTATTTCTCTCTCTCTATTTCTCTCTCTTTCTCTCTGTCTTTCTCTCTCTCTCTCTCTGTTCAGGCGCTGGGCCCCCGGCTGACTCGACAATAGTCATTGAGGAGTTTAGGTACCTCTCTCAGAAGCTGTTTGCTGCTGTGTCTGTCTTCGCTGGTCTGGGCATCCTCCTGGGCATCGTCTGTCTGACCTTCAACATCTACAACAGCAACGTCCGGTAAGATTATAACTTTATTTCTCCTCCAGCACATTTAAGCAACCCTTTGGCTAGAGCTAGCAATTCATCATCAACAATTCATCATCAACAATTCATCATCAATACTCATCATCACTGGCAATCACGCTGGGTCGAGTATGATTGTCCTCCTGGTGGGTCCTGCTTGTACTGTGGGCAAGTGATATTCACGTTTATGTGGACATATGTCATAACACTTGGCATAACTGTCTCCAATCTATGCAAAATGCCTTGTCACTTGGCGTTCAGTGACAAAAGATGTAATGTTTATGACATTATTTTGATGCTGTTAGGACATATAGTTCCAATAAAGTACCGACAGTGCATGTGAAACAGTCCCTTTGTGGGTTTTGTCTATATTCTCTGGCCTTTCTTCATACCCTCTTTGTGTATGTTGTGCCAGGTACATCCAGAACTCCCAGCCCTACCTGAACAACATGACAGCAGTGGGCTGTATGATGGCCCTGGCTGCTGTGTTTCCCCTGGGGATCGACGGACACCACATCCACAGGTCCCAGTTCACTGTGGTCTGTCAGGTAACATAGCTAAAGCCATGGGAATGGGTTGTTGTCGCCATGTTCTAGTGCTAGAGTAGATGGATGTGCTGTAATGGCTTGTCAGGAGAAATTCTTTGTCTCTCTGCCTCTCTCCATTTCTCGTATTCCTTATCTCTCTCCTTATTTCTTCTCTCTCTCTCTCTCTCTCTCTCTCTCTCTCTCTCTCTCTCTCTCTCTCTCTCTCTCTCTCTCTCTCTCTCTCTTCTCTCTCTCTCTCGCTCTCTCTCTCTTGTCTCTCATTATCAATTCAATTGTTGCTTTATTGCCATAACAAAAATTGCATTTGTATTACCAAAGCATCAAAAAAGTACAATATTTAATCAACAAAATCTCCCTCTCTCCCTCTCTGTCTAGTTCCGTCTGTGGCTGCTCGGCCTGGGCTTCAGTCTGGCCTATGGCAGCATGTTCACCAAGATTTGGTGGGTACACAATCTCTTCACAAAGAAGGAGGAGAAGAAGGAGAAGAGGAAGGTAAGCCTTTGAGGAGGGCCGGAGGATGAAACGGGGAAGCTCCAGAGTCTACATTACTGAATGTGTGGTGCTGGCAGATAAAAAAATCCCCCTAAACTTTACAGTAAGGTTACATAAGCCGCTGGGAGATGTGCTTTGCTCTGCATGTTAAAGTATCTCGGTATATCCTACTGTGGGATATACTGCAGTAGAGTAGAGTAGAGTAGAGTAGAGTACAGTACAGTACAGTACAGTACAGTACAGTAGAGTACAGTACAGTACAGTAGAGGAGAATAGAGTACAGTAGAGTAGAGTAGATTAGAGCAGAGTAGAATAGAGTACAGTACAGTACAGTAGAGTAGAGTAGCGTACGACAGGCTTGAAACAGAGACGGGAGTCACACAGACACACGTACGCGCACACAAATGCATGCGCACGCGCACACACACACACACACACACAAACACACACACACACACACACACTCATACAGAGCGATACCGACACACACACACTCATACCCGTGATGCTCATACTATCAGCTTGATTACGTATGCACGACTTGCACGTGTGTCCTCTCTAAGATAGTGTGTCCTGAAGCTAGGGAGATACTGCAAGTGTGCGATGTGTTGTGGGAATTCTTCTAAGACCTAATCAGAAGAATGAGAGATTAAGCCATTATGGAATATTTATGAATATGTATGAGTATTAAAGTTCTATGTAGAAATCCAACCTTCGGGGGCTTTATTAGTTGAGCCAATGCAAGACGAATCAGATTGACTTTCAACTGTCTTTAATGGCCATGCAAGGGCAATTTGCCAAAGAGCTGTGAAAGTACTTTAAAAAGTTTCCAAGTCAGAATATGGCAAGACTAGTGAAGGCTGTCAAATCATTTCATGCACTTGGAGAGAAGAGGTGACAAGGGCTATGTAATACGGTTTGGTTATTGGGTGAACAGTTGCAGGGCTAGAAGGAAGCCAGAATGAAGTGATGGAAAATGAAGGAGCATGTTGTTGATTTTGCTCATATTATTTTGGGGCCACATTTCTTCTTGATATGTTACTCATTCAAAAAACACTGTCATGTTGTGCATATAGCATCCACTGCCTAGTAACTAGTCAAATTACACTTAGAATATTTGAACATTATTGTCTAAATGCCAATTAATCTATGTGTGCTTTATTTAACCAGGGGAGCCCATTGACATATTAATCTCTATTTAAAGGGAGCTCTGATAACTTAAGTATTCTGTGCTGATACACATATACAATACTGTACTCGGTTGGCAGTTTATCTACTGTATGCTTGAACCCATTTATCCTTGTTTGTGGACTCACTGCATTGCCCTTGGTCCTTGGATTGTGATTGGTTCTCCTGTATCCCTGCAGCACCTGGAGCCATGGAAACTCTATGCAACAGTTGGAGTGTTACTAGCCATAGACGTCCTGTCACTCATGATTTGGCAGATTGTGGATCCTTTACACATCACAGTGGAGGTACAGTGACACTGTCATATCAGTCCTATACAGTGCCACAATACACCATAATGACAAAGTGAAAACATGTTTTTAGAATGTTTAGCAAATTTATTGAAAATGAAATACAGAAACATCTCATTTACATAAGTATTCACACCCCTGAGTCAATACTTTGTAGAAGCACCTTTGGCAGCGATTACAGCTGTGAGTCTTTCTGGGTACGTCTCTAAGAGCTTTCCACACCTGGATTGTGCAACATTTGCCCATGATTCTTTTCAAAATTCTTCAAGCTTTGTCAAATTGGTTGTTTATTATTGCTAGACATCCATTTTCAGGTCTAGCCATAGATTTTCAAGCAGATTTAACTCGGCCATTCAGAAACATTCACTGTCTTCTTGGAAAGCAATTCCAGTGTAGAGTTGGCCTTGTGTTTTAGGTTATTGTCCTGTTGAAAAGTGAATTCATCTCTCAGTGTCTGGTGGAAAAAATATTGAACCATGGTTTCCTCTAGGATTTTGCCTGTGCTTAGCTTCCATTTCTTTTTTATCCTGAAAAACTCCCCAGTCCTTAATGATTAGAAGCATACACATAACATGATGCAGCCACCACTATGCTTGAAAATATGGAGAGTGGTACTCAGTAATGTGTTGTATTGGATTTGCCCCAAACATAACACTTTGTATTCCTGAGTGGCGCAGTGGTCTAAGGCACTGCATCGCAGTGCTAACTGTGCCACTAGAGATCCTGGTTCGAATCCAGGCTCTGTCTTAACCGGCCGCGACCGGGAGTCTCATGGGCGGCGCACAATTGGCCCAGGGTAGGGGAGGGAATGGCCGGCAGGGATGTAGCTCAGTTGATAGAGCATGGCGTTTGCAACACCAGGGTTGTGGGTTCGATTCCCACGGGGGGCCAGTATAAAAAAAAAAATGTATTCACTAACTGTAAGTCGCTCTGGATAAGAGTGTCTGCTAAATGACGTAAATGTATTCAGGACAAAAGTTTAATTGCTTTGACACATTTTTTTCAGTATTACTTTAGTGCCTTGTTACCAACAGGATGCATGTTTTGGAATATTTTATATTCTGTACAGGCTTCCTTCTTTTCACTCTGTCAATTAGGTTAGTATTGTGGAGTAATAACATTGATGATCCATCCTCAGTTTTCTCCTATCACAGCCATTAAACTCTGTAACTGGTTTAAAGTCACCATTGGCCTCATGGTGAAATCCCTGAGTGATTTCCTTCCTCTCCGGCAACTGCGTGTGTTGTGACTGGGTGTATTGATACACCATCCAAGTGTAAGTTTATAACTTCACCATGCTCAAAGGGATATTCAGTGTCTGTTTTTTTTCATTTTTACCAATCTACCAATAGGTGCCCTTCTTTGTGAGGCATTGGAAAACCTCCCTGGTCTTTGTGGTTGAATCTGTGTTTGAAATTCAGTGCTCAACTGAGAGACCTTACAGATAATTGTATGTGTGGGGTACAGAGATGAGGTAGTCATTCAAAAATCATGTTAAACACACAGAGTGAGTCCATGCAACTTATTATGTGACTTGTTAAGCACATTTTTACTACTGAACTTATTTAGGCTTGCCATAAAAAAGGGGGTTGAATACTTATTGACTCAAGATATTTCAGCTTTTCATTTTATATTAATTTGTAAACATTTCTTAAAACATAATTCCACTTTGACATCATGGGGTATTATGTGTAGGCCAGTGACCAAAAATCAAAATGTAGTCAATTTTAAATTCAGGCTGTACACAACAAAATGTGGAAAAAGTCAAGGGGTGTGAATACTTTCTGAAGGCACTGTACTCTATGTGGTATTAGCTTTCGTATGTTAGCACTGTCACATTTGTCTGGTGTTCAACAAAATATTATTGCTTTGATGTCAGTCATCTTATTGTTCCTTGACTTTCTACTTGTCAGTTTTAAAGTTAATGAATTGCGGATATCACAACGGAATGTCTTTCACTCTGTCTCACGTTCTCTCTCACTTTCCCTCTCACTTCCTCTCTCCCTGTCTCTCTCTCTCTCTCTCTCTCTCCCTCTCTCTCTCTCTCTCTCTCTCTCTCTCTCTCTCTCTCTCTCTCTCTCTCTCTCTCTCTCTCTCTCTCTCTCTCTCTCTCTCTCTCTCTCTCTCCTCTCTCTCTCTCTCTCTCACTTCCTCCCCCGTCCTCTCTCTCTGAGTAGAAGTTCACTAGGGAGGCCCCTAAAGGAGACTTGGATGTCCTGATTCAGCCCCTCCTGGAGCACTGCACCTCAGAGAAGATGAACACATGGCTCGGTATCCCGCCTCTATTCCCTACTCCTTCTGTCTTATCTGTACTTCTCTCTCTCACTCCCTCAATCCCCAGTCCATTCATTGTAAATTAAACGCTCCTCGTATCTCAGCCCCCCACATTAGCTCTTTCTGTAATTATTTGGCCTTTTTTCACATTCTCTCTCTCTCTCTCTTATTCTGTCTCTCTGTTTCTCTCTCTCGCTCTTTTTTTTGTCTGACCCCAGTTTTTCCTCCCCTCCTCTCACTCACTCTAGTCAGTCATCCCCTGCCTTTATCTTTCCCTCATATGCTTTCATTTTTATCTTCCCCTTTCATCTGTTTTTCTCTCACTATCGCCAGGCTCCCTCTCATCCTGACAGTGGCAGCACTTCTGAATGCATAATACTGTCAAATTCAAATAATATGGGTCACAAACTGTGCCATTGCCCCATAGCATTCCCTCTCTGTGCTATAAAAATATATTGTCACCCCACTGAGCGATGTAATGAAAGAACAATGGACACTTGGACAGAAGAAATAAAGGGGGAATATGCATTACCTTCAGTCAACTGCCTAACATCACTCCATCGTCTTTGCCTTCCATCTCTCTCTCTCTCTCTCTCTCTCTCTCTCTCTCTCTCTCCTCTCTCTCTCTCTCTCTCTCTCTCTCTCTCTCTCATTCTGTCTCTCTCTCATTCTGTCTCTCTCTCCCACTTTCTCTCTCTCTCTCTCCCTCCCTCTCCCTCTCTCCACCAGGTGTAGTGTATGGCTACAAGGGACTGCTGCTGTTGCTGGGGATATTTCTGGCCTACGAGACCAAGTCTGTTTCCACGGAGAAGATCAATGACCATCGAGCTGTGGGGATGGCTATTTACAACGTGGCTGTGAGTCTCAACCGTCACAGGGGGAGTGCTCTGGTTTCCACTCTGCATTTTAGCCAGTCCATCGAACGAATGATCTCAAAGCAACAATTAACTATTGGTAGAAAGATAGCAGGGGCTAGACATGGTCTCTGTGTGGACATGAGATTCAATGATTCGTTAGTGCATAATGATAACATACTGCTAAGACTCGTTATTTCTGGTAAGCATGTGCTCATACATTTATTTTTGGCGCTAAAGCAAAACGTTAGTGCTATACTTAATCATTTGAATTTGATTTGAATCGGTGAATGATCATCACCAATAGAGGTATTTAAGCTTCACTTGAACTGATATAGCAGCGGTAACATACAGTACCATTTCACCATCTAGGTGTTGCAAACAAGTAGCCATAGTCATTCAGTAACCCTCACACAGGTGGAATCCTCCTCACACAGGTGAGAACATCCAGGAAATGTCTGGTAACGTAGGCTATTGCTGGAACAAACCACTGCTCTTATACAGGCAGAAATAGTAAACAACTGTAGCTTTAGCCTGGGTTTCTATTTTTGCTCAACAATGTGCAAACATTTTAGTACTCTCTGAACAATGATTTACATAATTGCTCGGAACTTGCCCAGATTCCCATCTCAAAACAGCTTCATGAGGAACCGAAAACACTCACGACTGCAAACCACCCACAGTTTTACATCTTTTCACTGCGCATTTGCTGTGGGGCGGTTACGCAATTATGAAATACATACTGTCAATTTTTTTTACAAAGCAGAGGAAAGAACATTTAATGATGAAACATTAATTTTCATCATTACACACAGCTATGCATCCGGACAAATCCATGTTAGATGTTTTTATGCAATTTTGATTATTTGATATTTCGCGTAATTATGCTCAAGAAAAGATACTCCATACATAATGTGCCACAGGTATGAGTTTCTGTAAGTCTTCACAAGTTTACAACAACCATTTGCAATGCTTTTATCCAAGCGACTTCAGAGCGTGATACTTTTTGGGGTGGTCCGGGGATCAAACGCCCAACTACCCTAGCTGTTAAGCGCCAATACATTACCAATTGAATCTAAAGAAGACCACAAAATGTATTCTGGATTTATTGTATCTATCAAATGGCTCCTGTTGGGAAGCTATTTGTAAGGCCTCATGCTTTTAGTGATGGAGTGCACATATGGTGCTGACTAACATCTTATTTCCCCACTTAACTTTTTTATGTGTTTCAATGGGAACTCGTGGGAAAGAAAGCATTTTGCGACATCTTTATAGATCTTATGTTCCCTAAACTCAGCTCATCCGACAGGAAGTTAACTTTGTTTCATCATTTGATCTATCTCTTATATTTCGGGTTTGCTCTAATAATCGATACAATTCCCTACATAAATGGTCCCCTATAGGAATCTTAAATTCAATTTTTTATCTAAAAATCGTCCTTGTTACTTCTAAGGCTTCTATTGGATGATTGCTCGATGGTACTGCTAACCTGCTACCTCATCTATAACTTTTTAATGATGTTTTCATATGGGGAACCTCGTTGGAATGATAAGCAGTTGCCAACCGCTTTTTTAGATCTTATTTCCCTCACTCGCCTCTCCCTTGATAGTTACCTCTTTGTTTCTCTCTCTCTCTCTCTCTCTCTCTCTCTCTTCTCTCTCTCTCTCTCTCTCTCTCTCTCTCTCTCTCTCTCTCTCTCTCTCTCTCTCTCTCTCTCTCTCTCTCTCTCTCCCCTTCTCTTCCCTCTCTCATCCTCTCTATCCCCCCTTATTTCTTCCTCTCCTCTCCCACACTCTCTCCACCCCGTCTCTACAGGTGTTGTGCATGATCACGGCTCCCGTCACTATGATCCTCACGTCACAGCAGGACGCTTCCTTTGCCTTTGCCGCTCTGGCCATAGTGTTCTCTGTCTACATCACCCTGGTGGTGCTCTTTGTGCCCAAGGTACAGTATACTATATAGAATAGGCTTGTGTCCCAAGTGGCACCCTATTCCCTTTATAGTGTGTTACTTTTGACCAGGGCTCTGGTCAAAGTAGTGCACTATATAGGGAATAGGGTGCCATTTGGGACGTAGCCTAGGACTCTGAGTCATTTAGCAGCGGTACACTTTCCATTTTTATTGAACCACACGAAACTTGCATCAGCACTCGAAACAAAGTCTCAATACTTTCTTCAATGTTTAACATTTCCAAATTCACATATTTACAGAAAATGGTCTTCTCTGTCTCTCTGGCTGTGTAGAATAAAGTTATATTCTATTCTAGATGCGCAGGCTGATTACACGTGGTGAGTGGCAGTCGGAGCAGCAGGACACGCTGAAGACCGGCTCGTCCACCAACAACAACGATGAGGAGAAGTCTCGCCAGCTGGAGAGAGAGAACCGTGAGCTGCAGAAGATCATACAGGAGGTACAGTACTCACCTTAGCTATCAACAGAATCACAATACATCTAGATTTAAATATGTCTAATACGTATAAAATACATCTGAATATTGGAACTAGTAACCAATCATTCAACCAATCTTTATCATACAGGTGGTACTACAATACACACTCACTTTGATACCTTCGCTATCAAAATATAATCAAAATGCATCTATTAAAATACATCTAATATGCCTTTTTTTAATCTGAATTATTTGACCTAGCAACCAACCAACCAAATCTTTCCAATCATTCATTTGTTATTACCTTTAACTAAGAGATACATTTGGTTTGATTAATAAATGATGAATACATGTCTAATTCATTCTCAATTAATGCTTAATAAATGATTCCTCTTTACCCATGTGTGTTCTGTATTAATAAGACCTCTCCCTCTTCTGTGCTCTCAGAAAGAGCAGAGGGTATCGGAGCTCCGCAACCAGCTGGTTGAGAGACAGGCCCTGCGCAACCGACGACGGCCCTCATCCGGCACCAACCAGAACCACAGCACCCCGTCCCCGCCCTCTTCCCAGCCAGACCCCAAGTCTCTCCTGCCCCCTCCCGGGTTACCCCAACCCCGCGTCGGACAATCACTCCTCCTTACCCCCCTCCTTCTCCAACTCCTCCAACCTGTACCAGGCGGACAGCAAAATAAGTCGCAACCACTGTCACAACAGCCAGATCCCCCTGCTTTACAAGTGAGGGGGTGGGGGGCGGGGCGGTAGAAGAGCCCAGAGCACACGGAGGAACGAACACACATGGAGGCACTGTGACTTTCACTTGTTATGGAAAAAGAGCACAAGCTACTGACATTGACAGAGTGAGAGGAGGCACACGATGACGGAGGGCTTTTCCTTTCACTACAGGCTACTGTGAGGAGAGCCACCCGGGTAACACCAGTCTGTCTCATTGTGTGAACCTGAAGCGCTTGTGACTAGTAATACGAGTTAGAGAATAAGAAACAAGCACATCCCAGATTAACCCTCAGTCTACTTGTGGAGACAGAAAATGGACAGATCTCCCTTTTTCACTCCTCCTCTTTCCTTCTTCCCTTTGTTTGTTTTCACGTTCTGTTGTGCAGATGTATCTAGGATCTCCGGGAGGGCTTTGTGTACTGTGTGTGTTTGCTACTTTTTGACTCCCGTATCTGCATATTTGTCTTCAGTTTGTTGAAATAGAGAAGCACATGGTAATTGATTAATATTGTTATTACATAATGTATGATATGTTATGTCATGGATTCAATGTTATGCTCTATATTTAGTTCAATATTTTGGGGGGTAAAGGGGTGGAAACTGTTCAAATGCAATGAGAGTGGGAAAAAACAGCACAGTTTCCCAGTGGATTCAATACGTTGGATTTCATATCAAAACACCATCTAAACTCAAAGTGCAAAGTTATCCTAACTGAAAGTGAAATGCCTACATTATAGCCATATACAGTAGAGGGTATTGGAATGGACACCCTCATTTTGGGACAATAGCAAGATTTTTGTGGATGTTTTGCTGTATACATATTCAAGTACAGCTTTGTATCTTCAATCACATTTTTGCTGTTGTATGCTCTTGAATATATGAAACCCATTTGATAAGAAAATAGTGTAATATGATATCTAGATTAATACGTTTTTTCATTGTATCATCCTTTTGAAAGTTTTCAATTGGACTTGAATTGATATGTTCCCACAATTGGAATTTTATTGGACACATCATAGATATTCAAAGGAAGCACACCCTACTGAAGACTTAAATGGCATATTATATGCATCATTCTTCCAAGCCTTTTTATTTTGTTTGTCAATAACTCTGTTTTTCCCTAAAGACAATCTGAATATAAATGTAAATGTGAGTGTACATGCCTGTCACCCGTTGGTCTTATATTTGACATTTATTTCGAATTTCCCCTCAGATTTTAGCTTTGTACAACTACATTTGTGAATGTGATGCCGAAGAATATATGTAACAGTATATGTAAAGGATTCTGACATGCTTATACAACAGTTAATATATATGGACAATCTCATTCATTAACAATTCATCAAAATGTATGAAGCAATGATATAACACAGCTTTATTGGCAAGTAACGTAAGTGACGTTACTTTGCCAAATAGCATTATCTCATGTTGCACTATAGTTCAAGACAAAACAATGTTTCAGGTCATGATTTTGTTGCCGTTCTAATAACATACTGTAGCTCAGGGTATAGGAAAGTGAGAGATACAACCTCTCCATAGGAAGTTATTGGATGAAATAGTCAATATTTATTAACTGTACATGGATGAGATTGTGTAATATATGTATGCGAAGATTATTTAGAGAAATATACTCTTGCACATGTATGAATATACACTGAGTGTACAAAAACATTAGGAACACCTTCCTAATATTGAGTTGCAGCCCCTTTTGCCCCTCAGAACAGCCTCAATTCGTTGGGGCATGGCCTACAAGGTGTTGAAAGCATTCCACAGGGATGCTGGCCCATGTGGACTTCCCAATGCTTCCCACAGTTGTGTCAAGTTGACTGGATGTCCTTTGGGTGGTGGACCATTCTTGATACACACGGGAAACTGTTGTGAAAAACCCAGAGCATTGCAGTTCTTGACACACTGAAACCGGTGTGCACCTGGCACCTACTACCATACCCGGTTCAAAGGCACTTAAATCTTTTGTCTTGCCCATTCACCCACTGAATAGGCACATATACACAATCCTTCTCTCAATTATCTCAAGGCTTGAAAATCCTTCTTTAACCTGTCTCCTCCCCTTCATCCACACTGATTGAAGTGGATTTAACAGGTGGCATCAATAAGGGATCATAGCTTTCACCTGGATTCACTTGTTCAATCTATGTCATGGAAAGAGCAGGTGTTCCTAATGTTTTGTAAACCCAGTGTATATAACTGGATTTGAAGATATTTGTATACACTATATTTACAATTTTAAATGTTGATATATTTCAGATTATATGTATTCAAATATATGGATATCATAGTAAAAGAAACCCATTGTTTTTCACTGAATAGATGTTTCATGTTATGTGTTCAATTTGACTAATAATTAATATAATTTCATGTAAACACCCTCATATACCCTGAAATACGACAAAACACTTCATTATACTTTGAATGGGTATTTTATGACAGACAATATGTGGTATCATAACCATGTCCAAAGGGACAAGCATGTTACACCCAGCTGTTTTAACCACTAGATGTCACCATCAGTTAATGACACCCAAGGGATTCTGTTGTTTATTAATCTAGAATCTACATTCATATTGAACGATAGCCCTCCCAGGATTAAAAGTAATTTCAGTCCCATTACTAAGAGCCTCTGTGTCAATCATACAATGTGCTTCCACTTCATAATTTTTTGACCTATTAACCAATGGGTATTGGTGTCATTTCTTATCAAAAGGCATTATGAACAGAAGGATTGAGATCATAATATGAGCTGAAAGTGAAAGGCAGACATACATGTTACACAACAGCCAGCTGCAAAGGGTCATGGGAAATGACTACCTCATCTTAAAAATATGTTTGTGGGACAAACACATTTTCTCATGCACATACAGTATTTCAGCTCAGATGTTTACAGTCCCCCCACCCACCTGACTGAAGACCTATGATGCTGTCGAGGAGGAGGAGGAGGAGGAGGAGGAGGAGGAGGAGGAGGAGGAGGAGGAGGAGGAGGACGACGAAGAAGGACAGTGGGGGAATCCCCAGGCATGGCTTGAGGCATATGTGTGTCCTCTCACCTGACACAGCAGAAAAAGAAACAGGAAGGGAATTTCCCTTGTTTTGGTCTGACCTCATTGTGGAGGCATTTTGTATTACCATTTCTGGTGCAACGCTGCTCAAGAACAGATTTAGGGCTTTATTCAATCTGCATTGCAGAAGTTCAGGTTTACAGCGTGATTGAAATTTAAAGGCAATGTTCCCGCTTTAGCGGAGACTGCATTCACGGTAAACGCTGCATATGTCGGCTCAATCTGAAATTACCTTTAGATTTCTATCATGGAATCTATAACGCTTAAACTTTACAGAATGAATAGAGCCCTTAGTGTTCATTTACTGTCCAGACTCCCACCCCCCGGCCCCACCCCCTCCAAACTGCATAATTCAATATAACCAAACTTTGAGTCTCCTAAAGTTGAGAACATTTGGAATTTAATACAGTTGATTCAAGCACACTGAATAGCTGACAAATACAACACACACGATCACATTTAAATAGACATGTCAATACATTAAATTAAATAACTTCATATTGTAGAAATGTATTCTGATAGGCCTAGTATAGGCTACTGCCAGGCTTATGTGAATCAAAATAATGTATACTTCTCCACAGTAGCCTACTGTATTGTCATATAAATAGTACATATAAAAATACAAAAAGTAATATAAATAAAGCCATAATATTATTTGGTGCATAATCTATAATATGAGAATGGACAATCATCATGTATGGACAAACAATTATCAATTTCTCAAACTGTTGCAGTTTACAAAATAACCATTAAGATTAGACCTATCTCCATTGCTCAGTCGCCATAAAATTGCAACAACAAAATAAGAGCTTTAACATAAAACTGTTTTAACAAATATTAATCTCTGCCCTACCTCTCTCTCATCATAGTGCAAACACACCGAAAAAGTTCTTGCCCTGCTCTGACTCCACATTGGTCAGTCGATTGGTCTCAGTCCACAGTTTGTCCCCTTCATTCAGCTGAAACACAGCACCAAGGTAAACTGCATTGTACCAGCCCTCGCCGATATTGGACTCAGCATCACCGTAGTTTTCGTTGACACACTGACCTTACCCCGCTAAGAAGATTAGCGTTATCCCCGATGGAGTCCGAATAGCGCCAAATAACGTGACTCAGAGGAGTGGTTTGTTCGCCCGGGCCGTTACACTTGATCCCTGAATGAAGCCTGGCTGTAAACAAAGAAGAGCCCAGTCTGCGGGATGAGGATTTGGTTCCCTTGTAGCTCGAACCCACCCTGGGAAAAGGCCTGGCCGTCATCCTTTCTCCACTGTACTGTGTCAGCACGGTACATTAGGATTGTATTCACCTGGCAGTAGAGGGAAGAAAGGCCCATTGTTACAACTTTGAGGCCCCAGGGTCCGGCTGGTAGCTATTTCTTCTTACAAAGCTCTCGTCAATTTACTCTGGTGGCAACAAGAGACAAGCTAATGATTAAGCAACTTCCTTGCTTCCTTGGGTTGTGGTTTAATCTTTGTCAATGGGGATGTTTAAAAAGAATCCCCTAGCTTCTACAATGAAGGACACTAAGACATACTAGCCCACTAGAAATGTTTTAACCTTCAACAGACACAGTCCAGGCTGGCTGCAAAACGCTATAGGCCACTCACCCTCTAAATGGATGGCTGCTTTTGCATTGCCGGCAATCTGCTTCAACGTATGGTGGGTATCTGAGGGAGAGAAACCTATTAGTCACGAATAACACAAGCAAAAACCATGATGTTGCCTACAACCGTAACCTTTGATTAAAGCTATTACAGTGAGAAGAAATTCAATGAAAAGGGGCATCTGTCAATCAAATAATCACCTTTTGCACCAATGAGTTTCTCCAGCCGAGGCTCCATTTCATCCTGCATCTATGAGATAAACCAAGAGGATGTTAGTTGATTGTACGGTCCTCTATTTCAGAAATGTGTTAAATATCGTCCCCATTAGAGTTCCTTACCATTGCCAGTCTTCCATGCTGACCCCACGCAAAGAGCAGGGCTGCTGCCGCACATAAAGCCACTACTAAGAGGATCCCCACACAGCCTCCATAACCAACCTCTGGAGGCCTTTCTCTCAGCAACAGCTGTCACCGTTGTCTTGTACACAGGGCCACTGTCCACAAGGCTATTTTCAAGGCCCCTCTCCATGTCTCCAGGTGTCATCACATACCCCTCCATACTGTTGTTGAATGAGGTTCAAACTCTTGACTCTTGGTGGCAGTGGAAAAGTCTAGCGACTGAATATTTGCCCGAATATCTCCTAAATATCTTCTTTGTTTTTACAGAGTTGTAGCTTAATATGTGTCCTGTGTTTTGCTCGTTCATTAGAATGTACTTCTGCCAGAAGCCCTGTCGTTTTTATGCTCTGCCTGCTACTGGTACAAACGGGGAAACTCCAGTGATGTCACCCAGTGAGCATAGCAGAGTTGCAGCAGCAAACTGGCTGTGGAGAGATGGTTATGGTTCAAAGGAAAATAAAATCCACAGAACAGCTCTGCCAAACTGGGATTCCAATGGTAGGTGTGGTTGCAGGATGGGGTTAAGGCAAAACCAGACATTCAACTTGAAAGTGAATTTCTTGTGCAACGATGTAGTTTTTCTATTTGTTAACCAGAATGTACAGTAACTACTCAGCTATATATTGAAACTGCACTTACAAAACAATGAATTCTCAGTAAGTCACACGTGTAGTCATTGTGTAATTACACAATGCATTTGAATACCATTAAACTCCACAGTATCTTTGCTACTTAATGTAAAGTGTAGCAAAGCCACTTACAGTATCTTGACTTGAACATTAGATTGTGATTTTTATTCAGTCTCATTCACCAGCTGTTTGTAACGCTATATGTCTAGTAATAGTCGTACATTTGAAATAGTGAACAATTATGATATTTATTGATTACATAAATATCAGTTGTTAATAACTGGATGTAAAATAAATGCTTATATACCTACACAATCACAATACATTTGAGGGTATACAAGGCCAAGCTCAGAAGAAACAATAAACACCCAAGGAAAACTTGTAAATATCCCTCTTTTTGTTTCAGAACTGGTTTCTGACATAACCCTTTCCAAACCACCAAACAGGTTTTTGACGTTTCTTTATTGACCTAATCTGGCTTCCTTATTTCACTGCCCTCCCTGACTGGTTGAGCGAGTTTGGAGCATAACACGTTTTATTTGTGGGATTTCCATCACCCATACACTACCTGATCTGAGTTTTGTTTGCAAAATGTTTCATCATCTAATTTATGTTTCTGTTAAATTAATGATAAAAGAAAAAATCACTTTGTGATAAACAAGCACTGTATACCTTTAAAACATGGTTAAAACTATAATTTTGATATCATACTGTAGATGGTCAGTCTTTGCATCCATAGCACTGTCTATGAATTTGAGAGTGGTTACATTTAAGTTTGAATTATCTGTTGTTTCTTGCTTTCTTTTTTATTCATTTTTTTTTGGTAAAGTGTATTGAGGCTTTTGTTAAATGCACTTTAAATAAACTGTGATTTGATGATTTACATTTCTCCAGCCCCATCCCTTGGCTGTCTACCAAAACAAGTGGCTGGGGTGACCAGACCGAGCCACAGACAGCAGCTTCAATGTAGTGTATCGGGGCAATGTATCACCGCTGGTAAAGGTAGCTTGTCACGTAACACTGTTTTACATGCACTGTGTCACTGTTTCCTTACGTATTCTTATGTGCAAATACAAGCAATATAGGTATGACCATCAGGGAAGCTTGGAGTATTGTCACAGTGTTTTATGTACTGTCATTCTGTCATAATACTTGAGAACTGAAATCTCACCTATGATTAATCTCTCAGATTGATTGATTTATTCCTACGTTAGTGTGTAGCAATGTTTCCAAGACTATTCCTACCAGCAAATACACGCCAACCGCAAGATCTTGGCAAGAGCAGGGAAGCAATTGATAATAGTTCAGGGGTCAGCTGAAATATAACACAGACACCTCTCATTCTGAATTCTATGGAGGAAAGAAAGAAACCTTTTCATTGTGAGGAACATAAGTATTGTGATAAAGGGAAGAAACATCTACCTGAGACTTCATATCTCAATGCCCTTCTCTCTGCCCTATTAGCAATACCGTCACCTAAATCCTTCCACCCCTCTCTGTAGCAGGGCCATGGTCCAACCCTTCCTCTCTTTGAAGGTTCAACATTACCCACCACTTTCTCTGGCCCTCAAATACTTTGTGGTGGCAGGTAGCCTAGCAGTTAAGAGCGTTTGACCAGTAACAGAAAGGTTGCTGGTTTGAATCCCCAGAGCAGACTAGGTGATAAATCTGTCGATGTGCCCTTAAGCATGGCACTTAACCCTAGTTGCTCTGAATAAGCATGTCTGCTAAATGACTAAAATGGAAAAAGCCTCCCATCCCCCTTTAAGTAATGATGTATCTGGCCCTACATTGGATACATCTATCTGTAACTGATAGGATTCAAAGCTGGGTCTCCTGCCAGAACAGTGTATTAGCCTTACTAGTCTAGGCATTGGCTTGGGGTCACAGGGTTCAAGTCTCAGGCAAGTTTAGGGCTCATCATCACGTGGACCTTGGTCACAGAACCAACTGGATATTTCATGTCCGCCAAGTTACCTCAGGGATTACTTCTAGGAACAGAGAAGTAGGCTTTTTCTAGGTATTTGAACCAGGTATCTGAACCAGGTAGTGACACACTCTTAGAGGTGTAAGAGGGGTGATTCATTCTGTTTAATTTCCCATTGTCTGAAAGAGCAATTGGGTCATTGTTGTTATTACCTGTACATGACCTTTTACCTAGTTGATGTCTCCTTGTGGCCGCCCACAGGATAGTATCCAGTCCAGGGGTATAGTGGTTTTCCTGTCCAGTGATCAATATGGCTACCGAGATCTGTAAATTCGATGAATAACTTATGTTACTGTTTGCCTCATGGACATCCCCATTTCTTGTGCATTTGTAACTTGACATGGATTCATATACTTGGAAATAGAGTATTGCTGACAGAAAATATATATTTAACTTCTGATCTTAATTTGAGATCTGCTTATGTAAATTAACCCTGAAGTTCTATTTGTGTTATCTCTCTCCCAGTTCCTACACTCTTTTGCCACCTGCTTCCACCTTCCTGATAAAGCACATTTTTTAACATCAAAATTCGGATTATTTTTAGTAGTTAAATGCAGATCATGTCATGAGGTAAGCAGAAGATAATAAATTGCGGCCCACACACTCAAATATTCCAACATATAATGTGACCTTGTTGTATACAGAAACAGTCAAGCACCCTGGCTAGCAGTTAGCACAGTACATTAAGTAGTTGTAGTGGATGATAGTGTCAGTGACTTGCAATCAGGGTAGGCAGGGTAGGCAGTGCTTACCCTTTAATAATCTAATTTAAAAAAAGCTATTATGAAAAGCCAAATAAAAAATACAATTATATATATTTTTAAATGCATTCTTTTTTGTTATCTAATGTTTTTTCTCAATGATTCTGGTGGTTTTTATGCTCAAAATCTCAAAATGTGCTAAACTACATCAAAACATCAGGAAAGGCGCCAGAATATAACCCTAACCAATCCATTGAAATCCATTTAAATAATTGACAAGCGCGGCCGTTCCTGACTCCAGTCACTGTTGATGGACAGGGTCAGCATAGGCCTCGCTGCTTTGCCTAGCCTTCATTTGTTGCATTGAGTGGATTTCATATTTTGCTCATGCGTATTGCCTAAGTATGTTGTGTGGGTAAGCCTGGGGTAAGCTGTACACAATTGGGCGTGTCTACATAATTTGTCGCTCGCATACGTTCAACTGAACGCATCTAGCTAGCAAGCAAATACAACCTGACAAATGAACACTATACTGCACCTCAAATAATTTTCCAAGTAGATTTCTAAGGAAAACTTGGTAAAATTCAGAGAGGGAGACCAACACCTGCGCTCCCTGACCTTCATCAGAAGAAGGGACAGAAAGTAATCGGATCGGGGCAAAGACACGCTGCTGATGGCCTCTGGATATGATACCTGGCTGTCAAAGGCATCAACCGGCTTTCTGCTGTTGGTCTATGGAGAGATTTTCAGCTAAACTGAGGCACTCTTTCGTGTTCTGCAGAATAAAATAATGGACATGGGGTTCTACTGTGCACATATCAGTAACACAATGAAAGTTGTGGATGCCCGGGGACAAGAGTTTGACACTTTCTATGATCGGTTTGAGGAGAAATGCACCACACTTGGCCTGACAGACACAGCAAACCGGAGCAGACAGCCGGTGAGAGGAGAGTAATGTTTTACAAACATTTTGGACAATATCAGTATTCAAATGAAAGCCAGGTTTGATCATTTTGTTGTCCTTGGCCATCATGTCAATCGAGACTTTTCAAACTCAAAAAGAATAAAGAATACTTCTACAATGCTGTCACTGAGAGGTTTACCCTGAAGGACAGATTAATGTACTTCCTTTACAAGTAAAGGTAGGCTGAAATGCATTTTCCTTAGCCATTTGCGGGTTAGTCTACTGTTAAATTAACATGAGAATAGACAACATCCCTTTGATGCATTTGATTTATCAAGCTAGAATTATGTTTTTGATTAGACCATTTTTCAGTCATTTCGATTGTTGATATGGACATTTCATTAGAACCTTATTTATTATATATGTGTGTGTAATAATATTTCACATAATATTATTATGTGTGTGTATGTTTGCATGTGCCACACGCAGTGCATTGGAAGAATTGTAAATCCATTATCCAAGGCTATGGACTTTGCATTGCAAACTATTCGGATTAAATGTGTCCATATATTGGAATTTTAGTGCCACCTATTGGTTGTAACTGTGGACGCTACATCGGTCTATGGATGAGCTGAGTTGAGCAGTGTTTCATTTTGTCGGATGATATGAAATATGCTGCCATCAGAGGCTATCACTTGTGTGTCTTGGCTACATTGGTATTTACGTTTGGTAACAATATTTGTCAATTTCGGTTAATAGCCAATGTCATTCTGGTTGTTGGAGCCATCTGTTGTTTGGTGGACTTGGGCTTCATCAAGGTTTATTTGTGAGTAAATCTGGCTTTGATAATAGCCAGTGTCTACCCAGCCACCAACCTCACCGCACGTCACTGTACTGTGTCTCATGGTCCTCACATGATTGAAGGGCAGGCTCATCATT